CTTCAGGCTGTTTTATTTTTTTGTTTGTTAATCCACTTGCTGAAATCCGAAGACTCGGCTTTAATTTGAGACTTTCTGGCAGACTCACGACGAAACGGAATTCAAGGGAATTCCTGTGTATGTAAGTATTCGGTATCCCATTGTTTTTGCAACTGAAATTTGATGATGAAAGAGCTAGCTATCCAGAAAGACGGAGCCGCCATCCGTCATGCGCTTGAGGCATTTAATGTTCTGCAATAATTAAAGTTTCCAGGGAATGCCCACCCAGAGAGCGGATGGATGGATGAATGGATGGATAGATGGGGAACAAAGGATCTAGTCGGAGGAAATACATTGAATCTGTCTTTATTTCCATTTCGCCTGGTCAACAAACTATTTGCCCTGACTGTGTCACACACAGTCGACTCTGGGAGTGTGCTTTCTATGCTGCGGATGGCCGTTTTCTTTTGGCAATAGTCTTCTCCGTTTGCAATCAAACAATGTTGATGTTTATACGAGCTGCCTGTTGATGGGGAATACGACAATGTTGAGTGGTATTATGGGTATGGCGCCTCCCTCCATCTCTTGTTTGTGCTGCACACACACGCACACAACGAGAAATACCAAATGAAATCAAATGTATTTTCTCGTGTGGGCTGGAAGACACATTTCTTTGAATCAGATCTTGTGCCCACCGCTAAGAAAACAAAAGCAAATAGCAACACACATTTGTTAACTGAATAAGCGGATACCATTCACTTCGAGAGCCGGCTTAAACAACAAACTAATTTAAGGCAATATCAACTATCGGCTTTGGAAGACCAAGAAAAAGAAACGCTGTAAGCGATATTCCGACCAAAAGTCTATCCTGTAATCAGTAGAGAAGTCAGTAGGAAGGGAAGGGAAGGGAAAAAGCCCTGTGGATCATATGATTCGTGTGACTTGTGTGATTCATAGACGTTGGACGTGACAAATTGACAAGTTTTCTCGCTCGTTGTGCAATTACCGAGTTTCAGGCGTGCACACATGTTACTTGTTCCTTCTGCCATGAATATACCCTGTAAAACCGACTTCAAGTTTAATAACGGCAGCCCCGCACAGCCCACCTAACAAAATATCATTTTGCAAGCAAACAACAAAAATATGTACATAGAAAAAAAAATAAGAATGGATATAGGAGATATAAGAAGACAGAGCTTTCAAAACGAACTGCGAATACTCTTTGAAAAAGTTTAAAAGCTTAAAATCTATCGATAAATGGACAATCGATCGGCTCGAAATCGTTCAGTTGAAGCATTACTATTGCTGTAAAATCAGCTAAATCATATAAACATATACATAAGTAGAGAGAGAGAGAGGGAGATTTCCAAGCGAGCATTTATTTACGCTTGAACTTGGCTTTGCTTTGCTTTGGTTTTCGTTCCTCTGTTGCTGCTCGCTGCCCTGGCCTTTCCGCTCACGTTGATCTCCGACACGTTCCACACACAGCAGAGCAGAGCAGAGCACTTACATATACACATGCATAAATATATTGTGCTTTTGCCGCGGGAGAACGTTTGAAATCGAAATCCCGCATTTGAAATTTCGCTGAAGAGAACTGAACAAGTTCTCGAGTAAATAATTAAATATGTATCTTGGCCTTTTTTCGTTTTGGGCATTATATGGTATTTGTCTTGTTATTTGTGTATTTAAGCTCGCCCTGCCGTGTGTTGCTCTTGGCGACTGGCCTTGCCTTTTTGTGTTGCCAATTTATACAATTTACATATATGTATTTCAGATGTACAGGGTATACAGCGCATCGCCATTTCCAGTGTATTTTTGTTTATGGAATTGAATCGAACATAGTGTGGAACTTAGTGTATGTAGGAACACTGTGGACTAAGGATTCCAGGAAGGCTGTTAGAAGAGAATTCGATCCATTCTGCAGTCGTAAGGAGTCTCTTTTTCCCTTGGATTGGATCCCAGTGTGGATTATATTGGCTTGAAGAAAGATTCTTATTGAATCGATTCTTTTAGAAACTGCAATGGCGGAGTCGTTCCACCCAATATTCAATTACCACCGTTATGGATATGCCAATCAGTGGATGCCACTGACACGTCTGTGGAATGTGTTCCACGCGGGGGTTCTGCTTGGGTGGATTCCAATAGGAATGCATCTCCTTGCGGACAAAGGTTAAGCCCCGGCTCACAGTTAGTTGCAGCCACACCCCACAAAAAAACAACAACGGCAAAACAACTGAAAAGAGAGACAAAGACAGAGAGAGAGAGCACAAGTAACTGCAACTGAACTTTCGCAACTCCTCATCCAACCGCTTTGCCCATCCATAATCCTTCTCTCGCTCACTCTATCAGTCCCCCCCCTCCCTCCTCTAGCTAAGTTGTAAATACAAGAGAAGTGCTCAAGACGTCGACTGCGACAGCGACTGACCCACTCACTTGAGAACTGTCTGCCAATCCCTCTCTCGCTCTCTCTCTGTGACTCCCAGGGGCCTTGGGTCTCCTCTGCAGCTTGCTCCTCGCTTTGTTCCCCTCTCTCACCGTTCCACACAAGCTATGGTGTCGTCTCACCTCCCTTCCTACCGCTCGACACCGTCTGGGCTGCTTTTTATGGAAACCGGCTAAATTCCATTTGATTTGGAAGTCAAGACAGAGCCAAAGCTGTAGCTGTAGCTGAAGCCAAAGCCGAAAGCCTTCTCTTGCCTTGCCTTTTTCTTTCTTTCTTCTTTTTCTTTTCTCACCGCTTTTCACTAAAGCGTCGCGACGCTGCTGCTGTGGCTGCGGCTGCTACGGCTGCTGCTCGAGTTCCAACGGCAGTGGCGGCAGGCAGCACTGCAACTTCTCGAAGTTGGCAGCTGTCAAGGGCGTTTGAGTTTCTTTTTGTTGCGGGAGGAGGGGAGGGGAATAATGGACAGTGGAAGTACCGTTGTCAATTCAATTACAAAAATTAAAATTATTCTAATCAACGCGGGAAATGGTGTCAAGATATTTAAATTCAAATGATAGGCGCATACCATACCTTCTTCCTACGGTTTTTGGCCGCCGCTTCCGCCCTCAACTGTTGCTGCTGCTTTGACACTGCTTCAGGCTGCGGTGCCTACGTTTTTCGTTGCTGTTTCTTTAATTGTTGCTACAATGGAAATTACAAATGCAATCAGTACACAAAAATGTTTTAAAATTTGCATTCAACAATAAAAAAAAAGCCGCGCGCAAACAAACAGAGGCACACACACACAAACACAAACACAGTCGCAGGCAAAAAACGAGTTTATTTGCTGCACCAAAAGGAAACCGCAAAACAAGGGGAAAGAAAGCAAAAAGGTGGACCATATAACACAAACGCACTTAGAATTAAAGTTGACAGCCCGGCATTGCAACTTTAAAAAAATAACGAGAAAACAACGAAAACACAACTCAAAACAAACTGAAGTTGAGCAAGGAATAAATGTAAATAAACACACGGACACGGATACGGTTAGACGCCGCCGAGACGATGCGCTGTGACTTACAGTGTGACCGCGGTCCCATTGATAAGATATACGGTCTGATGCTCAGAAATATACCAAAATATACGTCTTAGTTTCAAAATGTACCAAATATATACTGACGAATTATTTGTATTCGTATTCCATCATATTCCTCTATTTTGATATTCGGTTGAATATTACTAGCTAGCCGGAATCTTAAGCCCAGAACACATAGGTTAATCCGATTGATGAATCGATTTTCTACAAGACTGGTAACTTTATGCTCTCATCTTTATTGCATTGCTTATAAAATTATGTTAAAAAGAGTCAACACTAAATTCATTTCATTACATGGAACTACACGCCAACTAGACAAATGCCACATATTAACTACAATTTTATGTAATTACCAAAGGCGACACCTGAAGGGGAAATGTGTACGTTTCAAACATTTTTTACCGTTTTTTTCAATATAAACCCCTTGAAAGCGCCAGTGTGAAAAACCTCCGTTATCCACTTTAAAAAATGGCTTTTTTCGGACATTTAAAAAAATTGAGAGATGTCAAACGATCACGAATTAGTATTCGATGTGGCCTGGGACAGTGCTTTAAATGGAATTTCTACACGGTTTCTACATTGGTGCATTGGACGAGAGGGTGGAGTACATAAAGCGTATTAAAATATACTGGAAAATACTGAAAAGTCTATGAAAAGTTTAAAAATTGTGAGGTGTGTGAGCTAGACATGGTGGCAAGAAAATCAGAAAATCCGATAAGGTATACGGTCTGATCCTCAGAAGTATATCCAAATACCATCTACTGAATATAAACATCACGTACCGTTGGGTTTACCTTTTCAATGGTTGGGAAATGCTGTTTCAATCATCACCATATGTCGATCAAAGTACAGTAGTTAAGGTACATTATTTAAAAGTATGGAATGAGACTCATTGTTGCCTACCGGTTCAAACCGTTTAAATTCAAGCTTGGGTATCGATACTATCGAATGGATACGAGAAGTACGCGCCAAATATTAATTGCTTGAAACGGAATAAGCGAACAGGACTTAAATCCAATCCATTGGAATAAATGATGCACGTAAGTACGATTTTAGAGCGAAAATTCAAAAAACCTGCGTATGAAAGTTTCTATACCATTTTGTATGGTAATATGCATATTCCAGTTGAGCTGGAAGCAGCGCTGCGACAGGGATATTGTTTGTTACAATTTTCAGATCCAATTTTGCTGGCTGGCTGGCTTATTTTGCTGTTTGTCTATCATGCTATTTCTATAAAAGCTAAGTCTAATGTCGTACAGCTATTTACCGGCTTTATTGCAAAAAATCGGATCAGATGGATTTCGGTTGTAAAGATACCAAATATACGAAACGAAATACCAAAAATACTAAATCGAAATACTAAAAAGCCTGTTGAGGGCGCCACAATTCAGTAAATTCAAAATTTTATTTTTTATGTGTTTATTCATATTATTACGGATAAACATACTCTAAGTGAAATGCAGTTGAACGCCAGCCTAGATTAAACAAAACACTTTTCAATCGCCAATTACAACTAATTACCGTTTGTTTATTATAATTTTGCCATTTCATACGCATCGGAAGTGAAAGTGCAGAATGTTTCCGCGTTTGATATTGTTAAATTTTGGAATTACTCTGTTGGGTCGGTCGTGTCTTTGAGAAGCCGATCTCCGCCAATGCAACATTTAAGTATAATAAAATAATCTATAACATGTAGTAGCATCGAATCGAATCGATCATAACGCGCAAAAGTCGCTCCAAAAAAAATTAAAGTGGATTTCTAGGTGTATGTATTATGTACTACTCAGGTGTAGGCATGGCGAGACCTACACGATCTCGTACTTCTCCACAAACAATATGGATTCGCTCGAATACTTGACCGACGCCTCGCTGTCCACCTGAATGACGTCCTGGGCAATCACGCCGGCGTACGTCGTCTTCGAGACGAATGATACTTGCAAGGGAAAGAAGTCGCCCGGAATGGATGCGTTGCAGCTGAACTCCATCGAGCCCGACTTGTTGGCGGCATCGATTATGGGAATGTGCCACTGCAGCACATGCTTGCGTGCATCGTAGTTGTAGGTGCCATCGTATTCGGCCACCGTCGGCTGCACATTCATTCTGCGGAGGGAAGTCAAAAATTAGAATTAGAATTATAATCTGTCGACTGGATGGCGCAGCAGTCCATGGCGGCTACTCACGGCAAGGGTATAACAATGGCCACATCCTGCAGCTCCAGATGCTGAGCCTCCAGTTCGTATTCAATGTTAATGTCGCATCCGCCCTCACCATTGTCCGACGGCCAGCAGTTAACTGTGGACGCGAGAATTCAACAGCAGACAAACATGAATATGAGCGAGAGAGCGGTAGGGGAAGGATGTGTGGGGGTGTGCTAACAGCCAACACTTACTGGTTAATGGAATGGCCGTCTCATCCTGTGAGACGAAGCGCCATTTGAGGACACCGACGTCGGTGTTCAGAGGGAATGGCTTGGCCAGATTCTTAAGACCAATCATGCTGCGCGCCTTGAAGAGCTCCTTGTCCACATTCGGATGCGTTTGCAGCTGCAAGCCCTGTGCATGATTGGGGGACAGCTTCAACAAGATACGGCCGCATGCTTCGTCCGTGATGCGGAGAGTCAACAAGCCAGAATTCTCAAACTGCTGGACGCCGCCATCTCGTCCCAGACGCACCACCAGCTTGTCCTCAATCTTCAGATGCACGCTGAAATGAGCGGGGTAGAAGCAGGTGTGTGATTGAGCACAAACAACAGCAATCACCACCGGTACATACCTTTCCTTGTGAATGTCGGCCGACATGGCTGCCTTGGCCGCTGCACTGGCGCTAGTCGCCGATCCGGAGCCGCTGGCAGCCGTTGCTGGCGCCAGATTGGCAATCTTCTCGCCCTCGCTCTTCAGTTGATCGACGAAGCTGTCGACATCCTTAGACTTTCCACCCAGCTTCAGGGCGTTGCGCGATGATGGCTTCCTGTATGAGATAAGGACCATGTTTGGTATTACTCCAGATCCAGCGGACAAAGAGAAATATTTACTTACACTGCCGCCTTGCTCGAAATGGGTTTACTGTCCAATTCAATGGATGGTGCGTGGACGCTGCTCGAGACGCCACTGACACCACTGCTGCCGAAGCTGTCGGAACTGAAGCCACCACTGCGGCCACTGAGACCGCCCATCGATGGACCGCCACGCTTGCTGGCCTCCATGCGCTGACGTTGGAGCTCCTTGGCCTTTTCACGCATTTTCTGGCGTGCCTCCCGCTCCTGTGTCTGGCGCACTGCCTGGTAGACCTTCTCCTCGTGCGAGTCCATTTCCACAAAGGTCTTGATCTGGGCTAGATTGACACTCTCCCTGTAGCCGAGGGCCACAATCTCATCGAAGGCGAAAATCAAGTTAAAGGCATTCTCCACAATCTCCTTCTCGTCCAGCGAGTGGCTGTACTCCGGTATCTGCAAGAATCAGGTAATAGATCATCATCACTCTTTCTCATTTTCATTCAGGCCACCACTCACCACTTTGGAGAAGAGACGCAGCGTTTCCAAGTCCTCCAGGATGTTGCTGGCCTTTGTGGTTATGAGGAGCATGTAGAGCTTCTCCATCGGCTGGTAGACATAGCGCACAGAGTCCGTCTCCACGTAGGTGTGCTGCTTGCCAGACGTCATCAGTTTTGGAAAGGCGGCCAGCAGACCCTCGATACGGGCCTTTGTCATCTCCACGAACTGACGTGACAGTATGACTACATGCGTGTGTGTGGGTGTAAGATAGAAGTGCAGTGCATTAGAGGGATGTTGCGTTTTATGGACATCCATCGGGACATCTTCGACCCCACCACTTACCTTTGCCATTCTTTGTGCAGACTGCCGCAGCAATGAGTACCTGTGGTGTGGGGAATACGGGAAGATTGGCAGCGAAAATCGCCGACGTATACGTTTAGTCGGGGCGTGTGTGTGTACGTATACCGCGGGTTTCGCTTACCATTTTTGTAGCGCAGCAGTTGAAATAGAACAGAAGAACCTTTTAAGTGCCTAGCAAAAGTCTGGCAGAGTATATGACAATTAATTTGATTGACGAGATGTTTTTAATTTGTTTTTGATCAATCCGCGTAGCTGACGTGTTCGGGTAGTTTGGTTACCAATGTGACCGTAGACTTATCGATCAGATGTGCGGTCTGACCCTTAAATATACCGAAAACACGTCAAAATTTCAAAATATACCGTTAATATACTGACGAATTGCTTTTATTCATAATTCCATCATATTCCTCGATTTTGATATTCGGTTGAGTATTACTGGCTAACTGGGACCCTCAGCCCTGCACGCATAAATATTTATCGGATTGTTTTTAAAATATTCATCAAATTAAATTTTTACACGGTGCACGTTACATATTAACTACATTTTGATGTAATTATCAACATATACCAAAATACCATCTCATTTTCAAAATATCCGTAAATATACCGATGAAAAACGAACTTAGCGCATAGAACATAGCGTTGTTATCCGTTAGCATCCGTTAGCTTTTGGCGGGCTCTATGCAGAGCATGATAATAAATATATATATACTTAATCTGAAGAGTTTACAAAGTTACTGCAGTACTATTACGATACAGTAAGTCCCATATATGTAGTGCTTTGTCTGAAATGATTTATTTTTGAATTAAGCCGTTTAACTAACTTTAATGTGCCTTCCTCATTATTCTCATTATACTCTCTAATTGAGAAGATACTCATATTCATAAAGGTCTATGTACTTTTAGGGCTTTACAAGTTTTCATCAACTAATTTGATAAATAATTTGTACCAAAAAATAAATATAGTGCAAACGCTTTGAATTTGTTCACATTATTTAATGTTCAATATTTCAAATGAAACAACTTAACGCTAGCCGGAGGCAAATTATACTACATCAAATATGTATAATTTATTTATTAAAATATAAACATCTTAAATATCTATCCCAAAAAATTATAATTTTCCAAGTAACTAAAATAATTACAGCGTGTGGTAACGACAAAAACTTAAGATAATTCACAAGAGACTGTTGTTAATTAATACTGCCTGATCATTTTAACCCAATCTTGGCATTTCTTTACAGAAATCGAACTGTAGGATCTTCTCAAAGTTTGCCAAAGTTGATTGGCAGATTTGCTGGTGTGTTTCGCCTATTTTTTCCGAGGCCAGAAGGTAGCATCCATCATATCCATCACTGTCTTAACCTATAAAAGATAATCTATTACATTTTATATACTTTATATATTTTATATATAAAAACTCACCCAAATCATTATTGATAAGCATTACAGAAAACAATTTTTGACTCGTCCGACCTGCACTTAATTTATTCCATGGCAAATCGATGTGTTCCTTGGCAAAAATCAACCTTCTGACTTCATTCTATTTTGTTGTCAGTAAAGGAACTTTTCTTGGTCATCATGCCGTTAGAAGAGAAGTGTTTGGTATCTCTAGTTCTGTTGGTTTTCCTCGATCTCTTTTGCAGCGTCGAATCGTATATCGCTTACAACGATCGGGCATTCCTTGAGCACAAGAAAAGCTGATCCTTGAATGGTACGAGTATAGATGTGGGAACAGATTGTTGCTATCTCACTCGAACTTGTCAGGCAAACTGCGTTGATAAGAACTGTTCACAAGAACCCACTTGTAGCTTTTAGACTAAGAACCAAGATAGTCGAGTTGACACTCTCATTAGGATCAAAATTGGCCGCTGGGTGGAGTGGGAGCCTGTGGGAGCACACATGAGGCATCATGAGGCAGCATTTATGTCGAACAGCGACGGGCTTCGTAGACGGCAACAGAGAGCTGGCTGGTCATCAGGAAGGTTGTGTAGGATACGTTTGTCTTTAGTGTTCCGCCGAGTGGCAGTAACCGATATGTACTTGTCTTTCTTTCGTTAAATCAATAAGCTTAACATATGTATTCATTATATTAGTTGAATTATCAATTATTCAATAAAGTTATCATTATATTAATAAATAGGCGTTTACTCACAAACATTACTTAAACTTACTTACTGCTTTTTTAAATCTGTGTATTTTTTAGAGGCTGTAGAGGATTTAACAATCTTTAGGTACATACATATCTATGTTTCTATACATATATTCTTCTGATTTTATCTTAATCTTTTATTTAGGATCATTTATCACTTAGGACTACATATTTCTGTTTCTTTCAGGCTCAAAATTACGGATAAACAACTGGTTCCCACACTCCAATCTAGAAAGACCCCATACCAATCATCAGAATTTGGAGTTACGGAATATATATATACACACCCAACAGAAGAACCCCGTCAACAGATAATCATCTTAGGAGCCATTGAACAACAGTTAAATGGCGGACACAAAGGGTACCGTCGAACATCTGGTACGAACCAAAAGCAGCATTGATCAACGAATTTAAAAAGGCCTTTATGAAACCAATATTATAGAAAGGAACATAACTAAAGAACATCCAAAACCACAGCAAGCAAAACGTTAAAATGTCGGAAATTATCATCCACATTGTAACCATAATTATGATCCATAAAACTCCGAATTTGTTGGTTTCTGTTCCTCAAATCGTAGTAACAGCCATAATGCTGTAATGCTGTAATGTATCAAGAATTTCAAAAACTCTTTGAATCAAGGTCGGGTTCAGTACCCCATCAGTCAACAATCAAATATGCTTTACAAAATTTAATAGCAGACTTCGAAATCGGATGAATAGAATCAAGCGTAAAAGACAATACGGCTAACGTCTTAAACATTGAAGAACTTGTGGATCCAAAGTTCCGTTTAGAATCGCAGATTAAACCTTAAATATGGTGTTGCAAAGTCTCAAAAATACTTGGTGCATCTTGTCATGAGCAGATAAATGTAATGACCGAATTCGTTCAAGTAATTCCCACTAGCAATTTATTATTTCGAATGGAAAAATCCCTCAACTAAAATCAACTCAAAGCTTTTCGTACTGGGTGTACATTATACAGAAGAGAAGTTGATCGATTGCTCCCTCTGTGCCCAGTGCCAGGTGTTCCAAATCCACATCGGACAAGCCTATCTTCAGTCCATCCAACACGTGAATTTTGAATATCTTCCAATTGTTTCGCATCATCGCCACGCTGGTGCAGGGTTTGTAGATGCTGAGATCCACAAGGTTATTGTGAATCTTTTCCACAAGCTTCGCCACGGGCATGGCATCTCGGAACTGGTGGCGACATCGGTAGTCGAGTTTGATGTCCCATTGCTGGAGCCAATTGTCCAGCTTCTCCCGTTCCTCTGGGTACAAGGAGTATTCAGCCATGTTGAAGCAGATTCAAATTTTGTAAGCACTTCAAAAATACTTAAATACTGTCACGGTTCTAAGAGTTTGTTTTTCGGGTTGAGAGAGTTGTTTTCTATTATTTAGGAAGGCTTTTTACTGAGAGAATTTGGGTTCCGTTCTAAACAAACTGTGAGCTCCGACTGACTATTTCTAGTAAAAGGCATGACAACTATATAGTCGTCCTACTTGATTTCCCATTCGTTACAATATTTTTGATCTGAATAAGTATGACGCAAGAAATTCTGTGACATTTGACATCTAGATAAAGGCATATTTTGGAGGTGCTTTCGTTCCATCTACCTACGCCGTGCAATTGACCCTGTAAACTCTAGCTAAGAAAGTACAGAACAAGAGCATATAGTGATTCAATTGATTACAGAAATATAAATGTAACGCTAGGAGCCAGATCGTACCCAATCATTCAGAGTGGAGAGAAGAGATCCATCTTAAAAGGAAGATAAGATCGCACATAAGTGCCTTGACACATCTCCAGAGGGAGATCAATACTTCACTTCCGCCCTGGCCAATGAATTAAGGGAATATAGTCAATTAAGATTCGAACACTTAAACGATGAGGAAGGGGAAAAGTTTAAAAAGGTGTTATACGAGTTTAAAGACGTGCAGTACAGAGCAGGTGACAATTTGCGTTTCACAATTACAATCAAGCATGAAATCAAGACTCAACATGAAGTCCCGGTCTACAGACGACCATATAAGTATGCCCAGATATATGATCAGGAGGTAAACCAGCAAATCAATGATATGATCAGGCAGGGAATAATTCGAAAGTCGAATTACTCTCCTTTATGCTCGCCCATATCTATGATTCCGAAAAAAATAGACGCTTCAGGAAAGCAAAAATACCGAATGGTAGTAGACTATAGAAGTCTAAATGAAATACAAATTAAGGACAAGTTCCCAACTCCAAGAGTGGATGAAATCCTAGACAAACTAGGTAAATGTCAGTATTTCACGACAATCGATTTAGCAAAAGGGTTCCATCAAATACCCATGGAACCTAGTTCAATCCCAAAAATGCCCTCGTATGCCTTTTGGGCTAACCATTGCCCCCGCTACCTTCCAAAGATGTATGAACAATCTGCTAGAAGAGTTCATCTTCAAGGATTGCTTCGTATACTTAGATGACATCATTATGTTCTCCACCTCATTGGAAGAACACCTGTTGTCACTAAGAAGACTATATGGAAAGTTGAGAGACGCCAACTTGAAGTTACACACGGATAAATGTGAATTCATGAAAAAGGAAACTGAATTCCTAGGTCATTTAGTCATTACTGAAGGAATAGTACGAAATCCAGGCAAAATTTCTGCCATAGTCAAATTCCCAATACAGGAAACGACTAAACAAATAAAGTCATTCTTAGGTCTGTGTGGCTTCTACCGGAAATTAATTCCTAACTTTGCAAACATAACAAAGCCCATGACACTCAAACTAAAGAAAGGGGCTGTCATAGACACCAAGGAAGAAAAGTACGTCGAGGCATTTGAGAGACTAAAAGTACTCATCACCTCAGACCCTATCCTTGCGTTCCCAGACTTTGACAAAATGTTCACGGTAACAACCGAAGCTAGTAACATAGCCTTAGGAGCGGATCACAAACCGATCTGCTACACAAGCAGAACCCTAAATGAACACGAAATAAACTATTCAGCCATCGAAAAAGAACTATTAGCGATCGTATGGGCAACCAAGTATTTCCGATCATACCTATTCGGGAGAACATTCGAGATACAAAGCGATCATAAGCCCTGGATTTGGTTGAACAACCTCAAGGAACCCCATATGAATTTGCAAAGATGGAAAATTAAACTAAAAGAATTCGACTTTAAAATAGGAAACCTACCAGGCAAGGAAAATCATGTAGCGGATGTCTTATCAAGGGTAAAGATTAATGAACATCTCCTTGGAGAAGCTTCTAATAGCGCTCGAGCAACCGAACATAGCGCACAGGAAGATACCCAAAATCACATTGCTATCCCTGAAAGACCTATTAACTATTACAATCATCAAATTGATTTAATAAAAGGCAATGAAGATAAAGTAGAAACAATTCTCTATTTCCACAAACTGATCATTAAAATCACGTATAAGGAAATGACTAACACCTTAGTGAAGGACATAATAAAGGAATATTTATGAGCTAAATAGATTTTCATGAATTCCAAAAAGCCTATTTGAAATTCATTAATTCAAACAATATAACCAAAGCAAAGTACAAAACTCCTAGATATTCAAAATTATGCAGAATTCAAAGAAACAATATTGAAAAATCATAAAGTATTACTCCATCCTGGAATTGAGAAAACAATCAATTGGCTTAGAGGGAAATCCTATTACACAGAATATCAAAAGCTAATCCAAAACATCATAAACGAATGTCCGGCTTGTTATATCGCCAAAACAGAGAAAAGAAATACAAAGTTGGCATTCGAAACCACACCAAAGATATTGAACCAAAATAAGTAACCAACAGTTCCTATCATGTATTGACGTATAGGAGATGTTTGCCACTTTTGTAGAAGTAAAAAGTCGTGACTGGTTTGAAGCAAAAAGAGCCATCATGAAAGTTCTTAACGAGATGGGAAAACCAATTGAAATCAAAGCCGACAAAGATTCAGCTTTTATGTGCGCAGCATTTCAAGGCATGGCTGAATGCGGAAAACGTCAAAATCGAAATCACTACCAGTAAAAACGGAGTTTCTGAAGTAGAACGGCTACTTAATACGATCAATGAAAAATTAAGAATCATTTCAAGCGAGGATAACATAGAAAACAAGCTCACAAAATTCGAGTTAATTCTATACACTTATAACCATAAAACGGTTCATAATACTACAAAAAGATCCCCAGCTGATATCTTCCTGTACGCCGAACTACCAGATTATAACACCCAACTGAATAAAGTTAGGAAGACAAATCTTTTGAATAACGATCGAATTGACTTTGAAGTAGACACACGCTACAAGAATGCACCCCTAGTTAAAACAAAAACAACCAACCCGTTCAAAAGAACAGGGGAAATTAGGCAGGTAGACGAAAAGCACTTCGAAGAGAAAAATAGAGGGAGAAAAATCACCCACTATAAAACGAAATTCAAAAGAAAGAAAAAATCTAATAAAAGTAAATACGATAATTGCAGAGTACCCGAAGAGAGTACTGGGAATCCGGAGCTACAACATGATTAAGATTATAATCTTACTAATGTTTACCGTCCTACAGTCTACCGGACAGAATATAGAGATTACCTGAAACATATAAATTCTGAGAAAATATTACACATCAAAACTTCAACATGGTTAAAAGTAGATTCCAATGAAATATTAATAGTTTCCAATATTCCAAGCGAAAGCATTAACACCCCATTATACAAAATATTTCCCTATCCAGATGAAAACAATAATTTTTTAACAAAAATAACATCTGAAGAATATTATGTTGTTAAAAATAATATCTTCAATAAAGACACTAGACAAATAATAAAAGACGATTGCATAAATGGCATCATACAACAGAAACCTGCAAAATTCCCTTATACAAAAACAGATTAGAACATTCAAGTAAATTATATAGAACCAAACATTTTAGTAACATGGAATCTTCCAAGTACCAAATTAAACCAAAATAGCCAAAATAAAGAGTTCACTATAGAAGTATTTCCTTCCTATACAATCATAGAACACACAAAATTGTATAATGTATTGCAAACAATAATTATAATTGCATTCATTATAACAATAATAATTATAATTATACATGTAACCATTAAATTTAAGCAACGTCCTAAGACATTCACTGTAAAATGCATAAACCCGACAATAGAAGAGGAAGAAGACCCGACCTCAACTGTCATACTCGACACCCCGTCACTATGCCCGAGGGTAATCGCCTAGGGACAGGCTAATAACAAACGTTGGGGGAGTGACATATCCATAACTCTCCACTTCACATACACATCATGTTTACGTCCTATACACCCCACCGTAACCATAATTAACATGACACCGCTCAAGAATCAACAACTGATTCTTCCTACACTCCAAGCTAGAGTCCCCTAATATAAACAATGGACCCCATTGATTCATCAACGCCAGAATCACGCCACCCTTAAGAAATCGATTCTCTAGAATCACGCCACACATGAGGACCAATCAGAGCTAGGCATAAAACCAAGGAGTATCACATTCCTAGCTCCCTCGTGCAATGCAAGACCGATCGCCAGCAGCAGACGCCTTTCATCAAAGACGACGCATCCCCAAATATTGGTCCAGGCACGTACGCCATCGCCACGAAGATACAGCCGAGGAAAGCGATGCCCAAAGCGAGAGTCGAGAGAAGGGAAGGGAGAGAAGCTCATGGAAACTAGCCAACAATAGAGTTCAGTTCCGTTTGAGACAAGCAGACATAAAGTTAAGTCGGCGAATTCATTATAAATCTTGGGACATAAAGATCTTAAGTTGTGAAATAAAATCTTTTTTAAAAACTTAAAATCGTGTTGCGGATATTTAACTATATATAGTGACATATCTACAGTCCATGCTCCGCATACCCTTATCTATGTCTGTTACCCTGCACCCACATAATATAAACAATCCAACACCCTCAGCCTCGAATCCCATAAACAATCCCACGCTCGAAGTGGACCACTTGTAGCCGATAGCCGGCAATGTAAACAAACACCCAAAGCTAGGAGTCGAACATAAAACAATAGATGCCGCGTATCCAGCCGCTCTAGAATCACGCCACCCTCCAGAGATCAATTACTAATCGATTCTCAAGAACCACGCCATCCTAGCTCACCAATCAGAATTGGGCACAAAACCAAGGAGGCCATATTCTCAGCCACCCCCAAGTAATGCAACACCTATCATACGCAGCGGAAGCCTTTCATCAAAAGCCGCCTTTCCCACATACCGATAGAGTCACGTACTCCATCACCGAAGCAGAAGCGGAAGCCAACGCCTCCGAATTCCAATCCGAGGATCGTAATATAAATAGTCAACATCTAATCTGTTCAAGACAAACGTCAATCCCGACACCGTCGGAGAATTCAACCAAGTTAATTCCGTTTAAGACATCGGACATTAGTCATCGTCGAGGAAACTAACTTACAATTGTACGCTACGTTTAAGTAAATAAATAAATCTTTTTTAAAACTTAAACTCTAGTGTCGCATATTTAACTATATATATACAAATCTGAACTATTATTATTAATACATATGTTATCTGTTATGGTATAGGGTTTAACTATATTATGTCACCAATTTGTTATGTATTTTATGTACTTAGTATGTTTCCGCGTTGATGTTTCATCGTCCATTCTTGGGAAGGGAATATTCTGAAAATAAATAGTAATTCTGTAGATTTCAATCTTTGTGGAGATTCTTGAATCTATTCACTGGGAAGTACACTTTGGATTCAATTTAATTTATCTGTTTCTTAATTCTCTGCATTTGGGATACGAGCTACCGTCTGTTCCTTGTGTCTGCTCTCGATCTCTTTATGCTGTTGGATAAAAAAAAATGCTTTGATCACTCGTTGATAGAGCCCTTGCCCAGTGCCCAGAACCCTTTGTTCACATTATTCTACACTCGTTGGGCGACATCGGAGCCCACGTTCCCCAATTTATTCTCTGTATTGGCCCATTAGGACCGATTCGATTTGATTTTCACTCTTGTTTTAACACATTTTCGAGCCTTCTACTAAATGCCACTTTACTGCACTGCACACACTTAACACTTACATAATTATGAACATAAAAACTTTGCTTTGCATCTATTTGTCCGACCCAAGGCCTGGCTCTATTTCCACTTCGACACCTGTCGCGTCCTGCAACATTGCTCCAGAGTTTTCCTTTTTAGATTTGGTTCCCGGATAAACGAAAAAAACAGAACCGTTCGATTCTGGTTCTGCCACTAGACTGATTTTGTTTCTTTCTTTGATTCCGAACAAAGCTCCAAAATATATGTGCTCTGCCGCTTTTGTCGGTGAGTGTGTCGAGGGTGGGGGAATCTGCTGAGAGAGAGCCGCTGAGTGGAGGGGACGTCGCCTCCTTTCATCGTTCATATTTATGCTTGCTTATGCCGGCTATGTTTATTTGTTTTCCTTCATAATAGCCGCAACTCTAGGCGCCTTCGTGAGGGTGCGGAGACAGGGGCTACTGATATTCTCTTTCTCACTCTTTCTCTATTTGTCACTGTGTAGAAAGCGAATAGAGGAGTACAGGAGTATAAGTACATATGAACATATCTCATTGCATATACAAATCCATTTTTTTAGGTTTAATTCATGTCGGCAATGGCCAGTACTCAACTTTTTCAAGACTTAAGAGATCGTTTTCACAGATGCATGTATGTAGTTTTTCATGGAGTCTTTGTTCGGAATGAACGGGGATGATGTAAGCGTTGGTTTAAGCGAAAACTTGGTTTCCTTTTAAAATTATCTTAATAAATATACATTAAAAGTTATATGTAGGTATAGGTAGATGATCTAGTCTCCTGCTAGATGAAAGATGAAGGTACTAATCATCTAGTGTCAGTGTGACGATTGAAGCCATCGGCTCCTTGTCCTTATCGCCCTTCTGCTTGGCATATTCCGCACTCAAAAGGCTCATGACTTCCTTGTGCGGGACATTGCCCTGCTTGTACTTCTTGAAATTATCCTTTACAAACTTGGCGAAGCCCTTGGCCTCGCCCGCCGGCTTCGACACGGTATTGCCAAGCTTGTCCTTCTTGTTCAGAAACAGTGTGATTGGGCCGCGACATAGACGACAGCGGAGATTCTCCACCTTGCGAGATCTGGAGTGGGCGTGCGAGCTGCAAGGGGATTAACGATTAACGATGGCATCAATAAGCTACAGCAACCAGAGAATGGACCACGAAACTTACTCAAGCTGGCAGCTTACACATTTATACGTGTACTTAAACTCAATGCTGTAGCTGTGGCAGACCGTGATGGCGGGCAGCTCTGGATACTTTTTGTTGGCGCGATTGGCCCAGTTCTTCCAGACACGGCCGTGTCCACCCTCACCGTTGAACACCCAGGTGGCGGCATGACACAGCTCGTGGATGAGCGTGCAGCGGAGTCTGTCGGCTGTGGTCAGCACCTTTACGCTGAGCTCGACCACGCTAATCCGTTGATTGAGTCTGAAGGTTGAAGAAAAAACAAAGCCAACGATTAGAGGCAGCTCGTGGGCTATGCGTGGTTTCGGGAAACCAACTTTCTCTTATTCATGCATCGTCCAGCCGTGTTGCGCAGCAGTTTCGACCACGTGATGGTCACGTCCAGCTCATTGTTGAACACGTTCGCATTGAACATCTTATAGAGGCGCTCGGCCAGCTGCTCCTTGTTTTTGGCAAAGTTCTCCCGATAGAAGAGCGCCTCCTTGTCGCTGAACTCTCGACTGACCTGTCCTTCCAGCGATTTCAGGAAACTACATTTGCCCTCGTTATTCTTTGGTTGCTCTTTAAGTTTCCGGGAGATCACTTTAGGGGGTGCTGTTTTTGGTGCCAACAGCTTCAGAATCGGGCTGGCTTTGGGCGTTACATTGGTGTTCTTTGCTATACCCATGTCCTTCTTCACCTGCTGCAGGCGCTTATAGACGGGCGTGTGCGGTAGATAGTCATTCTCCAGTTCCTCCAGCATATCCAGTTCACGTGCCTTATTCACAATCTCAATGGCCTCTTCTTCGGTCTCGTAGCCAATGTTTGGTTTGAACAACCGTCGTCGTATGGGGGCTTGGACTGTGGGCGTGACGATGGCGGTGTCAGTGGTGGGTTCTGCGGGCGTAGCAGGGAGCTTGGCTTTTGTGCCAGCGCGACATGAGCGGAGAATATCGTCAAGGCGACGATGATTTTTCGGAGCTGTTGGAATGACAAAGTTAGTATTTGATCTGATTTTAGGTCCCAATGATCTTACATTGAGAATCCATGTCGGGATTGCTGATCACCTCGACCTCGGCCTTGGTCAAATCCAAGTAGGTAACATCACCCTTTCCATTTCTTTCGTCATCGCTGCAACTTTCACTGCCGCTGAAGGTTGCATCCGCGTCCTCGTCGTCGGAGGCATCTGTACCGCTTTCAGAGTCAATCAAGGCACGCCAGCGGTCCTCATCCACATGGTTGGTGCGTGCCTTGGGCTTTGTGGGGGTTGGGCGCTGTGGCCGGGCGGCACGGGGACGTCTTTCGGTCTGGACGGCGCGCTGCGGCAAGCGAGTGGAGTTCAATGGGGTCTCATTGGAGTGCAGGGTTTGCTTGACTACATGCAACACAATAAGAGAGAGTTAAGCGTTGCGAGTTAAGATAAGTTTCAGCCTCACTTACATTGGCTAAAATCAGCAAGGACACTCTCTTCTAGTCGCTGCACACGCGGCGCAGGGCGCTCCTTCTTTTTCTTAACAGTTGTGGCGGCTGTTGGAATCTTAAAGTTCCTCGATTTTAGGGGGGCTGTCTTGCCGCCACTGCCACTGGATCGCTTCAGGGTGCGTATGACATCGGGAGTCTGCCAGGATTTTCCGTAAAGCTGATTCAAGAGCTTCTCGGCCTGTGTGAGGAATTGCTCGTCCTCGGAAGCATCGTTGGTTGACAGCATCGACTTTTGATGCTGATGATCTTGTGGCTGTTCCTGCTGCTGCTGTTCCTGATGAACTTCTTCAGCGGCTGGCAAGGATTGGGTGGCCCTTGGAGATGGATACTGGTCGTCATCATCTTCTGAGCTCGATTCCACGGCTGGTATATGTATTTTTATGTTAATCTTGGCCGAGATATTGATACTGTTCACTTTGATGACCGGAGCCTCTTCGCCCGATGATGTGGAGGACGAGATCGGTCTCGGCGGCGTTGGTTCGCCCTCGCTGCATGTCTCTGGGATCTCGACCGATTCATCGGGGATCGGTTCGTCTTCGTTGAGCGTCGAGTCGTGGCAGCCGGATGTGTCGGACACTTCCTGGGAGCAGAGAGTGTTTACTTCGGTGTCGTCATCCGCCAGACGCCTGCTGCTGTCCAAGCATGGCGCATCCTGTGAGCTGAGAGTATTCGCCTCTGTGTCGGCATCCGCCAGCCTCTTGCTTCTGTCCAGTCCGGCTAAATCCTTAGAGGAGAAGCTGGCCACTTCCGTTTCTTTGTGGGCCAACCGCTTGCTCGTGGACGGGCTTGTGGGCTGCTCAAGCGGCATCCAGTCCTCGTCGGTTGTGACCATGGACTCTGTGTCAGCATCGGCCAGCCGAGAACGTCGTTGAGCGGAGGACAGGGGCGACGGAGACATCGGCAACTGTTTCTCCCCCATCTCGCGACGTTCGATTGAGACGTCGCGCAGAAAGGCCTCAATGCGCTGGACCTGGTCGTTGGTCAAAATAGGAGCTGGGATAGGTACCTGCCCTAGGTCAGTGTCAGGTGTACGATCACTCACGGCCATGCTCTCCGGTGGCGCGGCCTCATCATCGCTGGAGTCTGATATAGTAATGCACAAGGCACTATTGTCATCATCGTCATCATCTGCTTCCTCCTCTGTCGTAGATGAGATGCAAATGGATATATCCGGATTGAGCGGCTTGGGCTCCATTGTCAAGTTGGTCACCTGTGTGGCTAGAGCCTCCACATCCACGGGTGTCTGACTGCTTCCAGGCTGTGTGCAGCCATCGCCACTCAGATGCAGAGCTTCCATATATTCGGAGCCTTCGATATCGAGGTGCGTCTCCTCGGCGTCATCGTTGGGAGTGTATTTTTGGCCCATGTCAATGTGGTCGCTACTGGAGTCGCTGCGGAGCAAGGGATTCTCACACTCTACAATTGGTTTAGGCTTTGGGTCTGATTCCTTGGTGTCCCGGCCTGGCGGTTGTCTTCTCTTTTGGGAGGATAGCGTCAGTTTGGCGAATTTCTTGTTGAAGGGCACATTTACTTTGCTGGGGTCGACCGTACTGAACAACTTATACTTATGATCCGCCATTTTGTTGGCGTCGTTCGACTTAACTGTAAATCTCAGCAGAATATGCACAAAATGCAATCGCCAATTACCCAAAAATTGCAAAAATACAAATACAAATCTAGTCCGCGTCAGTCCAGCGTTGATTTTTCCCAATCGATAACTTCTGTCGGTAGAGTGTTGCGAAATCCCATAAAACTAGGTCCTATCCAACACTTAACTGAAGCACTGAAACATAAACAAATTCACTTGGTTTGTGCTTTTAAGTGAAATTAGAAGGATTTAGCTTAAAGTTGAACCATGGCTAGTGTCTCTTCGGCTCGCGAGTCGCTGTCGCACGCCTTGAACAACCGTTTTCTACCCAATCTCGAGTACTTGCTGCAAGGGTCCATCTTGGACTCGGCCGTCGAACATCTAATGCACAGGTATGAACACAAAAGATGGCAATTATATATGTATGTTATTGAAATATTTGAACTTTAACCAGGTTAAAAGGCCTCTGCGATAATGTGGACACATCGCCGGAGACCTTCCATGACCTGGAGGTGTGCATGAGTCTCCGGCAGCCCAACTCCAATCAGCCGCTCTTGCTTCGCGTGCGTCGCGCCTTGGGCCGGGACGCTCCCTTCCAGATGCGTTACCTCGGCCAGCCAGAGGTGGACCAACGTCGCCCCACATTGGTGCGCAGTTGCATGGACTGTGCCTGCACGAACGGCATTCTGGAGTTCCTTACCGAAATGGGGTTTCGCCTAGAGTTCGAATACATCGCCAAGGGTGAGTGATCAAACAGAAAGAGCGCTAAAGCAAAGAAATATTCCAATGTATACCATGTAGGATACATGTTTCGCAAGGGCCGCATGAAGATCACCGTCTCGAAGCTTATCAAAATCATACCCGGCAAGCAGCAGGACATGGCCAATGAGCCGATCTCACAGAGCTACATTGTGGAGCTCTCTGTGGTGGCGCCCACGGGGCAGGAGAATGTCGGCGAAGAGATGCGCGTTTTTGCCGAGCAACTGAAGCCGCTGGTGCAGCTCGACAAGATTGACTACAAGCGTCTGGGGTCCATGCCCTAAGCCTAATGTCCATAAATGTGAAGACTTTTGTAATTTTTTTAACACTTATTTAATTGCTAACGCATTAATCCATAGAAAAATATATAAGAACAATTTAATTTCTGATTCATCAAAATAGAACATAAACTCCGACTCTCCGAGATGCCGGTGGAAATGTAAACGAAGACTTACGTCCGGTAATTTTAAAGTACATACAAAAAGTTAAGGAATGGACTTGTAGTCCCCATATTCGTTAGTCCTTGAAGGCTTCGTTGAGTGCAGCCAAGTTGCGGTCACTGACATGACCCTGCAGGTCGCTGCGGCCCATTAACGAGATGACCATCTTCACAGTGCTCCAAATCGATTCGGACATCTGGTTCTGGCCACTGCTGGTGGCCGCCATCGCCGCATTAGGCAGCTCCCGGGCGGCGTTCGTATGGGCCTGCATGGTGAGGGCCGTCAGGAGGTGCTCCACAGCCTCCTTGTAGGCCTTGAGGTTCATGCAGCAGACACCGACATTGTAGCGAACACGGATGAAGCCCGGCTGCAGCTGCAGGGCATGTTGGTACGCCTCGACGGCCTCCACGGAACGCGAGCCATTGGCCAGACTGGCTCCCAGGCGGTTCCAGGTCTTGGCATTCTGGGGATCCTTTTGAATGGCGGAATGATAACAGTCAACGGCCTTGTCGAATTCACCTGAAAGATTGTAGAGCACGCCCAGGGCCTCCTGCACATCAGCATCCACCTCGGCCGGATGCAGACGAACTGCTTCCAAGTAGATCTGCTGAAGATCTCTCAGTTTACTGGCCCCAATCAGGGACGACGCCAGTGAGGTGCCTTCGAATTGCAGCTCCGGATGGGCGGCTATCAAGTGCTGGTACTTGGGATTCACCGCCAGCCAGGTGGACAGCATTTTCACAGCATTATTTTGCAATCCCTCGTTGGTGTAGCACACAGCAAGCGCCATAAGCACCTCCCGATTATCCGGCTGAAGGTCCAGGGCACGTTTCAGGGCAGAAATGCTCTGTGGATCCATTTCATTTTCGGCCTGTGAGGTGCCCAGCAGCTGCCAGATTTCGGCGCGTTCTGGCTCTTTTTTGGCGGCCACCTCAAAGCAGAGAACAGCGCTGGGAATGTCACCCTTGGTGAGGTACTCTTTGCCCTTTTCGAACGCATTCTCCAGCTCAGACATGGGATTTTCTTCGGCAAACTCGTATTCCTTGTAGGCATCGAGATTCTCGCTGTATTCCGAGAGCCAGGGATGCTCGTTCTCCTCGGCCAGCTTCTGCCATTCGTCTTGCAGGCGCTGCCAGAACTTCTCATTAAAGTTCGACGCTGTCTGCTCCTTCTGTTCGGTGCTGCGTTGATAGTCGGTGATCCAGTCCTCCACGGACTCCCCCTGAGCGGCCCTGGGTAGGTTGTCTGTGATTATGGTCTCCATGGCAGAGTCAAAGAAGGGGTCTTGCTGGGGCGGAGCTGTGATGGCCATGTACGGCTGTCGTGCCATAAAGTTTTGACTGGTGATCAATGGCTCATCGAAGAACTCCTGGGCGTGCATCATCTCCTGCTGTTGTGGGTGCATGTGAATCATCTTGTTGGGCAGTGGAGGGGCCAAGCCGCGAGCAAAATCCTGGCTCCATTGATCGGCCTGGTGCTGCTGCTGGGGCGTCCCATTAATATTTATGTCCCGCATCTCCTGCAGCAACGTGTCCATTTGAAAGGATTGCGGAGGGGCAGCCACCTGGCCGAGAAACTCATTGATGAGCTGCTCATCGGGACGGGTGCCCCGCTCGAACTGCCTTTGGACAAAGCCCTCGTCTTTGTGGGCCACATCGCGGGTGAATTGGCCGCCCAATTGCATCAGAGGATTGACTCCCCCGCAATCGCCTTCGACCAGTGGACGCAACGACATCTTGGATCTTACTGGAGGATATCGGGGATGATGCTACGTAACTGCTTCCCTCTTCTAAGATAAGAACTAAGGAGGCCGGGGGCCGCTGAAAAAGCAAAAGTCCAAATGTCCACAAAAGATTGGTAATCAACGGAGAACGGAGCGTTTTCCAATACTGATACTAAACTGAGTCCCTTTGCAGCACTGACCAAAGTAATTATTTAAATTGAAATTCACTAAATGTTTTTCAACGATCCACTACATTTGGTCATGTGGATTTTTAACTAAACTTGGAAACACATTTATTATCATATGAAGTTTTCTATCGTTTTAGAGGTTTTTGTGTGATTGTGTCTATCTGGCAACCTTGCCAAATCTCTGAAATATCTGGCATCTCTAAATTATGCGAATCTAGGAAATCAGCCGGGATATTTGTATTCGTTCCGTATTCGTAGCATGGACTATGATCTATTCCAGTCGGATGACGATGAAGACATACTTACGGCCTTCAATGAGGCAACACAGAGATTTCAGCAGGAGACCCCCAGCCACCGAATGGAATTGGGCGATCAAGATGGCGAAGACGATGATGATGATGATGGCCTGGACATCTTGCCCGAGTTCAACTGCTCCGGTCGCGATACTTTTAAGGCTCACAGCTTCCCAAAGGGGGGATTTGTACGCAATGGCTTCTCCCAGCGCCCTCCCCCATACAGCAAATGGGATCAAATTTGCTCGGACTTCAACGAGGACCAGCTGCAGGTTTATGCAGTGACACATTACCTCTACAATGAGGCTTGGTGAGTGGCGGCACACACACACAACCAGAATCAGGGATTCATAAAATTGACTATTTGCGTGTTATCTAGTAAGAATATCCAGAAGCTTTTCGCCGCCGTGGCCGGTCAACAGCAGCTGCAAGCACCCACAACAATGACCAACTCAATTTGGTACAGAGCACGACAGCAGGTGACCCAATTTTATCATTTGCTATTGCGCATACACGATGAAAACATCTGCATGGAAGCACCCCGATTTTTGGAGGATCTGCGCAGCCTGCTCAACAATCTACTGGATGCGGAGGCCTGGAAAGTTCTGTACTTTGCGGAGCACAGCAAGGGGAACGAGTGCCCTGCGCCGGCCTATCATCTGTATCACGGTGTTCTAGAGTGGCGTTTTCTCGACCTAATCCTGCTCAACGACTGCCAAGGGGCGACGGAGGCAGCGTTGTTGGCCCAACTGGAGCATACGCTGGGTGATTTGGTGCTGTGTGCCAGCCTTTACTATCGCAGCAAGCATCGACCCGAGCTCATTCACACATCGGCGTTCATGTGTCGCTGCACCAAGGAACTCTGGCTGCTGCTCAGTGTGCTGGCGCCCAAGTGGTTGGCGCAGAGCCAGCTGGGCATCTGGGACTTGTTCCACAAGGCCATGCAGGGCCACAAGGCGGTGTATTTTCCAGGTAAGAATTACCGCCTACCTTCGCGCACTTCTCCATCTAATTAGATCGCTTCCGCCGCTTCCTTTACAGCCGAAAGCAGCGCTGTTTCATTGGCCTTCCACGAGTTCTACGCATGGCTGAGGCTCAGCCTGGCCCGCCTCAGCGATTACGCGGACAATGGCGATTATAAACAGAATCTAGCGGGCCTATGTGCTCCACCTGAAAACTTTCAGACTGCCAGCCTGCTCAAGCAATTCCTCTCCAGCCAGCCCGATGAACAGCAGCGACGTGTCTATCTGTGTCTTCTGGCGCCCCTCGAGCTGCAGCGGGGTCGCCCCGACCCAGATGTGCTCTGCCAGCTCTGGGAATATCTGCATCGCTCACTCAACTGCAACTTCAACGCGAGCACAGAGCTGGAACAGCTGCCCCTCACCTGCCCCAGTGGCTCGGCCTATGTGGAGCGCTACAGCAGGCTCCTGTCCAGGGACCAGCTGGAGGATCTCAATCTCAGCAGCTTCACCATGTACGCCTGGATGCTGGGCCGGACCTTAAAGCTGCTCCTAGCCCAGCAGGGAAAGGGCAACCAGCGACAGAAGCTGCTCGGGCGGATCTTCAGCAAGTTCAGTGCGGCCAAATTGCTGGCTCTGAATGAGCCGGGCATACACCATGTGATAGAGCTGTTTCTCTGCCTGCTGCTCTCCCACGAGGACCTCTCCGAGCTGGCGCCCAAGCTGAGGGAGATGCTGCTGTGCCTTGCCCTAGAGAAATTGCCACCGGTCCGTCGAATTTCGGTGGCCAAGGGACACATGGCCATGCTGCTTCTGCATGCACGGCACCGTCTCTCCCTGGATGACTATGTGGCGAAGCTCCTGGGCCAACTGGCAGCCATTCGCAACGACGTGGAAGTAGCCGCCATTTACGCGGGCACCCTTCAGGCCATTTTCGACCTTGCCGATGACTTTGCCCGCGGCGAGCAGCTTCTCCTGAGCCCCTGGCTGACACATTATGTGGAGAAGAGTGGCCAGGCCTCGCAGGATCGCGTCTGGCAGGCTCTGCACTCGCTGATCCAGCGGCTAGGCGAACCGAGGGTTGTCTCCGGCAATGCCAATGGGATGAAGGAGGCGCTCCAGCAACACATTCTGCCCCTGCTGCGGGTGCAGTACGTCAGTGGGCACAGCGCCTGGCTGCCGCGGCTGGCGGCGGAGTTCGTGAGCTTGGACAAGGATCGGGAGAAGCTTATGGTGAGTTTTTTGCAGGGCCCCGAGCCGGCCAACATGGCTGCCTCGGCCCAACTGATCGTTCACCTGCTGGAAGAGGCAAGCAGCCCGGTGCCCCCATCGAGTGCAACAATCCTGCAGGTTTGGATCAAATCTCTGGTCCTGCTCACCGCCCAGCACGAGTCTGTTGCGGCGCTTACCGCCCATGTGGTGCAGCTGGAGGAGTTCCAGCTGCTGGCCATAGATCCCACTTCTTTGGCGGGTCGCGAACCGCTCTGCGCTTTTTTCGGTGCCCTCGGACGACGGGCCCAGCTAAAGGAGGCGGCCGCCCAGGCTCGCATCCGGATGCAGCTGAGCCACAGGCTGCACGCCTACGTGAACCACTTCGAGATGTGGCTACCGCCGGACCGACTGCGCTCTGAGCTCGGCTCTCGGTTCTACAGCTTCCTGGCCATCGTCATATACAACTGCCCGAGCCTCGCGTATGTGCGTTCGAAGCCAAGCTGCTTCTTCCACCTGGCCATGGTGCGCTTCCTGCTGACCACACAGCTGCAGGCCGGTGTCCCGCCCGAAGGTCGCCTGCCCCAAATGGTGCACAAGATCTTTCCTGTGCTGCTGCAGGGGATCGGGAGGCTGCCCTACCGCACGGACGCGTATCTGGGCAAGACGCTGGAACAGCTCATTCTCCACTGGACGCCGCACTTCAACTTCTCCCCCAATGCCAAGCTGGTGGCGCGTCCATACGTGACGCTCCTCCAGGCCGACGCTGGGGATGATGGCGAGCTGGCGCAGTTCGTGCTCCAGCAGCTGGTGGGACATTTTCTGGTTGTTCTGCGCCGCAAGGCGGGCAACCATTCGGGTCTCGTGATCACTTTGCTGCAGCAGCTGGTCGAGGCCATCGCTGCCGACCAGGAAAATCAGCTGCTAACCCTTCTCCGAGCCGTTCACATACCCCTCCTGGAGCACGTCATGTTTGTGGATGAGCTGGAGCACAGTCGCGGCCAGGTGCTGTCTCTGTATCGCATCATCGTCTCTCACGAGGGCTTCAGGCGCTCTCAGCCAGCCCGAGCGATGTGCCTGAGCCACCTGCGCTCCCTGGCCGAGAAACACTTGGCCCACTGCACATATTTCTACTTTCAAATGCTCATCAAGCTGGCGGAACTGGCCCCGGAGCTAGTGGCACCGCTGCTGGACTTCGTGTGGGAGCAGGCCAAGCTGGTGGAGCTGAAGCGCGGTGCTGGCGAGGATGTGGGCATACGCAAGTGCCTGCAACGACTGGAGAAAGTCTTGGGGTAGCCGATAACGATACGATAACCCTTTGCAAATAAACACACCAAGAAAGGTACTCGCACAAGTAAGGCTTGTTGGAAGGCAGGCAGTTCGGTTTACTCGGGAAGACTCGGAAGACTCTACAGGAAATCGCCAGCGAATCTACACAACATTTTTGGCCGCGCGGGGTATCCGATTGGTCAGATGATTGACGGGCATGAAGCCGGTATCGCCGAGGTACTTGATGGACACATTCCCCGATGGACTGATGGTTAGCCAGGTGATGGACGCATGGTTAATGCTGATCCGCAGCCAGGCCTCGGGCGGGAACTGAAGTGCTCGACAGACAAAGTATCGGATCACATTGCCATGGCCCACCAGGAGGGTGTAGCTGTCCTTGGTCTGGTCGGGATAAGCACGATAGAAGTAGCGCCGGAAGGCGGCCTCGATCCGGGCACCGTCTCTGAAGAACTGCTGCAGTGTCAGTGAGGATCATGTAAAATTGAAGTCAATTCAAGACCCGCGGCAAGAACTTACCGACGCTTCCGGCTTCCAGTGGCCGACTGGCGGCTGGGGCGGTATCGGGGCACCCTCCCGCAGGAAGGCGCAATTCTTCACCTTCGTCTTCTCGTAGTCGATCTCATTGAGTATAATATCCGCCGTCTCCTGGGCGCGCACCATTGTCGAGGCTATCACCTTGTCCCACTTGATGCCCAGTTCGCACAGACGCTTGCCCGTGTATTTGGCCTGTTCCCGCCCACGTTCGGTCAGGTGATGCGTCTCGTCGGTGTCCCCCACATCGAGGTACTCGCCGTGCCGAATGAGAATTATGTGACGGGCATGTTTCGGGACCACTTTCTCCAGTTCAGTGTTGTACCGATTCTGCTCCTGGGACAGATCGTTCTTCACCGGCTTCACTAGGCTCTTGGGGTCGCGCAGGTCCCAATTGTGGTCCCACAGCGCACACGGATCCACCGGCTTCTCGCTCCTCGTCCACGAGTTGTGCACCGCCGCCTTCGGCTCATTCAGTTTTGTTAGGTAGAAAGTCAACAGACCGGCCCCAGTGCCGCATGCAAAGGCTGTGAATTTTCGCATTATTGCTGGTTGACGATGAACGCTGAACGATGATGATTGAAAAATTCTTCGCGATCTTCTTGTTCTTTCTTTGGATTTTGTTCTTTTGTTATCCACTCTTCAAACCCAGGATAAATATGCGCGATGCGTGGGCGTATTTTGTCAGCATCCGCGAACGGTCACATTGCGCGCCAGAGCACTCACAGCGGTCTGGCAGCGCTGCCTAACGGCGCCCGAGGCCGTAGAGCAGATATAAAATAGGTGTAAGAAAACTATGGTATAATACTGTGTCTACATGTATTGCATTTACTTTATGCTAGGTGTGTTTAAATATATTTATGTATGTATATGTACGAGTATAGTATGTATTTATTTGTATAGTTTACCACCTTCTCTTTGGTCGTCCGATAAACAAACTCCTTTATAAATAGTCGGTTTCGGGTCTGGTCTGTCTTCAGTGTTGTGTTTGTTTTCTCTGCTAATCTCTGCACTAATCGTAAGTTAAACTCTAGGTCAACTAAACTTTAAGCTAAACTACTGCAATTTAAAGCTGCCGCTTTAGTAGTTGCGAGTTCCTTCTCAAAACAATTCCAAGGGGTCGGCTGCCTAGGCGCTGTCTCCGGCAGCGATCACGGGTTCGTCTTTGGCTGCCGGAGATGATGTGTCGGCGGGACTGGTGGCTGATGGTGCTGTGTCTGCTGCTAGCTGATCCGTGCTGGCAGTACGCACAAACACTGCGGAGGCCTCAATCACAATTGTGGGCAAGGCGGCTTCTGTTTTTTGCACCTCGGGGGAAACTGGGATGAGCTCTGCAGAAACTGGAACAGGCTTAGCCTCTGGTTGTGGCTGACTCACGGGTTCCACTGCTGCGGGCGCTGCCTGGACGGGGCTCTCCTCTGGCTTGGCAGCCTCCGGTAGGGGCTCATGGTTTGGTGCAGCTTCTGTGACTGTCACAGCCGGCGCAGGCTCCGGGATTGGTGCCGACACTTGAGCTGGAGCTGCGACTGGCTTGACCTCGACTGGAGCTGCGGCAGCTGGAGCAGGAGCATCAGCAGTAACCTGTGGTGGCGACGGTGATTTCGCTTTTGCTTTCGACTTTACCGCCGGCGACGGTGTTCGCGCCTTCAGCTTCTGCTCGTGGGCGCTGCGATCGAGCAGCACCGATGTGGACTGTGGCGGGGCAGGACTCGCCGCGCGCTTGATCTCCTCGATCTTGGCCTCCATCTCGCTGCGAATCTCCCTGATGGGCTTCAGCAGGAATATGGGCACATTGTCGTCGCGGCGCTGGTACAACATCTCGCCCTCGAACTCCACCAGTTTGTGCTTGCGGGCACGCAGTAGTATGCCCACCACCTTGTCCGAGATGTAGTTGTAGATCTGGAAGAGGATGATGGAGAGGCAGAGGGAGAGGGAGGTGGGAGAGTATTAAGTGACTGCCGAATTCGAGGCTGAAATGCTGGAACTTACGTTGAACAACTCGCCGAAGGGAATCACTCGCATGCCTGGCTCATCCTTGACGTCGTAGCCCTCCGTGTTGATGATCTGGCATAGCTCCAGCATTTCCTTCATCACGTGCATGTTGGCCTTCTGGCCGCGTGCCTCTGTCAGACTGCCGGCCAGCGGCTTGCCGTACTGGTCCTTGGAGAAGGTCGGCTTCGGCGACGAGGCGCGTCCATCCTGCGAGAACGGATTCAATAACTGCGACTGCTTGTGCTGCGTCGCCTGATTGTTGAACATGGCCACTTTGGAGGAGAGCGGCGAGTCCTGCAATAGTCACAGATCGGGTCGGGAGTAAGTCAATTGGATTCATTCACAGGGTTTCTGAAGGAAAGGGGAGAGAAGCCAAACAGTTTGACCCGGCGCCACTCTTTTTGTTCTGTTGGCAGACGGCGATGCCACCCAGCGAACGGCCTTGCCAGACATTTGCATTTTCCTGTCATTTGGCGGGCAATTAGTGCTTTTCAAAAATTACACTCAAGTTGTTCGAACAACTTTTTGGCTTTGAACTAATTGGCCGCAATTAAGAAACATACGTTCTGTGTAATTTTTCATCTAACAAGTGCAGAATGCCAGCTAGCACACAGCCAGCAAATGGCTCGAAAGGAATGCGCAAATGTCGTTGTCATAAATAAAAAAAATTGTTTGCTCGAAACGGAGGCAGGGGCGGGGGCGAAGGAGCATGCCACGAAACGAAATCTTACGTATATATATGCATAAATATGTATATAAGCACATATGTATAGAAATTCACAAAGATTGAGAAAAGAAAACAGGAATGACCTTCACGGGCAATTTTCGCCACTAGCCGATGTCCACGGACCTCGGATCACTCACTAGTCACCACCACCACCACCACCAGCACTCAGGCACACCCCATTCTGTTTATTCATCAGATTATTATTTATGGCGAGCGGATATATTTTACGAGTAGAATGGCCCGCAGTTTGACGGAGAGAGAGTCCATGATTGAGTTGCCCATGAATGAATGCGACATATCTGGCGCCTCCGCCTCCGCCTCCGATACAGACTTTTTATTATATGATATACGTAAAGCTCTTTATATAATTTGTTTTGGCAACAACAGCGGCCAAAACACGACGCCCGAATGACGCTCACAATTTGTGTCTTTGATCAATATCCAAAAAATTCTTCAATCAATGCGCTCAACGGCGTTTTTGTCAACCCCCAGGGGGAATTTCATTCATACTCCCAGCCGCCGATAGACAAATGAATTCGGCGATGAATGAAAGAAAACGAAATGCTGCAAGATTCTGGCGGCAGTTTCCTTTCGACTTGTATTTGTATACGAATATGGTCGTGTATGCGAATGCGGGGATTAAAACATCGGTGAAAGTCTCTTGTGAAAAATGCATACATTTTTGTATGGAAATTTCAATTTTGATTTTCACACCGCAAATGTTGGAAAAATATTGTGGAAAACCACATCCGTTCGCACGTCACGTGCATCAAGGCAACGCAACGAGAGTTGGGTATGGGGTGGCGAGTGATAAAGATGAAATTTATGTTATAAACAGGGCTCCCACAAGATTGGGAATGCAATTGGTGCAGGCAATGAACCCTCCTATCCTCTCCTATCCTCTCCTCTCCACTCCATTCGGTAAACATTGGGGAAATCCAAACATTCGAGTGGAGAGAGTGAGAGTTGGGAAAGACCGCGAGACGGTATTGTATTCAGATCCAATGGTTCTCACTCGCATAGGATTCGCAAAGCCAGGAATGTAATGGATCTCTATCGAAACAGGGTGATATGTATGTGCATACATGGGATATTTGTATATAATTTTGGGTACGAGTCGGTGTTATGTCGCCCGTGGGGATGGTAGGATGGGATCTATTTGTCGGCGCCGTTGTCACTCTTGAAAAGTCTGAGCATTTCTGAGGCAGCTAAAGCAACAGCCAATACAGATACAGATACATATAGAGAGACACTCGGTTATAGCCACTACTATACGACTATATCGTATGCATATTCAGCATTGCTATTTCAACCCGAGCGATGGTCATTGCCAAGAATTTTTCCGTGTTTTGATCTTCTTTTTTCTGTGCGAAAATTTGTTCCTTTGTCGTGTCGTTCCCACCACCCCTATACTATAATATCTATCTATAATATATCCACATACTATATATATCTATGTACATATTTTGGCAATTCATGTGGCGACAAATTAAAACAGAAACAATAACAAAAACAAAAACAAGAAACCGCAGCGCCGCCAATTGTTGCTTTGTTTTTTGTTTTTTGGTGGGTTTTTTTTGGGGATTTGAATTTAAATTCTTTATATCATTTCAATTTTAATGATATTATATTGGACGCTTTCCAGTGGCAAAAGACAAACATTTTCCTCGACGAAAACGAAAATGGATTTTTCGTTGACATTTATTCTAGCGATTTGTATTTTAATTTTTGTTGTTGTTTTTGGCTTCACGCATTTCTTGTGGTTTTTTGCGCATAAATTATTTTTCAGGCATTTGTCGCACGAGATATTTTATTTGGGAATAAAGCAAACAAAAATAAGGGAAAAAAACAATGAGAAACATTGCTGGCGGCTGTCTTTTTTTAGGTTCTGTGTGGGAATAGAGCATTCCAAAGATGCCAGAACAGAGCCTGCTGGGTGCTGCCCCCATTCGTGCCCCTCCCTCCCCACCCAGCCGCATAGGTGTTGCAAGAAGTGGAACACTTCCCTGGCGAGCTGTTTGGAAAGTACTTACCACTACGAAGCGCAGGGCGCCCAGCTCGTGCGATACGTCTGCCATGCTGCTGCTGCTGCTGCTGCTGCTGCTGTTGGGCCTGGCCTGGCTCTGGCTTGGATCTTGCAGCTTTATGGGGTACACAGACGACTGGTAAGACTCGTCTCGTCTCGAAAGTTACTCCCGATGTCCGCTTGGCGGTGGCTCTCGAACGCGAATTCGCAACACTTTTGCCTGCGAACAAAAAAAAAGAGACGAAACAAAGCCAAGACGATCATGATGGGGAAAGAAATACCAATTACATTTTGTTCGCAGCCAAACATCATGACAATGGAAGGAAAATCTGTGTTTCGTTCGAGGGCGGCCCATTGTGTTGTGGCATGGAGTGGAGTCGAGTGGAGTGGCGTGGCGTGGAGCCCCATAGCGTTTTTGTTTTTTTTGCACATTTCTTTTGTGACCCAGACCCAGACCCAGACCCAGAGCGAGACCGATTGCCAGAGATAGACCCACACCCAACCCAACCCCACATTAGTGGCGATGCAAAGACAAAGCCAAAGCCAAAGCAAAAGCAAAAGCAAAGCAAACGCCGCAATAAATGCCGTTAGGCCTGAACTCTTTGAATGCGCATGCGCATGCGCGCGACCCCGAAAGATGAACCGGAATTCGTTGCCCCCCCCCCCACCCCCTCCCACTATTCTGCCCATTTCGAAATTCGAATTAACTGGAAATTAACCCGCCCGACTGCCGCTACCTGGGAAAAACGAAGCGAAACCCGCCACACAGGCCCCTCCCTAGACCGGGCCGACGAGAGTCCTAATGGTTTTGTGGGGGAATCCCCTCTTATGTGTACACTCACTTGTTTCTTTAGCGGCTGTTGGTTCCTTTTCGGCTGGAACTCTTCTGTGTGCGGCTTGTACGACGAGTACTTCCTTTGCTCTCTTTTCGTTCCGTTTGCTCTGCTTTGGGGGCCACTCACAATGCAAGACGCAATCTTAAGGCTTCTCGGATATTTCGAACACGTTTCCTCGTACTTCGAACAACAACACCCAAACAAAAAGTAACAAGAAATGCCTGCCGATCGTACAAGTCTGCTTCCACTGCGTTTCGATATTTCTCTGATGCTCGGATTCTCTGGTTTTTCTGATTTTTTCTGATTTTCTGTCTGTGAACTCTATTTTCGTGATTGTACCACGCCGTTTGGTTGCTGGGACCAAAAGTGAGCGCTGAAAGCGAGCGCTCTTTCTTTTTATAGCCACGCCGGGACCGGACCCGAGGCAGAGGCACACTCACGCACACACTCGCAGATAGACACACACACACACACACACACACACATGGATGGAGCAGCAGCAGCTGCCTCTTCGTTTTGGTCTTCGTTTTCACTGCCAGTGCCTTTTGGTTGCTTCTTCTTTGTCCGGCTGTCGCTCTCTGTGCATTTTCTTTTAATTTTAGACCAGCGTTTCTTTCTACTTTTTGTGTCTCTGTTCGTGCACAATCAACTCTCAGCGCCAGAGCCAGAGCCAAAGCTGGGAGCTGGGAGCTGGGAGATGGGAGTTCAAAGCCTGGCCGTAGCTGTGCTTTTCCCTGGATGAACCTGCAACCTGCCACTGCCTGGGGTCACGTCACTCTTCAATCAACACCAGCACCAGCACCAGCACCAGTTTACACGCTTCGCTGAGCAGCTCTGAGCTCTGACCGCAGCTCTGGGAATCTCTTCCGAGAACACCAGACCGAGAAGAGAACCCAAAGACCCGCGAGAGAGTCGCACTGCTGCACCGCCAGATGGTTCGGTAGTCGGTAGTCGGTATTCGGCTCGGACTTTTGGCTGACATTGCTCTTTTTTTTGGGGGGCAGGGAAAAACCGGAAGCAGTCGCCAGTCGCCAGTAGCCAGTCGTTCCCATCCCCGTTCCCCACCCCAAAAATAGACCAATCGACCGGCCAATACTTGATCAGTGGTTTCTCGTTTCGACTTGGACCTGGGCCTGGGCGCTGGGCATCAGGTAATACGATGAGCCGATCCAAAAGAGATGGACAGCCCCAGACGCGTGCCCAGCTGCCTTGGCTTGTCAGCTGGGGCCCGCCAATCTTTAATATATGATTCTATTTCGCTAATTAAACAAATTTCGGTCTGCATTGTGGTGCAATATGGGGTGCACTTGGGGCACTCTCCTCCCACTCTGAGCGGGCTCTACAGGGCACCAGCCTGGCCCATCCAACTGCAGTTCTTTGGGAGGGGGCGAGGGGGCACTTCTCACTTGGTACTCGTATTGTTGCATGTTTGGCTGACAGCCACAAGTGCACGATGCACGATGCACGATGCACGATGCACGATGCACGATGGCGACCAAGCATGCCAAGTGCCTTACCACCACCGCCGTGCAGTGGGAGGCACGTGTGTGTAGGGTAAGGGTACGGACAGGGTAGTGGTGAGTGGTGAGTGGTGTCTGTGTGCTCATCCCATCGGAACCCATCGTGGATCCCACATAAATAAAATCAACTCATGAATGAAAATGCGTTCGCCTGAGCAATTTCCTGTTGCACATTTCGGTAGTCGGTAGCCGCAAGAGTCGCAAAATGCTTAGCATAAATTATCTGATAGATTCGGATGGCTTTGGCGTTGAAAGGTCTCTGTCGTTTCAATGGATGGGCATCAGTCGATGGTAATACTCTGCAATGCCCAAGAGTTCTGTCTGATCTTGTCCTGGGCAACAGTTCCTTCCACTCTGTTTCCATGGAAGAGCCTCTTCTTTTGTCCAAGACATATTCCCAACGAAGCCCTTTCGCTGGCTCGCCCTGCCACTGCAGTGCGAACCATTAATATACAATAATATTTTGTAGCAGAACAGGCCGCACGGAAAACATATGCACAACGACACGTACCCCAACGGCGAGCACCAGAATCCCACAATTATTAAGCACGAGTATTGCGGCGGGTGGGGGAGGGGGGCTGCCATGGGGTGGATGTGGATGGATGATGGGTGAATCATCCTGCCTAAGGGGGTACGGCACGGGTGACAATCGGCCATGAATGTGATTGTTACTCTATAATTACATGTTGCTGGTTCGTGGTGTTAAAGTAATCGCGATCGAGTCGGTTCGGATCGGATATTGCCTAATTTGGACATGTTTTTCCGTTTGGCTTTTGGCATCTGCTTTCTGTACCGTATACGTAATGGGTAAATTGCGCATACGCAGCGGCTGCCTAAGCATATGTTTTTATTAATATTATGATTATTATTAGTACTGTGTGCGGGGGGGCGGTTGGCGGGTGGCAGGGTATGCATTGTGGCGCAGAAGATGAATGCCGATGGCTCATCCTTAGATCTATATATAAAACAGGGCACTTGGTCCGTTCGCTTTGTGCCTACACACACACCCATATGTATGTACAAAAGTATTTATATATGTACATATATGGATAAATCTATATATTCTATTTGCCATCTATATATATACTAGGGGCCTGAGAGGCAAGTGCTGTTGACGCAAATTGTACGCCGCTGCCAAATTGTTAGTATTTTTTTATTGTTATGATGTCGTGCTCTCCAAACTGAAGATTCGAAGGCAGCTGGCGCTGGCACTGGCGCTGGCACTGGCACTGGCGCTGATTGCACTCCCCACCAAAAGGATCCACTCGTATGTACATATGTACGCTCCCTTGATCAATCTATAAAGATCTGCATTCCTGATTCGTATAACATACGGCTTCTCCTTCCTCCGGCCACTTCATTGAACTGTCGGATCGGATCGGATCGGATCGCATCGGATTGGACCGTTTCGTATCGAATCGGGAGCAATGAATGCAATGAGCTATGGGATACAAATAAAATTGGAAATGAAAATGGAAATGCCAATGAAATTCCAACGCACACAAATCCATTTAAATCGCAATCCGTACACATACACACTCCTCCCACGACGCTATATCCGACAGCGAAAAATTGCCAGCTCTTGTAAGACATGTGTAAATATTTACGTATAGCCCGGAGCAGTGCGGACCGGACCGGAGTGGAGAGGGGCAGAGGCAGGGGCGGAGGCAGAGGCAGAGGCAGAGGATGGCGGGCGAAATGACGTCGATGTCGACGACCGACGAACGACGCAAGAATTTTGGAATTTGGCATGGTCGAAGGACGCCTACTTGTTGTTGCCATTGTTGTGGGGGTGCCACAACGTAGTCACCGATCGGTGTGGTGTGGGCGATCGATTGCATGTGTGTGTGTGTGCTTTGATTCGGATACGGAATTGGCTCTGGGCTCCGGCATGGCATGAATCAGCTGCTGGGACTCGCCCAATGGGAATTTCTGAATGGCCCAATGTACCGTACCCGGGGATGAGTGCCACTATATATTTCTGAAACAATATTATTATTACATCGATAGATCATCCGAATACAATGCATAAATGTTTATTTACTTACCCTCTGGCAATCATCTATAATCCGTTTCGACTTCGAATCAAATGGGCACCCAGAGGAAAAGCCCCTGAAATTGTAATATTTACAATTAGATTGAAAAATTAATTTTAAATAAATATATCTCATATGTACATATATACATTTCCTGCAAATTTAATATATTATATTTATTTTCAAGTATTTTATATACATAAAAGTGAATTATTTATAATTTCACTATGTTTGTATATTGAAAAACCGAATATTTAAGTTATACATATATGAATGTGTTTCTGATTGCTATGCCATTTTTCTCTGAGTGTATATGGCCCTGGCTGCCTTTGCTCAAAGCCGGTCAAATGCACAGGCGAAAAGTGGATAAGAAATAAAATAGTACATGTCGTGTGCATGACTCGAGTTAAGCGTTGTTTTCTTTGCAGAGCAATTTCCTTGGCTAATGAAGGCCACAGGCATTAGTTAATGAACTCTTCAATTACTCATTTACAGCGAACATTAGTGGGCATCTTGCAGTCGTCAGCCACAGCAGTGTTGTGTTCCGATTGACCGATGATCCGCTTGAGATCCGAGCACTCAGCTTGCACTCCAGACTCTCGTCAAGAGATTGACCAGTCACCCTTAGTTTGCTGAAACGAATACCAGAAATGATCAGTGCAAAAGGTTGACATTTGCCGACGAAGCAGAGGTGCGATAAGGGAATACAGCAGAACCGGGAGAAACCGATCGAAAAGCGAGGGAACAAACAATCCATTTTGATGGTTAGCATTCAAGCATTCCAGAAATTGTGTTTACATTGGATATGGGGGGCACCGTGGCACCTGACCGCAACTCTTCCGCACCTGACGTCACACACATAGCAGATGGCCGATCTATTTTTGGGCGCTGTTCTAATTTTAGACGATTCCCCCCATTCCGCCCATTGCCAGTCCTAACAACCAACGATGAGCAGCCGCGATAAATGGCAAAAACAAACTCATGATGACGACAACGTGAACTTGAAATGGATTCGATTTAGGATTTTGGGATTGCAGATTGGGGAATCGAGAATGCTTCCCTTAGACCTTCCGGCACAAGGCTGATAAGCCACACCAGATCTCAGATCTGTCTCGCAGCCTCTCTTATCGGTGGTGGCTCGGCGGCTCAGACAAACAGTTGATCGCGCTGCCTCATCTTGGCTGGACCAATGTGGCTCTCCTTAGTGTTCGGTGCGGTGGGCACAGTCTTAGTTCTAGGTCTGTTTAGCTGGCTGCCATTTTGTCGCCGAAGGCGCCGGATCAGTGAGCTGGCTGAGCTGCTGCCGGGCCCAAAGCCGTGGCCTTTGCTGGGCGATGCCCATCTCTTCTTTGGCCTGAGCCCCGCCGAGGCGTGCCTGATGATGGGCCAGCTGGCCGAGAAGTACGGGGACACGTTCAAGCTCCGTCTGGGGCCCTGTTTCAGCGTGATGTTTTTCCATCCCAGCGACGTGGAGCAGGTACTGAGCAGCACCCAACTGGTGGACAAGGCGGACGAGTACGACTTCCTGGCTCGCTGGCTCAACGAAGGCCTGCTGGTGAGCACCGGCCGCAAGTGGCATAAGCGCCGTAAGATCATTACGCCCGCCTTTCACTTCCGCATCCTCGAGCAGTACGTTGAGATCTTTGACCGGCAAACGCATCAGTTCCTCTCGAATCTGGACTTGGCGCGCGGGAAAGACGACAACCTCGTCAACCTGGGCCACGCCGTCCATCTGTGCGCTCTGGATGTCATTTGTGGTGAGTACTGTAATCCCCAACTCCTCTGGAGTGGCCAGTCATCTGCTTGGGGCTTTCAAAGAGCACTTGGCCAATGTCCAAATCCAATCCAGTGGCTCGCTCATAAAAAACTAAATATTGCTCCACTTCTGATAAGATATCAGTAGATCCCCGAGCTTGTTTGTTTTTTATTTCGGGCTCTACGGTTAGCCGCCGGTTACCGATTAGATACTCCACCGACGATTGAAATCTCCGGCAGTTGGGGTGGGGCCGGGGGTGGGAGCGTCGCCCCAAGCTGAGAGCGGATAATCGATGTTCTCGTTGCTGTTCAATGCTCCACCTTTCATGTCCACGGCAGATTGGGACGATTAGTAGTTATTTCACTGTCGCCGTGGCGAGGAGGGAAAATATGTTTCTGCTGTTAGGTGCTTTGCTGGCCAGCGGCCTATTTGTGGCCCTGCTGGTCTACCAGCTCAAGTTCAAGCGTGTGATTGAGGTGATCAGCTATATGCCGGGCCCCCCGGTTCTGCCGCTGGTGGGGCATGGCCATCACTTCATTGGCAAGCCGCCGCACGAGTTGGTCAAGCAGATAACCGAGTTCATGAGCAAGTACGCAAAGGACGAGACTCTCAAGGTGTGGCTGGGGCCAGAGTTGAATGTGCTGATGGCCAATCCCAAGGATGTGGAGGTGGTGCTGGGCACAATGCGTTTCAATGACAAGGCCGGCGAGTACAAGGCCCTGGAGCCGTGGCTGAAGGAAGGTCTCCTCGTCAGCCGGGGTCGCAAGTGGCACAAACGACGCAAGATCATCACGCCCGCCTTCCACTTCAAGATTCTCGATCAGTTTGTCGACGTGTTCGAGAGCGGATCTCGGGATCTGCTCCGCAACATGGAGATGGATCGTCTGAGGCAAGGGCAGACTGGCTTTAATCTCTACGATTGGATCAATCTCTGCACCATGGACACGATATGTGGTAGGAATTGCAACACATTTGTTTTCCGTAGCCTGAACACATGTTTGTAAACAAACGGTAAAAAGTGCAGAGTTGTCGCACACTGCTGAGCCACTCGAGCAGTCTGGCAACAGTGTCGTTAGCTTTTAAAATAACACACTCGAACGGTACGGCAGCGCTGTTCGTTCTCATCCGCCATCCGCATTCCTCATTATTTTTCGATGGACATTTATTTATTACCATGCTATTTCACGCAGAACATGGTATACATATTTTGAAAACTTTGCAATTTTTGTACGCACAGAAACTGCCATGGGCGTCTCCATCAATGCACAGACGAATGCCGACTCCGAATACGTGCAGGCGGTGAAGACGATATCGATGGTGCTGCACAAACGGATGTTCAACATCTTCTACCGCTTCGACTTGACCTACATGCTGACCCCCCTGGCCCGTGCCGAGAAGCGTGCCTTGAATGTGCTGCATGAGTTCACGGAGAAAATCATTGTGCAGCGTCGCGAAGAGTTAATACGCGGCGGCAGCAAGGACGCCGCCGCAGCTTCCAACGATGCGGATGCAGATGTGGGGGCCAAGCGAAAAATGGCCTTCCTGGACATACTGCTGCAGTCGACTATCGACGAGAAGCCGTTAACAAACCTGGACATTCGCGAGGAAGTCGACACGTTCATGTTCGAGGGCCACGACACAACCTCTTCGGCCCTCATGTTCTTCTTCTACAACGTCGCGACCCATCCGGAAGCGCAGAAGAAGTGCTTCGAGGAGATCAGTTCGGTAATCGGCCAGGACAAAAGCACCCCGGTCACATACGAGCTGCTCAACAAACTCCATTATGTGGATCTGTGTATCAAGGAGACGCTCCGCATGTACCCCTCCGTCCCACTACTGGGTCGCAGAGTGGTGGAGGAGTGCGAGATAAGTAAGTATCACGCCCTGCCCAGGCCATGGTCACATCAAGGTATCATTTTCCGAATACTCTACCTTCCAATCAGATGGCAAACGCATTCCCGCTGGCACAAACATCGGCATCTCGCCCCTTTACCTGGGTCGCCGCGAGGAGCTCTTCAGTGAGCCCAACAGCTTCAAGCCGGAGCGCTTCGATGTAGTCACAAGCGCCGAGAAGCTCAACCCCTATGCCTACATACCCTTCTCTGCGGGGCCGCGCAACTGCATTGGTCAAAAGTTTGCCATGCTCGAGATTAAGGCCATTGTGGCCAACGTTCTGCGTCACTACCACATCGACTTTGTCGGTGACACAACGGAGCCGCCCGTGCTCATTGCTGAACTGATATTGCGCACCAAGGACCCGCTACTGTTCAAGCTGCAGGAGCGCGTCTACTAACCACAATCGCATTATCTCGTAAATGCGGCTTTTTTTTTCTAATTTGTATCTGTAAATAATAATGAAACCCCTTGAAACGTACAGCCTTGATCGGCTTTCTTTAAGCCAGGGGATCCCAAAGAGCACGATTCGCCCACGTAGACGCCGCCAGGAGTGAAATGAAAGCCAGAACCACCTTGAATTTAGCCACATGTGTATTTCTAAAGCCAGAAGAGGCAGCCAAAGGTTGGGCATAAAGTCACATGTTGCTGTTCAGTCTGAATTTTGAAAATATAATGTCCGGGATATAGTTATGCGTCACGGCCTGGAATGGCTCGTCAGAAATGCATCGCTTGTCCAGAGAAGTAGAGTCTATCGGCAGTAGTCGGCAACGATTCGCGAGCTGCAGGATCCGTCTGATTTTGGAACGTGATTGGTGTCTAGGAGATACGAGACCGCTCCTGCACTATCTCACTGATGGCATGACTGAGGTCCTCCAGACTGGTGATGTCCATCTCTCGAATCAGGCACAAGGCCGACGATAGAAGATTTGAATTGGTACGCAAACGACGCATCCCCGAATAGGCGATCCCGGGCGAGCCATGGATAGCCTCGGATGTCCCAGATTCCAGCATGTCGTAGTCGGGCTCATTCGGCGTGGATCTGGAAAACTCAGCCATGGCTGCAAGGCGACGGCCAAACGGTTCGTGGGCTCCCTGCCGCGACTGGGCGACGAAGAACGCTCCTGGGCCGGCAGCTGTGGTTACAGTTCTGCATCGCGGTACGCTGAAACTTGGAACAGACTGTACGGCTGGCAAGGAATGCGGCCGCGGGTCTTCAAATTCCGTAGACAACCAGCTAACGGAGGGATTTTCGGCAGGGATCACGCGCTGGCTTAGTTCACGGACGTTGCCGGGAAGGGCACTGGCAGTCCCAAATCGTATCCGTTCCCGTGGGGAAGCAATAGGTAGTATGATTTCGTCTTCGTCTTCTTCGGAAGTTTCTCTGAATGGGGTCATTGGGTACAGTCTGGCTGGGGCTTGTGGTCTGCCTCGGGCCCCGTTTAGTCCAGCTACTGAACTGGGTGCACCACGTTGATGTTCCCTCTCGAAGGCCTCGCGAGATGCTCTAGCAGCGATTCCCTTAGGATTGGAAACCGACTGTGGTACCGGGACTCGGATTGTACTCTTTGGCGCCGGATATGGCACGTTCTGGAGGGCCGCCTTCAGCTCACTCTCGCACACCTCAACGTCGTCCAATTTTGTGACTTGGGGCAGCATGCGCAGCACGCAGGCGCGATAGTTGGCTCCTGCGGCTTCCGAGCAGGGGTTCTCGTCCATCCAGAGGCTTCTCAGGCCCTGGGCATTGCGCAGGTGTTTCAGTTCTTCGAAGCTTTGTATTTCGTTGCGTCGCAGGTATACCTCCTTGAGTCGGTGGCAGTTCTGAAGACTCGACAAACTACGGATCTTGTTCAGACTGAGAGCCAACACCTCTAATCGTGGCATTCGCAGAAGGATCGATATATCGTGCAGATCGCTTCCCCAAGCATTCAGACGGATGGCATAGCGAATGTCGGAGACCTTTGACTTTGCCTCTACCAGTTGTTCAGTGAGGATTACCATGGTTATTGTAAAAATGCCGAAATGAGCCGAAAAAGAAACCAAAAAAATGTAAATAAATTTTACTGCACACAAATTCCTTTTTAGGAATTTTTACAATTTTTAGTTCACAATGAAATTTTGTAATGATTTTGACTGGTGTTGTTTCAGACTGTGCTCAAAATCCCATCCCGGCAAACCAACTAATGTTGACTTTTGAAATCGGCCTACTACGGGCAAACAAAAAGATCAAAAACACTAAAGTTCAACTAAATTTATTTTTCTACACATTTGCTACATGTCAACTACATACAGACGGAATCGACATCGACGGAAAAACGCCATCAAAGCTGTGGGCAGGGCTGTCATGCATTAAATATGTACATAAATACATATATGTACATACATATAGAGAAAATTTGAATTTGGAGTACTTCTAGTTTATTACGGAATACAAAAAAACGTAATTGTGCGAAGATGACTACCAGAGCATTGGTATTGAATTACAGTATTACAAATAAATGTGCATTGTATGCCTTGTATGTCCATACATTGTACATATATTGTATGCGTATGCCCTGTTTCTTGTTACACATTGGGCACTTGTGATAGAAGCGTATGGCGGTTTTGATGCATTGGCGACAAAAAACGTGTGTCAAAAATGGCTCGGCACTTGTAGGCCCCATCCGAAGGCTCGTTTTCGTCGTTGCGCTTGCGCATCGGACTCGAAGGGTCATGGCTATTGGAGCTAGCAGAACTAGTATTGGCTAATATTGGAAAAGCAGAACAATTAGTCTCTTGAATGAGGTTAAGATTTCGTAGACATACTGGGGGCTGTTTCAACTTCCTCCTGGGAATTATCTACCCCGATGATGGCGAATGGCACGGAAACATTCGAGCTAGATTGGGAAGTATTGTTGCTCACAGTATTTTGAAAGTTCTCCATGTCGGAATATTCCAAGAAGTTTTTTAATAACTGAAGATAAACGTGTCTAATTCTGAACAACCTCTTTGTGCATGCGTGGTAATGCCCTCACAATCCACAACTCAACCTGCTAATGGCACAGTTTTTAGTTTTCTCTTTCTATTGACAAACGGGATAAAATGGTTGAAGCAGGCGCGAAAGCGCACACACATGCATATGTAAACGCGCAGCTTTGGCATGCATACATATGCAAACACAAATATATGGCGAATGGCAGAGTAGGACAGAAAATCAGCAAAGGAAAACGCAAGAAAACAGCAGTACGCACTTGTATTCTCCGCCGAGAGGATGCCATCCCGCTCGCACTCGCACTCACAGGCCAGACAACAGCTGTATCCTCTTCGAAGCACAACACCTATTGTCTCCCTCTTACACATACCTACATTCTCGTGTGGCGCCAAATAGCCCATCAGAAACCACGAAAACGGCTGGCAAGAAGTAGTTGATCTGCGATTGAGTAGAAATTTGGCAGCAACAGCGACTGCGCGTTGGAGAATTCAGAGATGGAGTTTGTAAGTAGATCAAATCAATGCGAAACAGTTAATATAAATATTCGTGTCCATTTGTATTTGGAACTTCTCGGCAGATATCTGAGACTAAGGCTAAGATACGCCTCGCCACTCTCCTTAAATGGCACGAGCGCGTGGAGGAACAGAAGCAGAAGCCAAAAAAGCAAGAAAAGGGGTTTATTAGCCGCCAAATGGAATATTATGCCTGGAAGCATCGTGCTTACATTGAAAGCTTGTCGATTTCGCAGGAGAATCAAGACCACGGTAAAATTACACGCTATATGAAGTCGCAGGATAATCAGTTACCGTGGAAAATGAAGAAATCGAAGGACGATGCTATTAAACGCTGGGTGATTTCGCAGGAGAAATACGTCCCGCTGAGGTCGAATGAGATGCCCAGCTATGTGACACTCGACAAATCCCAAAGTGAAGATGAGGCACAGGAAAGTCATTCGGAAACTTCGTCCTTTGGAGACTATATCAACATATCTTCGAAGAGCTGTGTCCGCAAGCTGAGTGACCTCAAGTTGGGTGACTTCAAGTTTGGTGACCTCAAGTTGGGTGGCGATCAGCGTTATTTTTCTCAATAAAGGCTTTGGATAAACAAAAATTAAAACGCTCTTGTAAGGCGCTGCGCTGCTGACATATGATCGACAATGTAGCCAAGGGACTGGAAGCGGGCTTGTTTTGTTTTGGTTAAACTAATGCAGGAGTTTATTATTAATATATTGTGGCAGGCATCGGTAGTGTCTGTAAGTTGGTGCCTGCTAAGGAATATCCCATCCCCATTTCCAGTTGTGGGATAGCATATATAAGTGCATTGATTCCCATGTTCTTTTTTGCACAAAATTGATATACATCCATTTTTGTCTTATGCTGGTATATGACAATGTTTAATATATGCACGAGTATGGAATAGTAATAGTAAATTTGGAATGTGCCAAGTTTTTCATCTCTCGGCATAAACTTGCCGTGAAACTAAATCTACCTATCTATTGGATCGTTTGCAAAGTTCCTTTCGAATACGCTGATGTTTCGTTTGTTCATGTAAGCCCCTTCTTAGCATTATGCATACACAGAGTATATATTGTAGAGGATAAGTATAAATATAAATATAGGATAACAAACAAAAAAATAAGAGAGAATAGTACAGAGAGTACATAATATTAGGATAACAGATCGTACATCTCTTTGGGAGGGGCCTCTTTGGGGCCCCTACATATAGTATAACATAATCATAACAACTAAGGATTATTCCTTATCGACAGACAGGTGGATAAACGATCACTTTCATTGACATTGGTATGGATAAGCACACCGGCACCTACTTCTCTCCCCCAGGGCCCGAGCCCGCTCCAGGTCCCGCGGTGGGCATGCTGCTCTTACGCTGCGCCTGCGATATCTGCACGATTCTCGACAGCGGTGAGTGGGTGCTGCTGGTGCTGGGCCTTGTCCCCGCCGGCAGGGGCAGCAGTCGTGTGGCTGAGGCCTCGTCCGCCGCAGTGGTACCGGTAGCTCCTCCTCCTGGGGGCGAGGTGGGCGACAGTTCACGGGCCAGCGGCGAGGGACGCAGCGAGAGGCGGCGCTGCAGTGCGGACTGCGAGGGGCTGGTGCCCGTGCCCGTTGCCTGCTCGATCAGGCTGGCGCCGGGTGGCGGCGCTTGACCGGGCGGTATCTGCAGTGCCGTGGGCCGGACACTGAAGCGGCGTCGGAACTTGCCCGTGCTCGAGGCCAAGGCTGCAGTCGTTGAGGCTGCCCCTTGATTCTGAATCGGATTCTGACCGCTTGCCCGCTCCGTGTAGCTTGGTGGTGGCTCCAGAATCGGTCGGCTTGTGCCACTCGGCGACATGGTGCCCACGATGGTGGAGCGACGGGCATACAGACGATTGGCGGCGGCCGCCTGCAGTGAGCGGGTCTGGTCGCCGGCAAAGAGAGAGAGTATGGGCGGCAGCTGGGGTGGATCGAGGCCAGCATTGCCCATCTTGCGTTGCTTCCGGCTGCCCAGCCTGTTGCCGCCGCCGGCCGTTGATGCTGCCGCAGCCGCCTGCTGCTGCTCGTCCAGCACGGCGTGGGTGTGCACCACCTCGAGGGCTCGTATGAGATCCGCTATGGTGGTCTGCTCCAGCACGTTCATATCCTTCTCGGAGGTCACCGAGAAGATGCTTGAGCGTCGCGGCGCCGCCATCGAAGCCATCGATGAGGACGAGGCCGTGGCCGTGGCCGGGAAGAGGCTGCCCCGTCGGGCCGCCACTGCTGCCATTGCCGCAGATCCCGAGCCGCTGGTGGCCATGCTGCCGCGTCGCATCTGCATCTGGGCCAGGGCCGCCGCCGCTGCTGTGGGTGGATACATGCTGCCCCGGCGGCCGGCAATGGCGGGATTCTGGGTGTAGATGCTCTCGCGGCGCCGCTTGCCAGCAGCCGGCGGCCGACGCTGGTACGCTCCACTAGCTCCTGCTCCGGCTGGGAGGGAGGCCTGCTCCGTGTCGTCCAGATGGAAGCCCAGGTTGGTCAGGCCGCCGCCGGAGGCGAGGCTGCCATTTGAATCGAAGGGTGGCGGCGGACCGCGACCGTTGCGCAGATACGACTGGCTGGAGGCGGCGGTGACCGTGTTGTTGTAGTAGTCGAGTGGAGAGCGGGGCGGCAGTGCGGTGGCCCCCTCCGGCACCGAGACAACGGACAGCTTCCGCTCCAGATCCTGGGAGTGGCGCTTTCGCTGGAAGGGAAACAGCCGACGTAGGCCATCCGGCATCGAGAACTTCTTGACGCGCCCGGCAATGGGGGTCGAGGTGTTGCCCGCCTTCTTGAGCTGCTCCTCCAGGGCATCCGGCTCCAGGTGGACCATGGAGGTGGCTCCGCCGTTGGCGGCATGGCCCTTGTAGCGATTGTTGAAGGCCTCCTGAATCTGCTGGTTGTCCCCGCTCCAGGTCCACTCGTTGTGCAAGGCCCGCAGCGGACGCTCGCTCTTCCAGTGCGGCGGATCGATGTTGAAGTCGGAACAGGCGCGGGCCCGCTGGCGACGGGGTGGCGGGGCCGAGAACTCATTCACCGTCGAGAAGGACCATTCGCTGGCCAGGATCTGTGAGTCAGAGAAGCCATGGTAGCCCCCATAGAGCGCCGGGTCCTCCGATTCCGCTGCCGGCGGCGGCTTCACAGTCGCCAGAGCACTGACCACCTTTGCCAGCAGATCCGTCGTCTGGCGATATGCCTCCGCCGTCTCGAATGTCTTCTCCCGATCCAGCTTGCTCAGCTCCGTGTCGGAGCTGGCGTGAATCATTAGTCCCGAAGCCGCTGCCGCATCCTGGGCTGCGGCCAAATCGGCGCACACGGAGAAGGCTCGCTTGCGGCTCGGTATCGGTGCTGGTTCCACACGGTACATGCTCAGATCCGGACAGGAAGCGGAGCGCGGCATGGTATATGCAAAATCGATGTCCGTGTAGACAGGCTGTCGATGGTGGTTATTGGACATGTAAAGAGATTGGACTGGATTAGTGTTTGGTTTGGTCTTCGGTTCCGTCTGGATCTGGGATCTGGGCTAGCACTGGGCTCGTTTCGTGATGTTTTCCTCATATTTACTTACGCCTGACCCTCCACCTCCTCTTCTCCTTCTGGATCTTACTAATCTTATTATTCGGCTTCTCTCTATTTCCCTTTCGACAAAACTAGAACAGAGAACATCAACATCTTTAGGGATTATCTAAGCCAATTTAACGAGTATTCGTATTCGCCGCTTAGTAAAAAACATCAAGAGTTCATTCCCAAAGTATCAGACGGCACTACAAAGATTAGACATTCGAGGGGCATGGGCCCCCCCATGGGGCATTGCTTAACCTAAGATTACTCCTTGTATAATTTATTTTTATTTGTTTGAGTTAGGTTTGCCATGGGTTAGTGCCAGATTTCGGGCCATAAAGCCATAAAGATACATGTACAATTTCCAGCAGTCATAAGGACCCAAATGGAGACCAAAAAAAGTCCAAATAAAATGGATCTCCACATTGAAAGACTTGAACTTATAAAACTTAAGCCCTATTATGGCTGTTAAATTTGATTATTACATAGCTGGAAAAAAAAAACCAATGCATTCGCAAGGGAAATAAACAGAAGAGGCTTTTGCGACCAACGATTCCCAAGCCTATTTCAGGGAAACCTGAGGCAATATTTCAGTTTAGTCAATTTAAGAATGCTATCTACGGAAATGTCTTCTAAAAAAAATTCATTTTAAGCCCTCTCTAACGCGGGACAAAGTTTTTACCGTTGCCCGAGATTGGCTAATTTATTGTAACTTTTTAAGAGAGATTTTGTGGAAGAACTTTTATCATAAATTATCTTTTTTTTATGGGTGATAGTAAAAAAGAAAACATGGTATTAGAACTACCGAAAAATAAGGAACAAAAATTAGATTTTTCCTTAAAATTACTATATGGAAACGTGTTTTAATTGATCTTGGATTTGTTGTTTCGGTAGAAATCCCCGAACATATGTACGGTATATTGGATCGGAAATATGTATGTAGACCCAAAAGAATCAGTAGATTTTTTATAATATCAATGGATCTAATACCTCCCAATGGAATCGATGCGAATATCTTCTGAGCTGGAGCTTATTTTAGAACCTTTTTATGGTATGGTGCTTATGATTATTCGTCAGGCATTGATTGATGATTGATTGATTGAGTTTGTACCGATTTTAGTAGAGTTCTTAGATATTTCTTATCATTAAGGTCAGAATTAGTTAGTCGCCCCAGTGATTAGTTGGCTTAAACTATGATTTGCTGTTGCATTAAACTCCCTATTAGCGTATACGAGTACATAGATATGCAGTGCTAGCCCATATATGATTGATTGATTGATCTGCTGGCGGGTATCTGCAATGTATACCTTCACTTTGAGGATATAGAGCTCGTTGAGCATGCGCCTGAGGTAGCCAACATCCTTGGTGACGCCCGTCCAGATGCGGTTCTGCGTGGCCTTCAGATTGGAGGACAGCTGCTGCTCCAGATGCGCCAGCTTCTGGCTCTGCAGACCTCTGTTTATTGTGATGATTGAATGGGATGCAGATGTAGATTGTAGATTGAAGATTGTAGATGGGGTGTCACCAGATATTAAGAGATAAAGATAGATAATACGTTAGGGCATGCAGACGACAAATAACGACGCAACGAAAGGCATGCTATGTGCGGGTATTCCTGCTCCTGCGACTTACCGCGTGATGAATGTCATGATCATGACCAGATATCCCAGCGAGAAGATAAACCAAATGATGACAAAGATCTGATAGACCACAAACCAGCCGCCAAACTCACGCGGCTAAATCGCGGTGCAAAATCAAAGAGAATCGCATTTGAGGTTGTTAACCGATTTCCAAGAAAAACAAAACACTCACCTGATTGGGCCCAAATGTGGGCACGTAGTCGCCAAATCCAATGGTTGTGGTCGTCACATAGCTGTAGTACAGCGAGATGGAGTAGGGCCAGTTCTCGAAGTATGTGAACACCCACGAGGGCAGCAGCAGGAACAGGGCTATGCCCGGCACCAAAGCGATCACCACGGTGGTAATGAGCCCCAGTTGCGGCGGCACATAGTGCATGTCCGTGCTCATCTTGTACTTCTTGTACCTTCGATAGATGGCCTCGAACTGAGAAAAGATGGAAGATGTGACGACCGGATCGATGGATGGGGATCAACAAATCGAAATCACTCACCGTTCGCCCAAAGTACTCGCCCAGGCCGGCAAAGAGTATGCCATTGACCGGTATACCGATCACCGAGTACACAATCATGATCATACGACCCGCAAATGTGGTCGGCGATATGTTGCCGTAGCCCACCGTCGAGCAGACGGTGAAGGCAAAGAAGAAGGCATGGTAGAAGGTCCACGTGAAGGGGATCTCGTGCTCATCCTTCGCGATATCCGTCACCGGCTTGCCGCAGTACTCCGTTATCCGTTCGAGTATCTCGTTCTGTGTGCTCACATTCTTATCCGAGAGCTCTTCCACCAGATATGCTGCAACAAAGACCATACAAGACTCAATCAAGCGTGAAATCAAATCAAATTTAATTAGTTATACGATCCGAACAGATCCGATCCGATCCGATCCGGAAGTAAATGTGCGGGTGGATCGCTCTATTGCTCTATCGCTCAGAGCTCAGAGCTCAGCCGCTCTTCCGCCTTCCGCCGGGAACAATAGGCATAAAAAGAGGCCGAAATCCAAATTGATTCCGATGTCAACGTGTGATGGGGTTGCTGTGGCCGCTTAACGCTTAACGCCTAACCCTGGCCCCCAAAACGTGGGACGTGGTCGGTGGTCGGTGGATCGTCAGCGTGCGACATTTTACACTATACCCCGTGGAGACTCACAAAATTGTAATTCTGGCGGAGGGGGGCATGATGTCACCAGTGCGAGTGCCCTGCTCTTTGGTTGATTGAAATGCGCTCGCTGTCTGTGACCCGGACAACCCCCAAGAGCCCTGGGGGAGGGTCATGAGTGTGCGATCCGTGCCGAGCATTGAGAGATCAACAATCTGATCTTGTGCTACGTTCTCTTGTGGCACATAATGTTTGGATACGATAAATGGGAGCCATCGATAGAATAATCGATTTAATGATCCCATATCACTGGGATCACTGGGATCACTGGGAAAATTCCCGAAAGATCATCGAGGGTCGCTTACACTCGATTGAATGATTGAAACTGATGGGTGGTTGATTCTTGAACTTGTGATCCCTCAAATCAATCGATTAAGCGACGCGATCCATTCATCGATCTTGTGATACCTTAATCAATGACTAGAGATTTCTCGTGATCGGCTGGTGATCCCTGGATCGGGATCGCTTTGGCCAATGGTTCAACACACTCTCGCGGCGCTCAGGTCATGGGGCATCTGTCGGCTGTTTGTCCAAGTGTACCACGGCTGCAATCATTCAATAAACGACCGTCCGGTAATCTTTTAACGAATTGCATAATTCAATAAATGCGTCCGGGGACGCAGTCGAAAATGCAGAAAACAACAAAGGGATTTTTGTAGTGGAGATCTGGCGATGGGACACGACAGCCACTCCCGGGCTGTCATTCTGTGAAGCTCTGCTCTGATCCAATCTGATGATCACAACGGGACGCAATTGGGGGCAATTCAGATATTAACAGCAAGTGCATTATATATCCGCCATATAGTCTGGTGCTGGTGCACAAGCTGCCATACAATTTAATCGGCTTTTGTAAGTAGTCCCCCCTCTTCCCAGTCCCAGGCGCGCTGGATCTTGATTGCTGGCAATTTGTTCATAGAAGTCGATCATTATCTTGATTTCTCGCTCTTGCCTCAGAGAAGTCCTCGCCGTTGCCGTTGCCTTGTGCCTTGTGCCTTTGCTCCGACTCGAGGGCGTTTGAATCTGATTATCGCAGCAGTGCAGTGATTGCACACACAGCCCGGAAAAAAGTTTGCGCCAAACAAATTGATAAATTAATTTAATTAACGCTTGCACCCTGAAGCAGTCTCTGGAATTTCGAATATTAAGTCCAGAGTGCAATCACCATCATGCCGTTTCGAGGTCGAGGTCGATGGAGAGTGAAGAAGATCGAAAGATCTAATGCCACAGCAGTGCCATTCACTCTGCTGCTGTGTGTCCGTTCGCTTATGGGAAATTTGTAGGGGACTCCGTCCAGGGAGTGCCTCGCTCTTATCCTCGCTCTTATCGGGCCTATCGCCATCCCATGTATTCCTCTCGAGCCGACACTTGAAAGTCATAGAGACACCACAGTCGCATGGTCGTGTAGTCACAGTCATAGTCTTAACGATCGTGCGATTCAAGTGTTTATTTTTCCAGTCATTCAGGTGATTAAGGCTAACTTTGTGGCCAGTGGCCCAGCGGCTTTGGGTCTACTTATGTACGTGTGATAAAAAAAAGCCATGTCCAATGCGTTGGATACCTTTGCGGATTAGTTGGGGATTTTTTTGAGAAGCCAGCAGATACGTATCGTATCAGGGAAAAAGGAAACCCTTGACAGTTCGTTACACTCCATCGAGCGAGCGAACGAGCGAGCGACCTACACTTTATGGCCGAATCGAGACCGTGCATCAGGTATCCGCAATCCGATCCGATTCGATTCGATCCACAGACACGTCTTGGGTCGATGGTTACTAATTAGAGCGTTTATGGGTTATTTATTTGCATAATTAGCACGTTTTATGGGCCGTTTAAATTCGGATTTATTGCAATTGAAGAGACGTACAAATACAAATATAAATAAAAATAAAAATACAGAAGTAAATACATCCCCGAGACGAGATCGCGGCTTGATTTAGCGTCTAGATATAACCATCCGCCGAATAGTCTCATGTATCCAACAATACCACTCACTACTCACTCGCAGGGAGTGTGTATCTGTGTAGAGGTCGCATTATTGCCCCAGACTTGTGGAGTCATAAAGCTCACACTTTCCTACCAGCATTTACGCACGTTTTGGCACACAGAAATCAGACCGAATTCAAACGATTGTGCCTTACTATGCAAAAGCACGCCGCACCGGCCGAGGGGCACTGCCGCATATTGCGCGAAACGTACCAATGCATATACATACATATGTATATATGGACATATCTTATCTACATGCTCTACATATCCATATCAATTTATCCATTTACATATATCCTTTCCAATAAATTATCTTTTGATATAATTCTCAAGAAAATTCGCATATTTTCAGCTCGTGATTTAATCTGGAGATACTATTCTTGGTTTACTTATGTCAAAGTCTTAATAAAGCTACAAATCTGTCAGAAAATCGATTGTCTCGCTCTACTCGTTCTTCTAAAACAACACACACGTGGTGTACATGACTGGAATTCAGCTGAAGGTTTTGTTGTTGTTTTTTTTTGTTGTGGTTGGAGTGCAAATGGAAATGGAAAATGCCTTCCCACCGCTGATCAAGGAGACACGTCCTATTGTACCATGTACATGTGTTGGCACAAGGGAAATGTAGATCAACCTCTAGAGTCTAGACCGTGCGTGTGTGTGGGCAGACTTCGTGGCAGACTATTTATCACATATATACATATGCGCTTCTTTGCTGTCGATCGATCACGAGGCTTATGGCTAATGTCTGTGGCGTATGTCTAGGGTACTCTTATTGATCTCTCACCATGGATCTCCTGGCGCTCTTCGGCGGCCTCAGTCCGCGCCACCTTCTCCTCACCGTGCTCGATGTGATAGTAGATGGCAGCGCCGAGCATCAGATACGAAATGTAGAAGATCAGCAGGAGTATCCATCGATTGGGCGACATGTCGTCGTCGCTCTATCCGTCTGCAATGTAGAAAATGGGAACCACTGCGATGATGTATGCTCTATAATCTACTATGATGATGTGTTGTCCAGGTTAGGGAGTGGAAATAGAAGGGGTGTTCCTTCTTGTTCTTGTCGTTATTTACGGTTGTATCTCGCTACTAATCGAAGCCTGATTGCGATTGCTCCCAAGTGCTTTTGGCCAGTTGTTGTCTCTCTACATGCACGATTATATATTATACGTATTCTGACGATTGCAGATACGAGACCCATACGCTACTCGAAAACTAACAGATCTTATGAGTTCCCTGTGTCCCACTTAAGAACACATCACCAAAAACACATTGCCTTCTTGGAGCATATCTCTTGTTCGCATTCCATGATCCGTCTTAAGGGCAGATCTTTGAAGCATTTAGGATAAGGATATCTCCGTTTCGTAGCAGCCGCATTACTGGACAAAAAAAAAGCACGCGCTGCCCATCGGTTGACAAGCGATCGGGGGCATGCTCCCTGTCTTCCATCGTCTGGGAGATACGTCATCGGTCTTCTGGCTTTTACACCTATTGACACTTCTAATCATATCGCCAGGCAGCCAGGCAGGCAGGCGGACGAGCAAGGTACTATTACTGCTAATTTCCACAATTTCTCGCATTGCAAAGTAGTCCGCTCCAACGATTAGCAACACAGTCCCATCCACAGAGACATCTTCGCCTCCCCCAACATCTTGGAGCTCCGTTATCTATATTTATATATATATATATAGGGCGGTCTGGGGAGGTTGCTGCTGCAGCTCTTGTGGGTGTCGCAATTAGCGCATGTGAATGCAAAATAACAATAGTTGACAGGCCCGAACGATCGAAAAGAAACAACCAAGAGATCGGTACGGATCCTCAGGTGTCAAGCTTTAGTCATTCTCTCGACAGAATAATGTGTAGTGTGTTTTGGTGGTCTGGTGCTCGTGTCTCGACAGTTCTTACAATAGTATCATAAAGATAATAAACCTCGGGGCTGGCATGTTCGGCCCTAATGAGATCTAATGTTGGGGTAGTTCCGTGTGTGCTGTGGACTTTAGGCCGCGCAAGGAATCCCCCTTCCCATGCGTGCTGCTTTCTAGGGAAGAACTGACTAATCTCTTCTTCAGGCGTACAAACAGCACATTCGCGGATGGAATGACGTTTACACGCTGCCTGAATGTCCCATAAGTGAACGGATACATTCGTTTCGTAGGACACAGACGGAGACGAGGGATTTCAATTTTGTTTTCAATCCAGAACAGATAGGATTCTTGAAATTTCTGTCAGCGAAGGTGAATGTGAATGCTCTGAATGGAACTGTTTGAGAGGTATAGTATGGGTGTTCTATCGCCAAGAACTTCCCATTACACGCTTGATTACATTCGCATTCGAGAAATGGGAATTGTTAATGTCAAGGGGGGGATCGCTGATAAGCGAGCATTCGATTCTGCAACAGTTTTAGTTATCGTTCTTAATGTATAATTTCTATTAAATTATCTGTGAAATAATGAAATAGGTTTTCCTCTTCTGTTGTTAAAAACAACCCGTTTATTCAAGCGTTGTGACGCCAGTTCAATGGAAGTTTTTTTTTTTTTTTTTTTGCATTTATTGCACGAGTATTTCCTCTATTTTATGTATTTATTTATTCCGAGTAAACATTTCGATGACGATGTGACTTTGTGGGCTTGCCCGCGAACCCAAAAATTCTTTGGAATGGAAATTTCTGGCCAGAGTGCGATAGACTCCTCCTGGATATTCGTGGCTTTTTGCAGATCCAGAAGAAGACTGGTGAATCGCGAATGGTTTTGCACTCACCCACGCCCTGGTGGTTCCATCAATAAAATGAACCCATAAACCATAAAATGGACCCAATCTTTATCGGAGCCGATCCCACAGCCGAGCCGAAGGGCAATAAACACTCGATGATCATGTAAATGAATTTAATCAATATTTGACGTCAAGTGAAGACAACGGCAGACAACAGAACATTTAATATGATAATAAAATTGTTTACTAATTGATAACCCACAGAGATGCCATTTTACGAGCGGCAGCGCTAAGGATAGCGTGTGGCACGATCCACTGATCCTCTCCGCAGTCTGCTCTGCTGCTGATCTCAGACCCTGCCACGTATACGTGCAGAAAGCGAGTATCCAGCGTGTATGTGGAGCACAAAATTAATAAATATAAAAATATTTACATATATCTCGGACGCTAAATAGTCGTACAATCAATAGTAAATAGCAGCAACTGCAAAATGAACACGTTTAGTAAATAATCAGAACAAAAGTCGGCTGTCGTCAGGCGTCAGGCGTCGAGCTATCGAGCTATCGAGCAGCCCCCCGTGTGCAGCCCCGTTGCGACTCTGAGACACTCCCCATCTCTCAAGAAAGGAAGAAGAATCGCATGCATTGTGCCCTGAGGGGTTGAATGAAATTTCCAAGGAATCTCTCCAGCCCCCAACAGCGGCCGCCCTATTAGTGCTAATGATGACATTGTTTTACAACTAGTACTATATATGTAGGTATACTATTTGTGCGCCGCGGTAAGAGATGATTAATTGAGTTTCGATCTATCAGTGTCTCCTGTCTCGTCTCTTCCTCTGCGGCTGATAAGGCTACGTCAGAGCCAAGAACATTACATGACAATTAAAAAATGTTGGCGACACCACACACTATATCGGATATTAATTGGGTGAAACCCGGATAGACTCAGCCATTCAGATGGATCCCCAGATATCCGTGTTCTTCTGCCATTGGACTAGGAAGTGCGAGGATCCAAGAAGGGCTACCGGCTACTGGCTACTGGCTATTGGCTATTGGCTATGGATTCATCTGTTGTTTACTCTCCGACTAAATAGGACTGATTGAATGAATCCCCCATTCAGTTTCAGAGCCAGAGTCTGGCCTTTTAAATGCCTTAAGCATTTTTTTGGCCAAATGATGGATGAAGTTTTCGGGGCGCCTAAGACGCCTTGATCGCCCGCTCAATCGGTTGATCGATAACGGTTACCGTTGCTCCTCCTCCTTCTGCTCTTTCCGTTCCGCTTTTCAGTTTCAGCTGTTTCAGATCGTCGGTTGAACAAACACTTTTGCGTATTAAACAATTTTCGTTAATTAAATGCATTCAGCGGATCGTTCATTCATGGAACAGACTGAATCTTGCCCAATGGAAGAGGGATCGAATCGGCTCGGATTATATAGACAGTCTGTCTGAACTAGAGCGCACCTGCATCGAGAGATCGCTGAGATTGGGACCTAAACTTGGGTCTCGTTCCCTCTGGTGTAATCGTTTCCGCCTTGTCTGGACGGATCCCGGCAATCGCAATATTTGTCCGCGATTTCGATCGCTGTCCCACTCAGATAAGGTCCGGGACACCGGTGAGACGAAAACACACACACATGAGTATTACTGGACATCAGCATTATCGATCAGCGATAATGTCTGCACTTCTCTGAACTCTTTCATTGTTGTTGTTTGCCCATCATTCACATCATTCTTTTGATAGCTCTCTCCTGTACTCATTATTTTGTCACTATTGCCAATTTCCAACACCTTCGATTCCACTTCCTTAACCTTGGAGGCCCACTGTCGTGGACCAGGACACACATACACATACACATGTGCATACATGTACTCGAACGTATACCCACCACTCAGGAATGTATGTATGTGTGCTCGAAACAGACAAAAAAAAAGAACCACAACACTTTTTGTTCTCTCTCTCTCTGCTTTACCGTTACTTAGGCGTTCACCGTTTGTTTTTTCTTTGCAATATCTTGCGGGATCCTGTTCTTGTGCTTTGCTTTGCTCGGTCTCTTTGTGCTCCTTCCGCGAGTGGAAATCGCGACACACACTGGACGACCGACACACACACACACACACACGTAGCAGCGGGAGAAGTACCGCAAAAACAAAAAACAACAAAATTCCAGAAAAAAAATGCGGGAGCGAGCGATCGCGAGCAGGACCGTTACCGTTAAGCGGCGCACGCTGAATTGAAGCGCTGCAGGCTATGGGTTGACACTTTTTGTTAACGGTGACGGTGACTGACGGTGACGGTGACGTCGATTTGATTTAAATGAAAATTCTGCCCAGCTCACGTCTGTTCCGCAGCAGTCACTGCCACTGCCACTGCCACTGTCGCTGTCGCAGCGCTGCTGCTGCGCTGTCCGGGTGCGGCACCGGCAGCGCTCTGATTTCGGCAACTGTTTCAGCACGGGCCCCGATCTTCCAAGCTCAGTTTTCTCAGAGGAGATTTCACTCGGCGCACGGGATGGCTTTGCTCTTGGCTGCGCGGATGAGATCGATCGGTACGGTACGGTACGGCTGAGGAGACCGATACAGCCCCAGACCCCAGACCCGATTGTCGTTACGACACGATACGCGTTACGTCCATCATATGAATGTCGACGCGTAGTCAGTATTCCCAAATCAGAATCCAAATCGGAGAGAGAGCCGAGCCGCACTTGAAAATCAAAAGTAGAGCAGAACGAATCGCACAGAACACACGGCCGCAGAACGAGCACGAAAATCGCAACGAAAGCGAACACGATTATTTTTCCACCTCCTTTAACTGCCGAATCGCACTCGGGGAATGTGCCTTCGTGTGGTGTGTGTCTGTGTGTGTGTTGGTTTTTGCTCGGGCGATCTCTAATCCGGCGCTTCACTCACATTCGAGCAAAAGACAAGCCGAAAATCACTCAAGACGTCGACGCTTCCGTTGTCTTCGCGGCGGCTCTTCTTTTGCGTGTTTGTGTCTGTGCGAATCCGATTTGTATACAGGGCGGGGAAGAAGGAGGGCTTCTTATTACCGTGCCTTCTCCCCTCTGGCGATCGCTCCACATCCCAGCCCTGCCCCGCCCCGCCCCGCCCCGCCACGCGGGTACCAACTAAAACTAAATCAACTTTAAATGCCGATCGACAAAAGGCAACTACGAAAATCGTTAGCACAGTTCCAGCCCACTCTTCACCCGCACCGCAGCTCGCCCATGTGTCAACAGGGGACACCGAATAGGGGAGGGGGGGCAGCACAGTGGGACAAATTGTATATCTTGTGATGAGATTTTTTAATGAACATTTATTTTAACCCTGAAAGGCCAACACTGGGATGTACATATGTACATTTATTTATATTTGTAATTTAAAAATTAATACTTACATACATATATCTACAGGGATCCATAGCTCTTTTTGGGATACATTCCTTTCACAGTTCTCAAATTCTATATTTCGAAAATTGACACAAGAATTAACTTGTTTCTTTGTAACTCTATCTTAAGTTATTGATAGCTTTCATTAAAAAGTTTTTGGATTTTAAGAGCATCATAAATACATACGTTAATATTGAGGTGTTTTTTATCTAACAGCTTAATAAATATCAAAATAATTTAGAAACATACATATTATGTAATAATGCTGGTTTAATATTTTAAAAATTTAAGTAGATTTTTTCTACTGTATAAATAGACAAATAGATCTTGAAAGAGTACCAAAAAGCTAATAATGATAACATTATGTGAAATAATATTTGTAAATAAAATGTAAATAAATATAAAAGCAACTTTCGGAAAACCATGGTTGTGTACGTCAAACAGAGCGTCCTCTGTAGGCATTATACGATTAGGCACGATCATGGCTCTTGTTTACATTTGGATCCACTGTAGGCTATGCTCTTTTCTTTTGTCGTTTCCGTACACCGTTCGTCACCGGGGGCAGAACCAGCAGCGACATACACATGTACATATGTACATACATACCATAGACCCGACCCACCAAAAACCCCACCTAAAGAGTAAAAACGAAAACAACACAAAAATCCCATCGTACGTAAATGTTTTGTCTACGGATTTTAGTGCTTTACGACGGGGCACTACCCGGGCGCAAACTTTAAACGTCAACGGCAGTCCCAGCCCCAGCCACCAGACACGACCGCCCCCTGGGATGGCACCCGAGCTATACCTTGATCTTGGGTGGCTTTCACGGGCCTGATCCTGCGAATGGGTGGCGCCAATGTCAGCGTTGTCAGGGGTAGAATTCACTGTCAATGCCAATGTAAATAGAAGAAGGCGAAGGGCTTATTGTGGCGACAGGCTCAAGGTCGGAGTAACTGTAAATGGACATGGGGATAGAAGATAGAGGATAGAGGGGGACATATGTACATACCATACATACATACGTGTTAAACGTAGACCGAACCAATGATACATTACTTTGAGTTATCGCTGTTTGCCTACTTTTTTTTCGCCTTTCCCTTATGCCAATCATCATTCATCGTTTTCCCTGCTCTCCTCCTCTCATCTATCTATTGATTTCGTCTCCACTGATTATAACTGCGACGACGGCGACTGAGCAAAGAAAGCTCGTGCGAAGACGTACGAAGAGGAGAGAGGTGAGAGGAGAACCGATAGCTTAGGAGGGCAGGCATCAGGCATTCAGTGCAAGGTTTCCATACAACGAGGTGAGCAATTCCTGCTCTCCTCCTTTCTACATTGCCACCTCCCACCATCTTCTTGGTGCCAGATTCAACACGGGAGAGCAATCTCTCTGGGCATGCCTCACCTTGAGCTAATGCATCGTCAGGCATCGGCTACGACAACGCGATGACAATGATAATTAGTGCTGATAACGGGGAGGTGCTCTCGTAGGAATTGGATAAGCGAAGCTTCGGTTGCCGGCGACAGTCAGCGAAAAGAGAGCAAGAGAGAGAGAGAGCCGCGACAGTAGAGCGACAGGAGATTTTCACCTCAGTGGGGCCTCTGGTATTTGGCTCGAATGGATAAGCCAATACCCTGTCTACGATCTCAAAAATGTTTCTCAAAAATTATGGACGCACTGTTTTTCGTTTAAAAATTGTGTGGAATAAAATGACGCCTTTTAAAACTAACAAATCTTATAGAAAATTGATTAAATATAGCTCTGAAAATAGTTGTCACATAGTACTATTGTTACGTTTTTAAAGCTCTTATTTCCGGTTTAGGAAATGGAGAATTAATTGACTTTATATCAAAGAAATATACATAGGCTCTGTTCTAGGCTAAGACTGACTATTTCCGGTGGATTCTGTAGACTATTGAAATATCTGCTCAAAAACATAATACCTCCTTGTAAAGGGTATGTGTATGCATGTACTGGCATGGCATGTTTAAACCATTTGTGACACCCCCTTTGACTCTTCCACAGCCATCAAATCAGAGCGAGCAAATAACTAAACGAGGTGCTAAAAGATCATCATTTGTACTTGGTCGGCGAGGCCTTAAATTGAAAAGACAAGCTACGGAAAGTGCGAAATATCGATCCAGAACCAGATCGGCCAAGAGAGCGACAGAGAGTTGGCATGAGAGGACTGGTGCCCAAGGCCCCAGCCACACACACACATGCTCGTATTTAAATTGGGCAACTGATTCATTGGGCGGCATTACCCAAAACGTTGATAAGTATCGCGGTTTATTAATTACTAGTCAAGTACATATGCTATTTGGCTTTGATGTATCGACACATCGCAAGTGTCCGCCTGTAAATCCGAGTGTATTTAAATAAATTCAAATGAATTGTAATTGATGGGAGACCACCAAAAACCAGATACCAGATACCACACCTGATACCAGGCAGGCCTTCCACTCGGTCCTGCCCCCTTGGCATTTCTTGGATGTCACCGATCGGTCACATGAACCGATGCAACTAGACCTCGCAAGTGATCGATTTTTGAGCTGATTTCTGCCCCAAACTGTTGACAAATCTAAAGATCAATCAAATCGTAGATCGATCGATAGCAGCCTGAACATTTGATGAATTATGTGTACAGGTGGACGCCGGGCCCAAATACTAGTATTACAAATCTGAATATGCCAATATACGTGGAAAACATAATCGAAACGGCATGTGTTTCGTATATAGAAAAAGCGGCAGACTTAAGGCTGGGCAAACCCACCACAATGTTTTAGCTTCAAAGGGTAGGGGATTAACTTTGAACTTTAAATATTATGTTGTGGCACCACGGTATTCAGTGAATCCCCCCAGCATGGCATCTCCCTGCTTGTCACAAATAGATGGATCAATGGACTACCATTCGAACTTAAATTTTTTCCACAAATCATCCTTATCTTTGGACTTATAGCCATTAATCCTTTTTATTTAAATCCCCCACAGGTGGTCGAAGGGAATTCGGTTGTGAAATGGAACTATTTTTGTCCAGGAACCATTTCTACGTGTTTATGGGGTCGGAAACGCTTCCTTCTATGCGTCAAACACATACCCAGTTTCCTCACAAATGTTGAGCATAGGATATAAAAATAATGCTGTTTCCAAGCCGTTTTTTCTTCATCAATGTATATTCCAATCTGTCAAGGACACCGCCCCATTTGAATAAGAGTTATATCCACAAATGAGTCTTTGTATAGCCAACGGATTCGGTGTTTCATTATTGCTCTTTGTTGCTCGATTGAACACAGATCTTCAGATCAGTATCAGTATAAATATCGGGGCGGGGGGTATATAGCATCTATAACATACAATTTACAAACAATTTGGTTAATATTGGCATATGGGTCGTAATCGTATCATGGTATTTGGAAGACACAGAGTCTCAGCTATTTTTGCTTAGCAGATGAACAATATTGGCGATCATTCGGCAACCGTTCTTGTGGTGCAGTAGATTAAGGCACGGATCCCGGATTTTTTCCTCGAGCAACTTGATCAACTCTGAGCGCAAGCACTGCACCATTTCGGCCGTTTCGTGATCGTGTGCCTTCAGTATGATCCAGCCGGTTTCAAGCAGAAACAGAAAGTCGCCGTCGTGCAGCTCCACCTTGAAATCGCTGCCCGCGAACAGGACGAGGGCAATGAGGGGCAGCATCGAACAGTCGCGTATGTAAATGGCGCTGGTGCGCACCTTCTCCTGGTACACCAGGAAGGGTGACTGAAACGTGGCCACCTGCGAGTTGACCGACGATGGATGGATCTTCACATAGCCATCACCACGCGTCTTGAATCGCAGATCATGATGTCCCTGCTCACGTGGCACTGCCCCGCCAGCCGTCTGCACATACACACGCTCCGGCGTCATGATCTTGACAATATTAGGATAGAGGGCGGCGCAAAGGAGCGACGTGAGCAGCCGGTTATTGTCCCCATTGTGGTTCTGGTCCGCACCTGTTTCGGGTATACAAATGATACGGTTATATGGATGGTTCAGGGATGCACACAGATCATTGTATATGTGGGTTACCAGTGAGCTGTAGGATGTTGTCGCTGGCATTCTTGCGCCTGCGCGGCACATCGATGGGCACAAAGCCAATCGAGACGAGCAGCTCCAGGTACTGATACTTTAGGTCGGCTATCGTCTCCAGCGTGTTGAGGGACAGAAAATGCTCGCTGGCATAGTTCCGGCTGGCCGCATAGTTGCCACGCCTTGCCACTTCAAGCCATTTCTGTGGGGGAACAAAAAAAGGAATGAGTAATGGCCGGGAGGATCCATCTGGGTAATGGATGATGACTCACCCGGTAGGCCTGCAGCACAGTGAGATGGTCGCTGTTGCCCAGCGCAAATAGGCGCTTGCACTTGTCCGCCTCCACCCGCTTGTTCAGCGGACTGACAAAGGGCGACTTATTGCTCAGGCAGGCGGCAATGGTGAGCACACTGTCCAGGCACTGAAAGATGGCGCCGTACAGCATCAGCTTGCCGATGCGCACGTCCACCGGCAGGGCGGCCAGATGGTGCCCCAGCGGTGTGAGCTGATCGTCAGCATCCAGGGCACCCACATCTCGAAGGCGCGTCAGTGCACCCAACACACTGTCCTCGCTAGGTGCCTCGAGCGTCTCGAGAAGGACGGAGAGCGTATTGCGCGACGCGAACGTCTCGAGTGTCTTGATGCGCAGCACAATCTGCTCGAGCGGCACTCGCTGTATCTCCGGCACCGGCTGGCCCAGGATGTGCTGATGAAAGCGATGACTCGTATACAAGTGTATGCAGACGCCGGGCATGACGCGGCCGGCGCGACCTTTGCGCTGCTTGGCATTAGCGCGCGAGACCCAGACCAGGTCGAGGGACTCCATGTTCCGATTCGAGTCGAAGCACTTCTCTTTCATCAGGCCGCAGTCCACCACAAAGACGCAGTCGTCGATGGTTACCGAGGTTTCGGCTATGTTGGTGCTTAGCACGATTTTCCGCTTGCCGGCTGGCGCTCGCTTGAACACCAGCGCCTGATCCTCGCCGGACAGGGCCGAGTGAAGCGGCACCAGCACAAATTTGCCCGCACGTGGCGAGAAGAGCGAATGATCGAGGAGGGCGTCGTGCACCGTCTGGATCTCATGCATTCCGGGCAGAAAGATAAGAATGGTGCCCGTCCGCGGCCACTCATGGGCGCCCTCCACAATGTACTTCAGCACGGATTCGATTAGTTCCGGATTGATGGTCATGGGCTCCATCAAGTAGATGCTCTTGCAGGTGGTCTTGCTGTACTCTAAAAAAATCAGGAATGAGCCGGAATTTGCAGGAGATCCGAATAGATCTAAGTAGATTTGTACTTACCCGCGTATCGACTGTATGTCTCAGCCAAAGTTAGTTTCTCGTCCTTGATTTTCTTGCCGGGGGGCGGGCCGGCTGCCTGGACATCGGCGTATTCGAGCTCTCGCTGCAGGACATCCTGCTCCGACTTTTTCAGCTTGCGGCAGAACTTGGTGTCGTACTCCATAACAAAGTCGCTCAGCTCGAGGATGTCCTCGAGGAAGAGTTGCTGCACGGGAAACGTCCGGCCGGGTATATCGAGCACGGGTGCCCCTCCGAAGTAGTTTGAGAAGAGGCTCGCATTGAGAGTCGCGGACATAAGGATGACCTTGAGATCCTTGCGCTCACGCAGTATGTTCTTTAGGATGAGTAACAGGAAGTCCGACTCCTCGGACCTCTCGTGCACCTCGTCGACAATCACATGGGAGACGCCGGCCAGCATTGGGTCGGAGGAGAGGCGCCGCAGCAGGATCCCAGTGGTGCAGAAGCTGAGTCGCGTGCTCTGCGAGACCTTGTTCTCCAGCCGGATCTGGTAGCCCACCAGCTGACCAATACGGTCCAGCCGCTCGGCAGCCACGCGCTCCGCCACACCGATGGCCGAGAGGCGGCGCGGCTGCGTGCAGATGATCTCCACATGGGGCAGGGTCTCCTTGGGCTGCAGCTGAAGCGCCCGGAAGAACCAATTGTCGAGAATGAACTGCGGCACCTGTGTGCTCTTGCCGCAGCCCGTCTCGCCAGATATCACCACAACGGGCGAGCTCTCGATGAGGGCCAGAATCCTCTCGATCTCGGCAAAGGCCGGCAGCTGTCGCCGACCCTCGATCACCTTCTGGTAGCGCTCGTCCTTCCGCCGCTCTACGAACTGCTGCAGCAGGCGTCGATTCTCTCGGGCCTGTGCCTCTGTATTTCGCTGGTACGCTCCCTCATTACGGGACGTCTGTCCGCGGGCATAGTGCGAGGGCTTCACCGTCTGGTCGCCCACTCCATTGTCCATCGCCTCGCCCGTCTCCGGCTCGTTGTAGAAGAGTGAACGCTTGGGCGAGGGAAACCGGGCCGTGTCCAGCCTGCCGGCCAGATCTTCGCTGGACTGCAACAGATCACAGATGCTGTACACACAGGGTATGCCGTCGCGGCAGATCTCCCTCGCCTCGCGGTACAGGTGGCGCGCATAGCGTAGCCTCAGCTCGTGCGGTATGTCGTGGCAGGTGGTCTTCAAGTAGATGAACGGCGCCTCGTACGGATAGTGACTGCCGGGCGGAAAGCGCACCTCCACATGGAACCACAGCTCGTTATCGTTCTCATCCAGATTCTCTGTGAAGCAAACAAAAGCCTTTTAGATCTGTGGGAAACAAAAATATGCGCACGATAAGCGGTAATCCCCTCACCTTTCTTTGGTGTGGAAGGAAGAACGGGCTGGGCCGGCACATGGGCAAAGCGACACTTGGGACCGTATTTACATGTGCCATCGCGTTCGAAGTTGCGACACCGCTGCGGGGCCTTCTTCTTCTTGTCGAGGGCTGCCTGTGCAGAGGCGGCTGCTGCTGCGGCGGCAGCCTCACGAGCCTTTCGCACCTCCGATGGGCTGTGGGCCAGTAGGTGGTCGATCTTGAACTTCAGATTCCAGACCCGATTGCTCTCGCGCTCTTCATACGCCCGATCGTAAATGGACTCAAGGGCTTCCTTCTCATCGGAGCGCATGTCTAGCAGCTCTGCCTCGCTGGGTGGCTCGAGGTTCAGATTTTCCTGTTCGGGGACGCGCATATATCGCTTGTAGAGCAGCAGGAGGGCCGCTTCCGTGTCGTTGTTACAGTGCTCGTAGGCCTCGAGGCAGTGGGCGGGATGGAAGCCATAGCACTCAAGCTTAAGCAGGGCATAGCGGCGAATGCGATCCTCGTCGTTGCTGTCGCCTCTGGTGGAACTAACGCCCTGGACACTTTGCACCATCAGTGTGCCCCGGTCCTGCCAGTAGGCATGCTTGACACCGTGGCCGCCTCTCCCCCGGTCCTTGTACTTGCTGATGTCCTCCAGCTTAAAGTCCGGCCCATGTATGGTCCGCAAAGTGTCCATGGTCATCTGCTTGGCCTCATCGCTCAGCCGTACGACGTGCAGCTCTGTTTTTCGTGATTTGTTGTCAGCCACCGTCCTGGGGGGAGCAACGGGCACGTTGCTTTGCGGTAAATGAAAAGAAGAACGCGCTCATGATTTCGTCCACGTTAATGGTCGGCTGACTGAAGTACTTACGTGGTGCGGACGTCGCTGGGAGCCCGCATGAAGCAGAAGTCTTCCATGTGCTGCCTTGAGGATTCGTCCATGGTCGCTCTCAAATCACAAATATCAAATAATATCAAAATTTCACAACTAAATGATAATAAATTACATATCTAGGGTCATCTGATACGGATACGGATACGGTCGCTGTCGGTTGTTTCCCGGAATCCGGAATTTAAATATTATTTACAATTTACACGGGGTGAGGGTTGGATGTCACCGCGAAAAAATGTGAGGAATGAGAGGAAAAAAAGGGTATGGACATCAGGCAAAACGGTGCAGAACATGCAACGAATGGCAAGGTAAAATCCACCCCTTCCGCCTAATATACCTTGAGACGAAATCGGCTTTTTGTCTTCAACGTTCATTGTCCTCTCACGCGAGCAGAGGGGGCAGGTTCTTGGACACCTTGAAGTCTTGACTGCTTTTGCCTGTTGCCCATACCCTTTTTATAACGCATTGAAAATTACGACTCAGGGATGGGGTGTTAAATAGGGCTCGAGCAAAGGCAATTTCACAAAAACGTGAAACTATCTGGCAGCCCATCAGCTGTTTTTTTCAGCCCGGCGCCGCGCTGCCACTTATTTGGGAACAGGTGTATGTTTGTTTTTGTTTTTGTGCAAAATTTCACATATAAACGAAATTACGCGCCCCCTGCCGCAAATTGCTGGCACGGAAATGTGATGGAAATATGTATTTTTTATTTGTTTAGGAAAATGGTTGATTAAATGAAAGTTTTAAAACATAATGAAACATATGTAAGCATGTAAGACAGTTTGCAGTGGTGTTCTTTAAATTAATTGGTAGTATTCTACTAATCTAATTGGCGGCCTTCGTTGCAATAGCTTAAGTCAACTTTAACTTCGTTCGCGAGTTCGCTGCATGAGAAGAGATGTATAAAGTATTACCATATATGTATATGTATGTACCATATATGCATGTATGCGAATTGTGTATGCTTACAAGGCTTCGAGCGCGATCAGTTCGAGTACACTGATTTGCTCCAGCAAGGCCTTATGATTGGCATCCTGCTCCTTGCGTTTCGAGCGTAGTATTTCGTTCAATTCTTCTGACTTTCTTTTCATTTCACACAGTTTAATAGAATCTTCTTGTATGAGCTTCTTAAGATCTTCATAGCTCTGAAAACATGCACCGAGGTGAAATAACGATGCGAGAATGCAGGTGCACAGTTACATACCATCGATGTGAACTCATCATAGGTAACATTACCGTCCCGCTCCTCGGTGACATGTATGGCCTGTTGGCAGTGATCAGCATAGGCCAGGCTCAGTTGTTGCTTTATTTTCACCAGATCGCTCAGTTGACTGCTCAGGGTAGTCTCCTTCGCAGTCAGTTCATCCAAGTTGGGAAGCAGCTCTATCGAATTCTCCCCAGCGATTGGCAGACTCATACTGCAGATGGCTTCAGCCTTCTGATCAGTTAGCAGCTTCTGGTTTTCTTGCAGCTCATTAAGTTCGTTCTCCAAAGAAGTATTCTCGGCGCGCTGGAAGTCATTCATATGAGCCAAGCCAACCTTCGAACAAATATTTTGTAAAATGATGGCTGCCGCTTACCGTTTGGAGCAGCATCTCCACCAAATATGCCTGGATCGTTGAGACGGGATCGCAAGCAACTTCTTTGGAGTCCTGCTGATTTCCATTAAGGGCGCACGCATTATCATTATCACTGTGCATATTATTATTATTTTTCAATGCGCAAATAGTGAATATATATTACAAAAAAACTCGCGGCCTAAACTTTGACTGCAATCGCTAGGTGTGGGAAAAAATCGATAGTGCCATCGAAAGTATCGATGGTTGAAAAATTTGCCGACCATCAATTGTTTCGGTTCACCATCGATAGAATCGAGCGGGAAATTTGAACATTGATATTGTACATATTTCATAAATCACATTGATGCATTTAGTATATTAAGTCAGGGGAGGAGCTCAGAAGGAATAGAGAGATTTTTTCAGTTAATCAAATATGTTATGTATATACATTTACATATGCATGTTTCTATGCGTTGGTGCGGCGCAAACCATTAAAAATGGTTCTTATTGTATTTATTTTCTAGTCAAGTTGAATTTTTAGTCAAGTTGTTAATTGAACCGAAGTTTAAAATATGCCGATAGTACTATCGATACTATTGGTGGTTTCCACCATCGATAGTGGAAACTATTGCTATTGCCACAGTAGCCATTTTTATTTATCCAAAATGGCCGCCAATGTGGTTTTTTCCGATGTTTTTTTTTAAATCCAAGATTGAGATAAATGGAAACAGGATTAAGTCTAGAATGTATATTTATATTATTATTGTATTCCACTAGACTATAAACATCTTTTGAATTGAGATTGAATAAAATGTCAATGACATTGCTTTTCCATCTCTACTACACTGGCTATATTATGTATTCGGCGAAACAAAACAGTTTTAATGTTAGCTTATTGGTACAGACTTTATTGAAATTGAACAGGTCTCTTTAGCTTATCCACTAGCCATACATACTGTGAGTGCATGTGCCTTTGTACTGATTATTAGGAGTTTCCTCGGGCTGTTCGCCACCCAACTTGAGGTCACCAAACTTGAAGTCACCCAACTTGAGGTCACTCAGCTTGCGGACACAGTTCTTCGAAGATATGTTGATATAGTCTCCAAAGGACGAAGTTTCCGAATGACTTTCCTGTGCCTCATCTTCACTTTGGGATTTGTCGAGTGTCACATAGCTGGGCATCTCATTCGACCTCAGCGGGACGTATTTCTCCTGCGAAATCACCCAGCGTTTAATAGCATCGTCCTTCGATTTCTTCCTTTCCCACGGTAACTGATTATCCTGCGACTTCATATAGCGTGTAATTTTACCGTGGTCTTGATTCTCCTGCGAAATCGACAAGCTTTCAATGTAAGCACGATGCTTCCAGGCATAATATTCCATTTGGCGGCTAATAAACCCCTTTTCTTGCTTTTTTGGCTTCTGCTTCTGTTCCTCCACGCGCTCGTGCCATTTAAGGAGAGTGGCGAGGCGTATCTTAGCCTTAGTCTCAGAAATCTGCCGAGAAGTTCCAAATACAAATGGACACGCATATTTATATTAACTGTTTCGCATTGATTTGATCTACTTACAAACTCCATCTCTGAATTCTCCAACGCGCAGTCGCTCTTGCTGCCAAATTTCTACTCAATCGCAGATCAACTACTTCTTGCCAGCCGTTTTCGTGGTTTCTGATGGGCTATTTTGCGCCACACGAGAATGTAGGTATGTGTAAGAGGGAGACAATAGGTGTTGTGCTTCGAAGAGGATACAGCTGTTGTCTGGCATGTGAGTGCGAGTGCGAGCGGGATGGCATCCTCTCGGCGGAGAATACAAGTGCGTATTGCTGTTTTCTTGCGTTTTCCTTTGCTGATTTTCTGTCCTACTCTGCCATTCGCCATATATTTGTGTTTGCATATGTATGCATGCCAAAGCTGCGCGTTTGCATATGCATGTGTGTGCGCTTTCGCGCCTGCTTCAACCATTTTATCCCGTTTGTTAATAGAAAGAGAAAACTAAAAACTGTGCCATTAGCAGGTTGAGTTGTGGATTGTGAGGGCATTACCACGCATGCACAAAGAGGTTGTTCAGAATTAGACACGTTTGTCTTCAGTTATTAGATAATTCCCAGGAGGAAGTTGAAACAGCCCCCAGTATGTCTACGAAATCTTAACCTCATTCAAGAGACTAATTGTTCTGCTTTTCCAATATTAGCCAATATTAGTTCTGCTAGCTCCAATAGCCATGACCCTTCGAGTCCGATGCGCAAGCGCAACGACAAAAAGGAGCATTCGGAAGGGGCCTACAAGTGCCCAGTTTGTCTGGAAATCGTACGCCACCGGGAGCCATTGTTGGCAAAATGTGGACACGTTTTTTGTCGCCAATGCATCGAAACCGTCATACGCTCCTCTCACAAGTGCCCAATGTGTAACATGAAACAGGGCATACGCGATACAATGCGCATTTATTTGTAATACTGTAATTCGATACAGTACCAATTCTCTGCTAGTCATCTGAGCCTCTTTCTGAATTTTTATTTGTTTAGTTTTAACTTCGGAAGGAAGAATGAGGAAATACCTCTTTTGGTGCAAAATATAAGATGTTCCTGGCTTTCATTGACTTAGGATCTTTTTCCAAGAAGAAAGCCGAGCACAGCTGTACGTTTTAAGGGGTTTCAGTATTATTTCCAGATACAGAAACCGCTTTTACGCGAGAATGTGCTTGTGGTTAGTAGACGCAGCTTGAACAGTAGCGGGTCCTTGGTGCGCAATATCAGTTCAGCAATGAGCACGGGCGGCTCCGTTGTGTCACCGACAAAGTCGATGTGGTAGTGACGCAGAACGTTGGCCACAATGGCCTTAATCTCGAGCATGGCAAACTTTTGACCAATGCAGTTGCGCGGCCCCGCAGAGAAGGGTATGTAGGCATAGGGGTTGAGCTTCTCGGCGCTTGTGACTACATCGAAGCGCTCCGGCTTGAAGCTGTTGGGCTCACTGAAGAGCTCCCAGGTAAAGGGGCGAGATGCCGATGTTTGTGCCAGCGGGAATGCGTTTGCCATCTGATTGGAAGGTAGAGTATTCGGAAAATGATACCTTGATGTGACCATGGCCTGGGCAGGGCGTGATACTTACTTATCTTGCACTCCTCCACCACTCTGCGACTATTAAAATGCATTAATAGGCCTAAAACATGTCAATCTGAGAATAAGTCATTAGTAATGTTTCAAATCAGCTTGGAAAACATAATTTTAATATTAATTGTATTTTATTTGATCAAACCTTATTTTAGACACAATCAAGTTAGAGGAAGCATTTAAAGTCATCAATAGTGTAAAATAATGTGTCTAGGGATGAGAAATTAGCTAGCTAGTAATGTAAAGCTAGTTAAGTAAAGATGAAGGATAGGATTATTAATATTTTTATTAGTATTATTTTCCGCGGTTTAACCACTAACCATACAGTATATAGATGTGCCAGTTCATACAACGAAAGCGTCATTACAATAATATAATTATACATTTATTTCCTTATTTTAAACAATTTCAATTGTAAAGACAACATTAAGACAACAGTAATTTTGAAAATCCTCATGCAATATACGAATGTAATAATCTTTAATATTTATGTACATAAGATATTTTATAATTGAATTAGAAAATTTATGGGTATTGTCCATGAGAGTATTCAAGGTGCGACCGGCATCTAAATTTTTGCTTTGCAGATTCCCGTCGGAAAGCGCGCGATTGACAATTGATTTGAAATATATGTAAAACCAATTCCATTTATATTTATGCATATTTATTTAAGTATATACATATGTATATATATTTTCTTATATTGTATATTTAGATACATCATTGTTTTAGATATAATAAACAAAAAAGTCGAGAACCGACGCCGTTTGCATAATTTTTATAATTTATAATCAACCTGCTTAAAATGAGGAAATAAATGTGTAATTATATTATTGTAATATTTTATATTTTGTGGTATAAATCAAACAAATAACAGCTTTTATTTTATTTCCCGTGCCCTAGTGTACCATACCCCCACCCCCTGCCCATTCTTCATTTATTTTGTGGCGGTAGACCCAAAACAAGAACCAAACTCAAATTTCCGTTCTAGCGGCCAGCAATACTAAACACACACACGCAAAGTACGTGAGAATGCATGTGCACCCATACACTAAAACATGCTGGGTACGCAACGCGCTAGCCAGTGTGTGACGCTTTCGTTGTATGAACTGGCACATCTACATATATACTGTATGGTTAGTGGTTTAACTCAAGTTATTATACTGTTTAAATAAAGGGGGTTCAAGTGGGCTACGTTCGTTTTTCAGCGGTATATTTATTTAAAAAATGAGACGGTATATTTCTGTGGGTCGGACGGTATGTTGGTTCAATACACTGCCAGCTTAGATACCATTAGTAGCTCACACACCTTGCCAATTGTATATTTTTCATAGTATTTTCTAACATAGGACCACTAACCATACAGTATATAGATACTGTATGGTTAGTGATAGGACTTACCGTCTTGTCCAATGCACCAATGTAGAAATCGTGAAGAATTGCTATTTACCACATCGAATACAAATTCGTGATCAACATAAAATTCCCGATCCATCAAAATTAATGTTTTTTTTGCCGGAATTAAACCGTCTCAAGAAGTGGATAACGGAACTTTTTCACACTGGCGCTTGATGAGGCTTATATAAAATAAACTGTTAACATGTAGCAAATTTGTAGTTAGCGTGTAGTTACCATGTAAGGAAATACATTTAGGGGCTATTGTTGTTGACCGGTTTTGTTTAAACCGTTTTTCAATAAATAATTAAATAAAAAGAAAACCATAAGTTAGCCAGTTTTGTTGGCAAGTGATTCATCAATCGGATAAAATTATGAGTTTAGATCTGAGGGTCCTTGCTAACTATTACTATTTAACCGAATGACAAAAACGAGGAATATGAGGAATTTGAGCATAATTCGTCAGTATTTTCACGGTATATTTTGAAATTTGTAACGTATTTTGGTATATTTCTAAGGGTCAAACGATATATAATTTTATCGATAAGTGCTCTCTCCTGTGACCAAAAAATGAGTCGTAATTTTGAATGGGCTATAACAAAAGGGTATGGACAACAGGCAATAAATTCAACGCGAATTGCACGGTTCGTACTAATTTCACCTCGTGGGTTAAGATAATATACCTTGATGACAAAATTGGCTTTTGCCTCCAAGGTATATTGGAAAAAAGGGGTGGATTCTACAATCCATCAGTTGGCTTTTCTGGGCGTTTTTGCCCGTTCTTCACACCCTCTTTTTCCTCCCATTCTGTAGCAAATCCGTAGTTCCCCGTGTAGAGTTGGATGTTTACTTTTGTTTTTTTTTTCGAACCGCACGCACCGACGACGGGTCCACACTTTATTTCTCTCCAATTTGTTTTGCCGGCATTTTGGCGTAAGTGTACTGAGCAGAACTCGACTGTGTGTTTTTTGTTTTGTGCGTGCTGTTCAGTGTAAAAGTGTAAGTGACGCGCGCGCATTTTCGGACACTGTAATTTATTAATACAACCAGAGAGTTTTTGAAACGGAACGCGTGTGTACCTATGTATAAGCACACACAATACACATTGTACCTATGTCTAGATAATGTTATCTTTTAGTTTGTTGGAAATTCTGTTGGTATTTGTTGTTTTGTTTTCGTGTTGTTGTGTTGTGCAAGTAAACGGCGCAGCAGCAATTTTTTGAGATTTTGAATGGAGTGAGGAGAGCCAGAGCAGTGGTAGGATGGCGCGGGGCTGTGATCAGCTGAAGGTGAACCGGTTCGGTTTGTGGATACCGTTTCAAGTGCAACCCTATTGTCTTCTCTGCCTCCCCTTTGTTGTCCTATCCGCTGCTGAGCTTATGACGTCAGTGGAAGAACGCTAGATCGGCAGAGAGAAAGAGGGTGGGAGAGTGAGAGAGGGAGTGTGAGAGGTGACTCATCCTCCCTACCTTTTTGGAGCGCAGCCTGACGTCAGCGTGCAATTTTAGAGCACAGTCAGCGGGGACGGGACTATTTATTGTAGTTACAACCCCATCACAGGCCCGTTCCGAAATCACCAAACAACAAACAGAACGAAACCACTATATCGATGTGCCTCTTATCATTTGATGATAATGAGACATTCCTCCACCTGCTCCACACCGCACACCGCACTCCGTGCTCTTTATGCTCTCCTCTCCCCTCTTCCGATAAGATAAGATATGAAATTTTTCGCACACTTCGTGTTTGTAAAGCTCTTCTTTTTTCTCTCCGTGTAGAAGAACAAAACCCATTAAGAAATAAACAATAAAAATAGCCGAAAAAGTACAAACCGGTTGCACATATAATACAAAAAACCAAAAAAAAAACAACAAAAACCACGTCATTTGCGGACCCTCAACGTTCAACAGGTGAGTGTCCCATGCGGGGATTGTAGTACAAGTGGTGGGGGCCTCTAGGGCCAGCGTCGCCCCCACAACAATGTCTTTGTTGTACTTTCACCAAAAACATGTACACATCTATTTATAAACACTCCACTTCAGGGCCCGCGAAACTGATGACTAAAGAGAAATAGTCAATACCCTTTTCGGGTAGCTTTTTGTGTTCGAAAAGTTCTTGGAATATTTTTCGCCTTAAGCTCCGAGATGTGAATCATTCGAGTGCTCAAAATGGTAGTACCTAAAATAAGATACAGGCTGATTGGCTGTGAAAAATGTACCATAAGCGAACGGAGAGCAAACGTTCCCGAAACGGAAATTTTTATGCGGATTTATGCCACATTTTCTCCTTTCCAAGGGTGGCCTCTATTCATCTGAAAGATCGGATTACGGCTTCGAACGTACGGGGCTCGGGGCTCTATCGTAGACAATTGTTCGGTGCATTTGAATTTATATTTCGAGACAGAGACGGGGACGGGGACAAGGCTGTATAACGATATTGACCTCCATTAAGCTGAGCCAAAAACGATTACCCTTTATGACTGTCTCGTTCTCGGCCACTCTGCGTCTCTCCCCCTCTCCCTGTGCAGTTTTATTACTTGAATTTCGTTGATAACTATTCTGTTTTGGGTTCTCTATGTGCGCTCTCAAATAATCCAAGTCCATTTCCGTTTACCCTCCGGACTACTACCCTGGAAAACGGGCGTCAAGGCATATTGATTCGATGTACTACAAGTCGCCCATAAGTGAAATGCCTAAGGCTACTTGTCATTTGCTGCTCCGTCAAATCTCTATAGAACGTGCTGTTCCCTCGACCGAAACAAATCCATTGCCAAAGAAACCTTTGATTTGTCAGTCAATCGCTCGGCTTTCCTTGTGGAGTTCACAATCCCTTTTCAATCTATTAAGACTAAAAAAAAAAGGAAAACAGTAAAGCGTAACAAACGTACTGTAAGCGTAGTGAATCTCAAAAGACCGTAACAAGATGAAACTGGAATACCACCCGGACATGACCGTGTCCCGGTTCTCTCGATTCTCCGCTCAGGTTATCCCCGTGGTGGCCTCTTTCCAGGAACCAGCCACCCTCGAGGATATCTTTGAGGAGGTGAACCGCAGGAATAAGGTATGTCCTTCCATTCTTCATCCAATGTTTGCACGATGTACATATCTGTACGATGTCGATCTGAATCCGCAGCCAAAGCCCGAAGACTGGCGCTTCTGGAACGGTGTGGCGGAGAAGCTCGACATGGCCGTGATGCGTGGCTATGTCCGGGAGCATCACGGGCTCTATAGCGTGGTCCGTCCATTCCGTGATCTGCCGTCGGTGGACCACAACGGGAACTCTCGAGGCTGTTAGGAGGTGCACGGAGACCAGCTCTTCGACACCCCCTCCCCCGCCCCGAAATCGTTCATTGTTTTATTTCTGCGTGAACTGCATTTCGGTCAACGATTGTTTTGTTCAATGTTGACGTTGTTCCAGTGCCAGGGGATATTTCAACAATTTTGACGATGCCAAAAACATTTGCCCAGCCAAATTGTATACAAAAAAGCACCCAAACACGAAGTCCCATAGCGAAAAACAGATACACAAACACAGAAATACACACACACACACACACACACACACACAGCTGTGAGAGAGAGAGACAGCAACAGCGACAGCGAGAGCAACAGCGGCAGCGACAGCGACAGCGACAGCGACAGCGAGAGAGATACAAATAGAGGTCTAAAAATGATCTCATTCTCAGGGTCTACCAGTATGCAGAAATTTCGGCCATAAAAAACTTTTGGTTTTCAATTTCCAGTTCTGGAGTTGAGGCAACAAATTTTGACAGCAAACATTGAAACTTATTTGTAACATATTTTAGAACCAATCGAAATTTATTCCGTGCAAAATTTGATTAAAATGTATAGAAAAATTTCGATTAAAAATATAATGAAATTTGGTCTGTGTGTCTAAGGGGGAGGTCTATCCATAAGGAAGGATGGAATGGGATGGCATGGGATGCTGCCAATTACTGAAGGAGCCTTGGGTTCCATTCGCAGAGCAAAATGTATGAACAAATCTGCCCTATTTCAATGAAATATACGGCTTTTCAACCCAAGAACGGAATTCAGTTGGATTTATATAAAATATATTTAATTAGCTGGAAACGTGTATGTATATTCAATATATAAACATTAAATATACCATTTAAAGACGCTTGAAAGTCAATTAATTATAATACGGCTAAACCTTTCAGATCTTTGTACAAAAGAACTCTTTAAAGACATTTCCTGAGCGTAATAAACCTTAAAACATTAATTTAATTAACATATTTTTAGAGAAATGTAAACAGCAGAGCTGAAGGCCCCTAGTAGCTACTAGCTAGTGCTCGAATAGTTTATTATTCTCATGGATAGTATGGAAGATATCTCGAGTTCTGCCACTTGGAGCACATCTATTGGGCACTTCTCCGCGGTAGAACTTCTCTATAAAGAAGGGAAGTTCTATTCTATTCATTCTGCACAAATGCATTCCATGCTATCCCTAGAGATTCGCCTCCATTCAAGTTTTACCGCTTTTTTCTCTGGTTATAATCTAGAGCCGTTTCAAATGGTTTCGATCTCCTGCCAGAGTGGAGATCTCCATTGTTTTGCTCTCCATATTTTGGCGATTATTTGCTCGACACCTTTTCCCCGAAGGCGGGAGACGGGGCTACGCTAATCGGAGATGGGATCGAATCGGTTCATTCAACCTTTGAAGAAGATACTCGTGCTCGTGTCCGGAGCACCCGTTGCTTTGTCCGACATCTGTCTATGGCTCTGGGGGGCCTTTGGGAGGCCTCTGGGGGTGCTCTGAGGGGCGCTGAGTGACCACTAAGGGGCTCTGAGGGGTACTGAGGGGCTCTGGCGGGCTCTAGGGTGCTCTCTGGGGTTCTCTGAGGGGCTCTAGGGGCCTCTAGGGGGGCTCTACTGCCTCTGCTGCCTCTCTGCATTTAAAAATACTCGTAATTTCCATTCGGTTTTTTTTTCTCTAGATTTGATTTGTTTTCGCACTTTGCCTCTTTGGGGCATTGGAGCGACTCCCTAGATTGAGGCGGGAAATGGGGCGTTGCTGTAAATTGATATGATGTCTGAGAAGGGGGACGAGGGGCACGAGGGGGGAATGGGAGCCCAGAGCTAGCCTCATTCACGAGTACACTCAATGCGATAATCAAATGATATTTGAGATGTGAGTGGGGCACACATGCCCTGCCCCTGCCCCCGCCCCCCGCCCCCCTTGTGTGTGCGGGGCAGCGGCATATTTGAAAGTTGTATTTGTAATACGAGCCTAGAGGGGTTGAGGGGAATGGAGACGCCGCTTTGGCATTGGTTTTGGGCAAAAGCTGCCCACATTTTGGCTGCTTTTTGGGGCACATGGATGGGCTATGGATGGGCTATGGATGGGCTATGGATGGGCTATGAATCGGACATGGATGGGCTTTGAATCGGCTATGAATCGGCTATGGATCGGCTATGGATGGGCTTTGAATCGGGTATGGATGGGCAAGGAATCGGCTATGGATCGGCTATGGATGGGCTATGGATGGGCTATGGATGGGCTTTGAATCGGGTATGGATGGGCTATGTATGGGCTATGGATGGGCTAGGAATCGGCCATAAATCGGCTATGAATCGGACATGGATGGGCTTTGAATCGGCTATGAATCGGCTATGAATCGGCTATGGATCGGCTATGGATGGGCTATGGATGGGCTTTGAATCGGGTATGGATGGGCTAGGAATCGGCTATGTATCGGCTATGGATCGGCTATGGATGGGCTATGGATGGGCTATGGATGGGCTTTGAATCGGGTATGGATGGGCTAGGAATCGGCCATAAATCGGCTATGAATCGGACATGGATGGGCTTTGAATCGGCTATGAATCGGCTATGAATCGGCTATGGATCGGCTATGGATGGGCTTTGAATCGGGTATGGATGGGCTAGGAATCGGCCATAAATCGGCTATGGATCGGCTATGGATGGGCTATGGATGGGCTTTGAATTGGCTTTGAATCAGCCATGAATCGGCCATGAATCTTCCATGAATCGTCTTTCAAAATGGGCCACCACACGTCGCCACAACAAACATAAGGGTTGTCCGAGTTGCGGCACTACTTATGTGCGTTATCCCCCTTCATCCCCCAGAACCGGAAGGGCTACTCCCCCACCCCCCTCCCCACCCGCTGGCCAGGCGCAATGTAGGTCACACTTTAGCCCACTCTTGAAAGAAAACCACCACTGACACAGTGAATGGAGAACCCATCTGGAAGACGGGGCCGTGTGGGGTGGCGGTGCATTCGGGGATGTATTACGTGGCCATAAAACTGTCAAGAAACTGCTGCACAGTCGTTGTTGCTGCTGCTGCTGGTGGTCTAATTTATTAAGCACCCACCCGTCCCGGCAGAGACCCCAAAGAAGCCAAGAACCACCCGCAGGCGCTAATTCCAAGAAGTTGGCGAAACAAAGAAAGCCTTTTCCTGGGATGGGGGGTATATTGGTGATGTGGATCGGAGGCAGAGGCAGGGGCACTCCATGAGAGTTCCTAGAAAGTATTACCCAAGAACGAAGCCTCGTCTTCTTTTGCCTCTTTTGGGGCAGCCTTTTTACAGGGTATCTCGCCGGCGTGGCCGGATCCAGCCCGTGGCAAGTGCGATGTTGCGTGCATGCCTGCAATTGGACATTGGTGGGGGGGTGGGGCATCCATCCAACCCACCCACGCATTGGAGGGGGTATATTGATCCACAGAGCTAATTGATCAACCGCTTCAATCGGCTGGCGGCAGGCGGCAGGGGGAGGGGCACCACAGATGACGCATGCCACTTGTGACGAAACTTGGTGCCACAACAGAACTGAATATTGCATCAGTCGTCGGCAAGAGGAAGACACATCGCCCACACGACACCCCAGCCCCAGTCCCAGCCCCATGCTCCTCCGCCTCCTCCGCCTCCTCCTCCTCCTCATGGACTCAAAGGTGTCCCACTAAAGCGATGGATCGCCTCTACACACACACATATCTGTGTGGATTGTGTGTCTCGAGAGTATAAATATTTTCCCCCGATTTGCGCAAGAATCTGGCCACAAACGAGGCAGCAGCCAGATCCAGACACAACGACGACGCATGCGGCAGGCGAGATTTCAAATCTAGTTCCCCCCTCTCCGCCCCCACGCTCCCTCCCGGACAAAGCTTAGATTGTACTTTTTCGAAGGTCAGGCGCCGCTGCTCTCACGAGTTTCCCCCCCGAACTTGTTTCACGATTAAAATAATCACAAAATGCCGCAAACATTGCGTCAGAGTCTGGGTGGGACGATGACGTCATCCGCAGTTTGATCGCCAATTCTCGATGAGACCGGGACCCCAGACCCCAGACCCCAGACCCCAGACCTCGGACCCCAGCCGAGGGTCTCTCTGGGCCTCCAATTAAAAACATTCCTTGGGGGGGGCTTTTCTGCCATTCAAATATGCAAATTACGATTCACTTATTATTATATTTCATTTTTGCAGCCAAAGTTCAAGGAAAAATCTAGGCGACTATTGATTCCAGTGGATCGATGCCATGTCATTTCATGGGGAATTCTGTAACGATTTTGGGGCCAGAAAAAAACACCAGTTCTTAGAATATATTCAGGGGAAAATGAATTCAATTGGTCAAGTGGAAAATAGTTGTTGTAATCCAGCGGATCTTCACCATAGAAATCGGCAAAGAAAAACATATTTTCCATCGCTGTTGATCTTTGAATTTCCTTAATCTTTACCCCAATTCGGAATCGTAAATTATGAAGCAGCCGTAGAGCTGCCTCCAAAATGAAAGCATAATCAAATGCTTGCAAATTGTTTTGTAAACAAATGAAAAGTAAATTCACTGTTCCAAGAACGAAAGACCGAAAGACCGCAGAGGGAGGAGCGCTGGAGGGCATGGGATGTGGAGAAATACTCGTAATTTTGGACCGGCCTTGGCATCATAATGGAGCTGATTCGTAACAATATGATGAAAGTGTCCAGAGATGTTCGGGGGTCTATTAATATATGGCCAGAAACTCAACAGATGCGACACGATCGCCTCTTCTCCGTACCGCCCAGAGTTGATTGGTAATTAATGAAACACTCAATCGGCAAAGCCATATGCCCATGCCCTCTGCCTTATTTGTGAGTCAGAGAATTGCTTATTTGTCTGTCGTACTCGTATATCGGTTCAATAGTTTTTCAACTTTGAGTCACGTTCCGTTTCGCCTCGGATCACCTCCGGACGTCCCGACCACACCCCCGGCTCCCGATTTCGCCGGTTTCTTGGGGCTAATTACAGCCGTGCAATCCATCCGTACGTTCCAAAAGGTACACAAAATTAACACAAATTATGCGGTAATTAGCGGTTGTTACTTTTTGTAGATAAACCACATAGATTATGTGTCCAGCACTCGTTTGCTCATTTACTTTCATGAACAACGAGTATACAATGTAAATTCGACGGTTTTTCGTTGTTTGCCATTCCCCCCATTACCGATTCTCCATTTGCATGCGAAACGAAACCGGAAAGTGGGGTTAGCGTCACCAAACAGTGTTGCGAAACGTGTCATTTTGGTGGTTACACAACACTGAAGGTCTCTTGGTCGTAGTTTTCGGTTGGAAGATGTAGCCTTGTTTGCCATTTCCATTTTGCATTAGCTTGGTGAAACAGTGTTGCCAAACGTGTCATTTTGGTGGTTACCCAGCACTGAAAATCTCTTGATTGTACTTTGCGGTTGGAATATATTTTCGTTTTACTTTGTTGCTTCACTAGACAGTGTTTTATATTGATGTTTGGTTGTTATACAACACTGAAAATGATTTTTTTCTTTGTTTCCCATTCCCATTTGCATGGAAGTGTTGCTTTAGTATTGTTATACAACACTGAAGATCTCTAAATATCTTTGTTGCTGGAAGATTGCTCGTTTTGCTTGCCACATGCCACCACCACCTCGCCTCACTTCCCACACTCGCAACAGGAAACCGCAAGTATTGGTTATCTACAGTGCATGCCATGAGTATGCCTCCGTACTGCCTGTACGATTGGGGTCACAGTTATAGAAATGTGGCAAAGTTTCTACGATGCCTACGTGCCTCCAATTCGAATGGGCTCCGAACCACTTTTATCGCTGGAAGTTTGCTTTCCTATAGAGTGTTTCGAACATCGCAATGGCTGTGTATCTTTCCTGACGAGGGTGGGCACTCCATAGCTCTGGCCCCCTGTACACTGCTCAAGATATAGCTTCTCAGATCCTTCCCCATACGAAAATCTCCCTGCCAAAGGAGCCAAAGGTTTCCTTTCATGGGCCTCATGGAAGCGTGGACTGTCGCTGATACGAGTGTGTATTTGTTGTTCCGATAAGCCTTTCCTCTGGAGCTTTTTCTTTAACAATTTCCCCGCCAAAAACTAACTTTCGATTGCTTTTAAATCTCTAGATTATCCCTCTCATCTCCAGTGTCCATTTCACTTATGGCAACTTGAGTGTTTGCTATTCGTGTGGCCGCTGTTGTGCGCATGAGGCATGAGGGCGGGCTGTGGCCTGTCTGTGGGCAGGGTCTCAGACCCGCAATGCATTAAATTCGAGTGGAAAAAAAGAGTTCTTTAAAGAGAGATTCAAAGTGTGGGCTGCTGAAACGATGCTGGATGGTGGTACTCCCCTCGCCCCTCGCCCCTCGCCGCTCGCCCCGCTCCACCATATTGATCCCCTTGTAGCGCCTCTTTGCCTCCACAGTTTCCTGCTCTTTCCTCTGGACACGTGACTGGGGCTCTGTCAAGCATAAAATGTTTTCGCTGCTGGCAGCCAAACCCCTTTTTCCCTGCCCTCTGAACAGCCATCCATTCGACCTCTGGGAGTTACGCATCGCCAGGCACTGGCCAGAGGGATGGGATCTCCGAATGGCCCCAAAAGATCGCCCAACTATAGGAAAACTCCCCAAAACGGGGCAGCGGAAGTGAAGAAAATGCACTTTCGAAAGGGGTACGGTACCCAGGGGCGGGACTGTACTTGATGTGCCTGTTTTTTGTTTTTAATTGAAATCGCAGACCAGACGGCAAATAATTTCCGGCTCATGAAATTCGAGTGCTGCTGCTGCTGCACCCTTGACACACGAAAATAAGGGGTTAAGGGGGGGGGTTGAAGGGGTTAAGGGGGGATTGAAGGGGTTAAGGGGGGCTTGGCTGTGAAGAATCTCTTTAATCTAATTAAGAATCAAGTTTCTGAAACTCTTCGTCTGCGACTGTGACTGTCAGACTGCCAGTGAGGGTCTGACAAGCACTGGGTTTGGTTTAAAGGGGAATTACCAGAAAATTCAGTCACAAAGTACACATATCTCTATGCTGCCCATCTCTCATTTGCATCCCAACTATTGAACAGTAGACATTCGCAAAAGCGGACACTTGTGGTTGAAGTAGAGATCCCGCCCTTTTAGCCCTACAATAATCTTAGAACACCATGAAGGAGGGCAGTAAATACGTACAGAATCGTATAGGAATATACAAAAAGGCAAATCCTCCAGCGGAATGGAAGTACAGCAGGTGCTCAACCATTTCTAGAGAAAATAAGGGACTTTATTCAGCCTCCACAGACCTGATACCTTTCAATCCTTAATCCTTTCGGCGCTAGTCCCTAAGAAACCTGCTTCCTGCAAGTCCTGTAAGCCCAGATTGCAAGATTTTAACCAGATATAGCCTTCGATAGGACCCATCCAATGACAGATCAAGGAGGGGTGCTACTTTTGGAATAGATGGATGGATCCATTCAACAGTTTTGCTCGAGAGAAGAACTCTTAAAGCACCCTTGAGGCACACCCCTGTGGCATGTGGCATGTGGCATGTGGCATGTGGCATTCTCGAATGGTGGATAGAAAAATGTAAATTTCATTTCCTTGGAATTTTGTTGGTTGCATTTCCCTTTGCCTTTTGCCCGGTTCATTCGCCTTTTCCCTGGGGGGAACCCCCTACCCCTTCGCTATGCAAATATGCGGACACAAGCCACCCCCAACGCCCCAGTGGGTGGTGGTGGGGGGGTGTCTCTCGGTTTCTGTTGTCCCCGTGAGAGTTCAAAAAACTCTTTTTGCGGCTGCTCTTTGGCCGGAAGTTGACTTTTGGCTTTAATTGCGGGGAAAACTTTCGAGCAGGACCCGGCCAGGCGTCTGGCCTGCACCCCTGTGGTGGGTGGGGGAGGGGGGTGCAGCGTGCTACCAAGTTTTCCTATTGATTTTCCCTCTTGCGTTTCTTCGTTTGTTTTGGTCTCGTTTTATCGGTCTGTTTTGCAGGTCGACAGCGAGTCACTGGGTCGCATTTTTCACAGCAGGTGCGCGGGGGTGGGTCGGGGTCTGGGGGGGGGGGGATGTATGACACCAATTAGTTATGAATTCTAATTTTGTTTGGCTTATTGCCAGAGCCACGAAACAAGAGACAACGTCAGAGGGCAACATTTGAGCCACGGGGATATGGAAATGCGAGTACCTGGCCTAAAAATACGCTGCCAGGCACAGTGGAGAGTCTTTCCGAGGCATAAAGGCATACACACCAATAAAGAAAGGAGGAGGACTTTAAATATAGGGTTTCCAAAGGCCTGCAAGGGGTGTCCAATGGCCGACAGAAGTGTTTTCCATGTATATCCCTCCATCTATTAGATCTAGAGTTGGCAGCCCCAGAAAACAAGGAAAAACCCATGACATGCACGCTCCACTGTACCTGTACCTGCACCCGTGCCCCTCTGTACCCCTCTGTGCCCCTCTGTTGTGCCTTTGCTGACAGTCAACAACTTTTGCTTTTCTTTTGGCAGCAATCAACATCATCAAGTTTTTCGGGCCCAAGGACATCCCATCGCCCATATAGACGGTCGGATCTGAGGAGAGAGAGGGAATCGAGCTTGGAATCGGAGACGTAGACGGAACCGTACAAATATGTCAGACCGGAGAACTCACACACAGATGGGGCCGCCGCCGCCGCCCCCCAAGCCAAACAAATCGCAGACATCGAATGGAGGCAACGGCAACGGCAACGGCAGCGCCAATGGGGTCCTGCCGAATGGCAACAGCAACAGCAACAACAGTTATAGCAGCAATAACAGTAACAACAAATGGCAGCACGGCAATAAAAGTGTCGCAGCCCCGCTGGTTGGCGGAGGCGCCACAACTGGCGAACAGACAGAGAGCCAGAACACGAGCGCCTCTCGGAGGAGCCAGACACCGCCGCGGACAGAGCAGGTCGTGATGACGCCCCGAGGCAAGACAGCCAACAGCACGGTGATCCTCATCGAGAGGAAGCTGGTGGACGAGATCAACGACCGGGTGCACGTGGCCGGCGGCGATCACACGGGCATCATCATCAACAAGGACACGGTCGCCGGGCAGAAGAGCGCCAGCAAGGCGGCCGCCCTCTCGCTGGAGTTTCGGGTGTTCCTCGTCAGCGCCAATACGGGCAAGCACTCGCAGGAGTCGCGCACGCTGCGCTTTTGGTTCCGCGATTGGCTGACCAACGACGAGAAGCAGGCCCACATTGCCCAGGACTTCTTCAAGGAGCTCGTCAGTCCGCAGGACTTTCCCAGAGGTACAGTTGCGGGCGTTTTCGCTGGTGATGATTGACTTATCTGTCCCGCTCTCTTGCAGACTATGTGGGCTTCATCAAGAAGATCATGAAGCTGATGCAGCACGGATACTCGGAGATCCAGTCGATCGAGATCGAGCTGCGGATCCTGGAGCAGACATCGGCCCCGCCATCGCGTCCGCGTAAGTACAGCCTGCTCTGAAGCAGAGACCTGTTTTGTCGTCATCTCCTGTTAATCTTTGATTTGATTCGATTCGATTCGACTCGATTGGGGTCATCCCCGTTCCTGGGGAAGCAGCTCGGGATGGTTACATCATCTACTGCTACGGCGATTGCAATCGCAAGTTCGAGGAGGCGCTGCTGGCGCAGAGGAAAACAGGTGATGGCGGCGATCTGATGAAGGCCATTTGGCTGGACATGTACACGGATCAGCTGAGTGCCAGGCGGAAGTGATTGCCGCACTTCCGGTCCTCCCGCAACTAATCATCTAATCCGCGTGTCGTTTCCGTGGTGTCTGACGCTTACCCCCCTTCCGACCACTACTTTTTCTCTCTCTCTCTCTCTCTCTTTTTCCACTCGTTGTTGTTTGTTCTGTTCTGTTTTGTTCGTTCCGTTTTTTCGTACTAAATGCACGCTCTAAAACCAACACTACAACAAAATCCAAAAGCACTGAAAATATAAATGTTAAAGCGAATTTAAACAAATATAATAAATACTGCTTAAACCAGTGGCTTGGCAACTGTACAACCTCTTCGGATCAAGCAGCTGTACGTGTATTTTGAAACTGTAGCAACTGCAGCTTACTACTGAGAAAACTACTTGCCAAAGCTCGAACAACTGTTGGCAGGTGAACTGCTTGCCAAAGCTACCAAAACTGTAGTTGGCGGTCCTTCAGTCATCGTAAAACCCAATGCCAAAGCTTCTGAACTGCAACTGCAATCAAGACGCCCACAACTGTGTTTACTGTATTTCCTAAGTAGTAGCTATGTGTATGCTGAACAGCTTGATGCATTGATTTTGAAACTGTTGTGGTAGGCTGCTCAAAAAACAGTAAAGTGACTACCACCAAACTGTGCTGACTCTCAAGCGTCGGCCGAGCCACGTGCTGCTGTCCTTGCTGCTTGCAAGGAGCGCTTCCCAAACTATGCCTATGTTGAACTGCTTGCTCCTCAAACGCTACCCTGTTGCCCTGTGCTGCTCCAACTGCAGACGTTGCAGGTCGTTGCCTTTTGCAACCAGGAATCAGTGTCCATTGCGCATTGCGTCCCTCTGGGGCCCTCTCTCCCACTCCTCCGCCGACCCAAATGACACGTTGAGAGACCAATTTGTCTGCAGACAGCAATTAAAATACGCTGCTTGGGCATTTTAATCGTCTCTCGACAAACGAAACCGCTCGGAAACACCCCCCAGTGCCGTCCTCGTCCTGACAACACCCACTGCCTAACCAGCCCACCAGCCACGCCCACCTGCTAACATTGTTGCATCGTTCACGGCCCCTGCAGCGATATGAAAATGCTCGTATAACCCCCGCAGCCAGGCGCCTTAGCTCCTCCAGCTCTGACTTTATCTGATCTGTACTGATGGTGGTCTCTCCCTCTCCCTCTCTTTGGCAGTTTCTCTGGAGGAATCGCAGTTCGAATCTCCGCCGCTGACACAGGAGAAGGTGCTCGAGCTGATCGAGCAGGCCTATCCCAATCCCGTTTCGCCCGAGGACCTGGCCAAGTGAGTGTGGCTCGCATCCATCAGCCAGTGGAGCTTTCAACTAAAATCCCATGTCATTTGTTTTCGCAGGGACTACGGATGGAGCGAGCAGGACGTACTGCTGGTCATACAGTCGCTGCAGGAGCGGGGCCTGATCAAGTCGATGGAGTACAATGCCTACACCCGCATCCATCACGAGGACAAGGAGATCAAGGTGGTGAAACAGATGCCGACGATAGCCTCCAACAAGCAGCCGACGATTGCCATCATCACGGCGCAGTACTGCGAGAAGCTGGCGGTGGATGCGATGCTCGAGAACAAGGAGACCTTCGTTCGCTACACCACAGTCGGTAGGTGGAGGGGCCATTAGTCGATTGTGGACGATAGAATGCTGGCAAACGTTCTGTACTTCCTCCATCCTCAAGCTCCTCACTAATAATATCTCAACTCTCTCTCTCTCTCTTTTTCTCTCTCTTTGTCGCTCCTCCCCCCCCCCTCTTAATCGTATCCTAACCACGACTCGGGTGGCAACCCCATCGCCATGAAACTATTACGCAACAACAATTATTGAATGAATTTGCATAAAATTATTGCTTGTTTTTGCTTGCCCGGCGACTGCGCGACACACGAATACCACAAAACATTAACCTCCCCCACTCTGCCACACCCCATTCGAATGTGCATACCACCCGTAACAGATTCCGATCCCAATCTAACGAACACCCTAAGAAAATCAAAAAAGAAACGAAGATTTGGTAAGCCATACACAAGTCCAAACATCTCCAATATCCAATATCTATGTACGTCCACATCCACATCTAAAACTGCTGCACACAAATCGAGGCCAAGATTTGACTGCAAAAATAACTTAATTTAAGCAACACTTGTATGGGATATCGGCATTATATTGTACATATATGTATGAGCTTGTAATAATTGTCAAACTCGTGGGAAACCTTCCTGCCACCATTCGAGGAGGGCCTGGCCTGTTGCAGATCAACTTTCAAAATTGGCCTCCGATATGCTTCGTTCTGTGTTCTGTTTGTTTCCATGTTTTCGTGAGTTTTGTACTGTTTGTTTTGTGTTGTTATGGTAAAGGATTGTCCAAGGAGGGACTGATGTTTGTGTTTGTATCATTTTGGGGGATTGATTACGCACCAGTCACGCACTCTGTTCCATCACCCTGTACAAAATCCGAGCACCCATGTTCCATGTTGATATGTGTGTTAAGTACCCCCCTAACCACCACGCCAATGAATCCAGGAATGAATGATTGACTGAGTTTTGTTCTTCCATTCTCCTTTCCGTCTCTGCGCAGGTGAATCGAATGTCTATACCTTGGGCAACATTGGGGCACACCGGATAGTGAGCACAAAGCTACCGTCGGTTGGCAGCACCAGGGAGGCGATGACTGCCACGGGCAACACGACCACACGGCTCCTGGGCACATTCCAAAAGGTGGACTTTGTCTTCATAGTGGGCGTCGCCGGCGGTGTGCCGCACTACACCGACTACAAGAAGCATGTGAGGCTGGGCGATGTGGTCATCTCGTACGTGGACAAACAGCGGGCACTCCTAAGCAACAGGTACGTGTCTGAGTCTTAGTCCGAGTCCGAATACGATTCAATCATTCAATTACAGCAAGGAGAAGCCGTATGTGTATTTGTACAAGAGCGGCGAGGATGTGAAGACCTATTTTCCGATCAACGACTCACTGCAGCAGATCGCCGAGAGTCTGCAGGCAAACATGGAGCTGAAGCGTCCTTGGGAGAGCTATCTGGGTCAGGCCCAGCAGACGCTCGCCCAGAAGACGGAGAGCGACTTCGGGCGGCCGGACCCCAAGACGGACAAGCTCTTCATGAACATCGGCAACAACGAGGTCATCGAGGTGGCCCATCCCATTGCCGCCGACGAGGTGAACGGTGTGCCCCGCCTGCGGCTGCATCTCGGTCCGATTGGCTCTGGCCGGGATCTCGTCCGCAGCGACGATCTGCGCACCCAGTTTGCTCGCAAGTACGGCCTCCTGGCCACCGATGTGGAGATGAGCAGCGTCCTTGACAGCATTATCGGCAATTGCCGCGAGAGCTTCATTCTGGTCAAGGGCATCTCCGACTACAAGGACGGCATGTCCACCCGCAAGTGGCAGAACTTTGCCGCCCTTTCGGCAGCGGCAGTCGTCAAGTCGGTCATCTGTGGCATGGATGCGCCCACCAATGTCTGAGCGGTGGCATTTCATCTACACCTTCATCCACTTCAGTTCAGTTCAGTTCAGACCAGTCCGATCCGGTCCCCACTTCCCATGCCTGTGCTTGTATTTCATTATTTACCCAACGGCGGACACGGAAATGGAAGCGAAAGAGGGGTTTTTTTTGGGAAATGGGCTGGAGGGAGGACTTCACCTGGTAAACCAAAATGTATGGCAATCGTGGGATGCGTGCTCGATTGCATTACGATTATAATATGTATGTTTGAGTAATATTGTATGTATTAAATAATTTCTTGTTATTTATTTTGTTATAACTTTTGTACTACAAAAACAATTTAATTTACACACACCCACACACACACACACACATATGACGTATATACATCTATTTTATGTATATGCAACATTAAATAAATATTGCAAGCGCGCTTGCAACAACGAAAAACAGAAGTTTGTAGCATTTTCCTGGGGCCCCAAGACTGTTTGTAGCACGGTTTAAACTGAAGAACTACTTTTGAACTACCTTTTCGCTCATTCACTTTCAAATGATTTCTATTTGGCGCGCACCACTCGTATCCAGTCGATAGTATTGATAATCGAACTTGAATCGGGTAAGACACCCTCTTGACAACTGCACCAGTGTAGAAACCGTGTAGAAATACCACTTAGAGCCATGTCCCTGGCCATATCGAATACTAATTCGTGATCAACATCGAATACCTGATCTTTAACCATCAAAATCTCAATTTTTTCAAAAATCTCGGAAAATAACGGCATGTCAAAGAGAGGATAACAGAGGTTTTTCCCACTGGCGCCTCTATGGGGCTTATATGAAAAAAAAAAACGGGCAAACATTTTTAAAACGTTTACATTTTCCCATAAGGTGTCGCCTTTAGTAATTACATTGTTGTCCCTAAACCTTATTTTATAAAAAATCCAATAAAGACAAGAACTTAAAGTTGAACAGTCTTGTAGGAAATTGATTTAATAATCGAAAAAAATTATACATTTGGATCTGAGGGTATTAGCTAGCTAGTAATATTCCATGGAATATCAAAATCGAGGAATATGTATAATGGAACTTGACATCGTCAGTATATTTACGGTATATTTTCAAAATGAGACGGCATATTTCGGTATATTTTTGAGGGTCGGACGGTATATTTTTACGATAAATCTACGGTCACACTGGTCAAAAGTCAAAGTGAAAAAGAAAAATAAATAAATACATTATAGTAAACAAACTATACCAGATTAAAAGTAAATTCTACGTACATTTTAATTTCTCTCAAATCCGTGCCATTATATAGAAGTACCTCATCCAAGCGCAAGAAATTAAGTACGTATTGGGATATCATGACAGTAGAGTGTGACACAGTGACCATTCCATTTTCATTGCCAATGATTTTTACGCATTTGCAGTAGCTTATGATATAATAATGTCGCGTACACTGATTCGCACACTCGAAACTGTGGGCCGCATCTGGCATGTACCGACAACAGCCCGCATCCGCGGCCGGACTGGGTTATTCAGCGCAGATATTCCAATGGCTGCCATGATAAGCGCAGTAAACTACTCAAAGCGCGGATCCCCTTCGGACGCAGGCAGTCCGTTTAAGATTGTGACCAGGACTCGTGAGCTCGCCGACGACGATCTCAACAGCATAGAGTCCGAGCTGAACTGGGAGTTGACTGCCACAAAGAGCAATCGCTTCTACTTGCCAAATGGCTTTGGCCCAGCCTGGCAGGGCTATAATTCCACCATTGAGCTGATGGCTCCACTCTCGGAGATAGTGAATTTCAACAAAGAGGAAAATAAGGACAAGTCGAGCCTTGAGATCTCCTGCTGCCAGTGTCCCATGCTGATACGTGACACCCTCATCGAACTGTTCCCAGTGCGCGCCGTTGCAAGCAAGGATACGGCCATTACGTTGCTCACCTTGAGCTATGATGGTGACATCGAAACAGGCGCCACCAAGGTAGAGCTGTTCAAACGAATACATTTTTTTGCGATTCACTAATCCTTTTACTCATCCTTTCAAGTTTGTGCTGGCCGCCAGAGACATCAGCGATCGTCTCTTATCGATGGGCTTCTGGGCGGACTTCCTAAATCCGTTCAGTGGACGACCCTACTTTATGCCCAAAGAGGATGCCATGTTGTACAAGCAGGATTCGCGTTTCCGCGGGCTGAATATGAGTCTGACCATCAAAAACCAATGCATGGTGATTGCTGCCGAGGAGAATGACAATACCCACTTCTCAGGGACTATTTACTGTACGGCGCCAAGCAACTACGATGTCCTACTGAAGATTCTGTCGCCCAACGACGACCAGCTGAACTATAACAGGCTCTTTTAACGGAAGACCGCTCAGTACAATTATCTGCCCACCACATTAGAGGAGAGGAGTGGCATGGAGGCTGCTAAATTACGAAGATAAAGCCTATTTGTGATTAGAACTGTGGTAACTGGTTAGATTATTAACTTCGACTTTGTATATGGCTTACATAGACAGACGACTTGTTATATACTGCGAGAATATACATTATAAGATTGTTTTGTTCCTACTATCTAATGGCCATTTGATTGCAATGCCTCTCGATCTCCTTTAGCCGATTGATCAGCGAATGTAGCTCCTCGGCGTTGCACACGAACTCCACAATTGTGATCCGTTCGCCGCTGCTTTGCTGAAACCGGCCAAGATTAATGCAAAACTGGGCAACGCCTGTGCTGCTGGCGGACGTGGAGGACTTTACATCGCACACAATCCGCCACTGGACATCGGTGATGTGGGGAAAATTGTGTCCCACTTGCAGTTGACGCAGCACCAGATCCTTCCGATTGTCCTCGTAGACGCGTGTCAACTCATCCACGGCACTGCTGTGAACCGCAAGACCCTCCAATTGATGGCGGAGTGTCAGTCCATCCCAGGCATGCTTGGTGGCCAAAGCGTAGAGGGCAACGACGGCATATTCGCTTTGCTTGGCGCTGGCAGCATTGTTGGCATAGATTTCAGGCACCGGTGCAATGGCTTTACGGAATGGGAATAGGGATATGCATTAGCATTAGATCACTTCCAAGAAGATATAGCGGGTATAGTAGTCTTTCTCACTTGCGTCCGGATGAAGGGTCAACTTGAGGGAATTCGCAATGAGAATCTTTGTGATGGGGGGCGTCAGAATCGTGCCCAGGTTTTTAAGGCCCGCCACCACAGTAGCCGAGATTAGGTTACTGGCATCTGTGTCCGCCTCCACTGCCGGGCAACTCGCTGCAGCCGTAGCCATTAGTTAAGCGGCAAAATCCATTAAAATAAACAATACACAACAACAGCGATTCGCTGTGAACCAATAAAAAATCCTCCAAGCAAAAGCAAACAAATTCACTTTTACTTATGCAAATATATATATGTTCAAATATTCGGCCAGCCTTTCTACTCTTCCACGGATTTTCGTCTTATAGTTCTTTTGTATAACGTATATTTTTTTTATTTATTTTTTTTTAATTTGGTCGCTGCTCTGTTGCTGCCTCAGAAATATACCGAAACATACCGTCTCATACTGACGAATTCAAGTTCCATCATACATATTTCTCGTTTTTGATCTTCCGTGGAATATTCTCAGCTGTATAGAACATTTAGCCATGCCCACATCATTTTATACGATTCATGAATCAATTTTCCAGTTAACTGGCTTATTCTAAATACTTGCTTTTACTGAATTTCTATATAACGTGAAAATGAAATTTAAAACAATACACGATTGCGCTTAACAGCACAAAAATATACCACCCACGCAAAAGAACCCACCGCAGCTAACAGAGCGGACCTGGTACCAAAAAAGCGAACCAGCTGTAGTGTCTGTAATTTCGATTTACTACAAATAAAGTACAATATTTACAACAAATCCACCTAGTGCGCTTAGATTACACTCTGTAGAAACACTCCTTGGCTCGGGACGAACAGTTGTCGTACGTCTTGAACATGGCATCGCCATGAGCCGCCTGGCCTTCGGCATCTATTTGGTCTAGTTCCGATTCGGGTACACAGGCGCAATTGAAATTCTTATTACCTCGGCTATACAGCTTTCGTGGAAAGCCCGTCCAGGCTCGCTCCTTGCCATCGCCGCTCGTGTTGGTACACCACACGCGCGTTCCCTTCGCCTCAGACCACTCAATGTTGCAGCCGGGATACTTTGAGCGCAGCTCGTCCACCTCAGCCTTGGCTATTTGAGCTTGCTCCAAAAGCGCCAGGTATTTGTGGTAATACGTCGTCGGTTCGCCCTGTTCATCGTAGAAACGTCCAATCAGCTTCCCCTTGTAGATATATTCCTTCTCATAGAAATCCCTCCAATTGGCCAGGCCAAGGAGGTCGTTGGGTTTCAGGGTGAGCACATCGTCCGCAGTCTGCGGGTCGTACTCTTCAAACTCGCCGCTTATAAACGCAACAGAGGCATCGCGTCCCACAAAGAAGTTATAGCTGCAGCCGGTACCATAGTGCTTGATGCCGCGCGTCACATCGAAAACGGATCCAAGCAATGCCAGGTAGATGGGCTGTCCATCCTCGCCATTGTATTTGGAAAGTTCTGCAGAAGTTAGGACCGTGGCTGTGTTTTCGTTGGCCGCTTTGAACTGGAGCGAAACCGTCTCGCCATCAGCTTTGTCCACGTAGTTAGCCGCATGTCTGTTTGCAAACTGCTTTATTTCCGTGCGATAAAGGCCAGCCAACACAGCTGCCAAAATAAAAAGAAACTGCAATTTAAATAGATATTTCACAAACCCAAACATTTTCGGTTTTTCCTTTTTTTTTGGGTTTTACCGCGCTACGTGAGTAGCGTGGGTTTATTTGGTCGCACGACTTCTCAACGGTGGAATTTGCCAAGTCAAAGAGCGGTCGATGTCAACGTTGTTTTTTTAATTTCTTTTTTATTTGATTTTTATTTTGTCGATGAAATCTTGTTTGGGCACGGGGATAGGGATGTAAGACATATATTGATTTACATCTTGATATATAAAAAAAATATCGATGTTTTTGGGCGATGAGTGAAAGTACCAATCGGCGGCTATATACCTTTTTTGAATATTAGAGCCGAGATGTCCCAAATTCAAGAAATTGGCTGCATATTTCATGTATAGTGGTGATGTTTGCTTGCCTATCGTAAATGATCACCCTGGTTGTGTTGTCCAATTCATTTTTATCAGGACTGCTTTACTATCGAAATAGATAGCAATCGATGCTTGAAACCAATCGAGCGCCAAATTTGAAGACTGTTCTTTTTTTGTTGTGTCTGTTTTTTGCAAAACATTTTTTATTTGCTTTCAGTATTTAGATACAGTTTGGGTACATAGTTTTTCTATTTAATCAAAATACTGCTCTGATGTGATCTCGCTCTTATAAATTGGCTAGCAAATTTGAATAAAACCTATAGCTTGTGGAGTTGTTTCACACATCCCTTGTTTGTATATAGTGTAAAGTTATATGGGCTTTTGATTCCATCCCGTCCCATCCCATAATATTCATTCTCAACATCGTCTCCGTTTCGCAATTCTCTAAGACTTCCTAGGCTAGGCACTTCCCTAATGCATTCACTTATCTTATCGACAACGATAACTATGGTATATAATATATATGTATCTATGTAGTATTTATTTGTAAGTACAATTCATGCATTGCAGAAGGCATTTTATCAAAAGTTCCCGTGTCCAAAGTCCATAATTAACGTATCCCCATCCTTTGAGTGCTTGCATATTGTAGAGAATATTGTAAGTATTGTGCTCTGCCTCGACTCGTTTCTTCGGTACAATTAAGATTCAACAATGTTTCCTTTTTATTTGCTTGCTTGTGGTCACAATAATTGCAATAATCATTAATCAATTGGCTTTAATAATAGTGAAACAATCACGTAAATTATAATAGCTTAAGTTTCTCACATTTTCCCCGTTTCGGTTTCTATGTATAGTGTGTGTATGTATATAGTTTAATAACAGCAGGCCCCATTTAGACATATGTGTGTTTTTGTTTATATATGCATGCATATATATATATATATATATTGTATATGTATGTAAATTAAAAAAAAAATCAACATTACATTGTACTTGCATTTATATATCAATAGGAATAATAAATATATATATATATATGTATTTAATAAACGAAACAAAACAAAACAAAAAAAAAGATGCTTTAACCTGGCCTTTTTTTTAACTATTACATGTATTTTTTTGTTTGTTACATATTACTATTATTATTTTATTTATTTATTGCATGCGCTTGCTTGGAGGTTTTTGTGGAACGGCACTTCGGTTGAGATTTATGTATGCTTAAGTTTTTCCATTTAGTTTTGTTCTTGCTTCACTGTATTCCCCACAAGTATTTCAAACGTTTAAAGGGAACGAAAGGGGGAGGAAGAAGGAAGGGGGGAACGGGTAGAGGATGTCCAAAAAAAAAAAAAAATTATATTTATAAAACACGATAAAAGGGAGAACATTGTTGCTATTGTTAGGGCTATGGGCCCAACTAGTCGCTAGACTTTCTCATCATTGGCATTCTCATTGGTTCTGCTTTTGCTTTTGCTGTTGCTGTTGCACTCTGTCACATCCAATCCCATGCCCTGCCCTGCCCTGCCACATCAGGCGATGGCCACACTTGGCCGCGAAACATTTGTCCACAATTAGGATTTGGTGCACACTAATTGTTAATTGATAAATTATGCTACAGAAATAATATTGATAAGTATTGTGTGTGTGTGTGTAAATGTGCCACCAAACATTTCGATCCAGACAACCAACACGACAGAGACAGGAGAGACCCACAAGACGGCACCGAATCACATGCGCCGGCCGGCCGGCCTACGCGTCGTCGTTGAAGGGTTCTCGGCGCGCTGTTGCTGCTGCTGCTGCTGCTTATGCTTATGCTGATGTTTCTGATGCTGCTCCCTCGATCATTTGTCATTGTCCTCGCAGCAGCCGTTCTTGGCCAACTGTTTCTGCAGGGCAGGCGGAATGAAATCTTTCGTCTTGGTCTTGGAATGATAGCCCTGGCCGAGCAATGCCGGCTCCACATGCTTGCCCTCCTGTATGCCCTGGATCAGCTTCAGCATGTCATAGTTGATTCCCTCAGTGACCACCGAGTCTTGCCTGTAAAACGGATTGGATCGTTTAGTTTCTGTGATGGTTTATGGGTATGGTTTACTCACTTGTAGTCGGGATGATTGAGCACTTGCTGGCGCATCCAGGTGGCCGTTGTGATCAGCTCGCCGGCGGCACGCTTTTCGATAAAGCGCAGATACTGTTCGATGGTGCAATGGGTGTCTGTGTCTACCTCCATGGACTGCAAATAGCTGCGGATCAGTGGAACCAGACCAGGAAACACGTTCGACTGTGGAGATACAACGATTTAGATACAGAACTCAGGACTCAGAACTCAGGACTCGGGACTACCTTTCCGTTGAAGATCTCATTGATTGTCAGCAGCTGGAACAGCTCGTTCTCCTCATCATCTGTGTCGGTGTGATCGCTGTCCACCCCATTGGTGGTGGTGGAGGTAGTGGAGCCGCCATTTAGGGTGCCATTTGATGTGCCATTGGTCGTGGCCTTACGGCTATGGCCATTTCCATGCCCATTCATTTTCGCCGAAGTGCCATTGTTTAGCGGCTCTTCATCTCTCTCATCTTCGTTGCCATTGCCATTGCCATTGGTGGCCGTGCCGTTGCCATTCTCTGCCGCCTCGGGTGTCTGCCAGCCATTGATGTGGACCCCGCCCTTGGCCTGGGCCTGGGCCGCCCGCTGTTCGGTGGTCTTTGATGATTTGCGGAACCAGAATTTCTCCGCACGGCAGGCATCGCGCTTCTGTGCCGTCTGCATGTTCTCGTCCACCTTGCTAATGGGCGTCAAAAAGTTCAGCTGGTACGAGAGAATGACACGGGTGAGCAGGACGACGAAACAGACGATGGCGGCGTTCTCAAAGTCACTGATCTGCGCCTCGCACGGGCGGAACTCCACGCGCCAACCAATCGAACTGTTGGGCGGCGGCGGCTTGAAGCGCATCGTCTGCCAGTTGGTCGACTGAATGTTCTCGAAATGATCGGTGTCCTCGTTGTCGTTCTGGTGGACCTTCTCGCTGAACAGCGACACCGTGTCGCGAATGAAGAGATGGGCCACATGCTGGGCCAGCAGATGGTCAATCCCGCCCTCGACCAGGCGGTTGTACACCTGCTCGTCATAGGTTATGGGCACATCGTTGTACTTGGCCCCCTCCGGAGACAGGTACGAGTCGATGGAGTCGTACCGCGACTTGGCGATCCGGAACTTTTGGTTCTCGAGCGGCACCAGGCCGCGCTCCTCCTCGGTGCGGCAGTCCACCGACGAGCTGATCACGTTCCAGCGGCAGTCCGACTCTGTGAGGTAGCCGCGGTAGATGGGGCTGGCCGCCGTCAGGGCCAGCATGATGGGGCACAGGGGGGCCAGCTGATCGTACAGGCGACGCGCCTCTGTGATGTTGCAGGCCTGAAAGGTTAGCTGCAGGCAGCAGCAGCCCATGCCAAAGCCCATGGCGTCCAGCAGCACCACATCCGGCTCGCCCTGCGGTGCCCCCTCCACGGGCAGCTTTGTCTTGGCGTCTTTGAACACTGCAGAGTATGGAGGATGGAGGATGGAGGATGAAGATCAGTGAATGCTTTTTTTGGCCAGACGCAGTCGCAGACGCTTACCCTTCAGCTTGATGGAGACCTTCTCGCCGCGCCGCATGCGAATGTTGCGGGTGAGCGTCTTGAAGCGCGGATGTCCCGGGAATATTGCCTCGTCGGGAAAGTAGAGGGACCGGGCCGAGCTGAGGGGATCCTCTGGACGGGGCTGGGCCAAGGGGTATGTAAAGTTGGGGGATCCGAGGCGCGGAAAGTTTGTGATCGACATGACGCACTCGTCCTTGGCCAGCAGCTCGGTGACCTCCTCGCGACGATAGCGCATATTGGCCTCCACCAGATTGAAGTGGGCCATCAGTCCGCCGAAGGGCTTGCCGGGCGTACCCTCGATCATGTAGGCACCGTATTCGGGACGCCACAGCGACTTCACGCCCTTGGGATCGGCCATCTCCTTTTCGTTTAGCTGAGCCAGCAGGTCCTGGGCGATCAACGCCACGCGGGCCACCTTATGCTTCTCATCGAACTTCACAATGATGTACTCCACCTCGTCGCCCCACTTGAGGATGTCCCCCTGGCGGTCCTTCAGTCTGTGGTAGAGATTTATGAACTGATTCACGCCATGCTCGCGCACATGATCGGCCAGCACCTTGGTCTCCTCCCAGGAGAGTGGACTGCCCTCGCTTAGTAGACCCATAATGTAAACTGCAACGAAAAGAAAAGCAGTGACGGATTAGGGATGTTGTGGCTTATCCGGCTCGAAGCATGGTCCAATGAACCTTTCGCTGTGTGTTTCCTGTGTTTCAATTTTGCTAGATGCCTCTGTGTAATATCTGGTGCGCTGGACTAGAGTCCAGACTAGAGTAGGACTGATCCGAAACGAATCTGAATTTCAACTGAACGACTACTGATTTGAGCAGCACAGGACAGTAGGTATTTTTCTATTCGGTCGGCCGGACGAGTATCGAACGAAACGAGCAAGAAGAGAAGGAGAAGGAGAAGGAGAAGAGAGGTGGGTTGGGAAGTGTGGTGGGTCAACATATCAATTAGTCGAACAATGGGCAAAAAGTAACGAGCAACGAGTAAAAAATGTCTAGTAAATAATTCAAGAGTAACTATTAAACAAGTAACGAGTAAACATGTTTCGCACATTCGTCGAGTGTATAAGAGCGAGAGAGAGAGAGAGAGAGACTGGTGGGGGAAATAAATAATTTGATTACAAAAGTAACGAGTAACGAGTATAAAAAAAGGAAGCTAGTAAACCAGTAAACGGACACTCAAAGGAGAGATTCGTTAGATA